GTTTTTTATGTTAAATATTCTACACTGATACTTCTCAATAATGTACTGATAATGTGTTCATGCAGTTCTATGTCATAATGTTACACAAACATTGTTAGAAGCTATATTATACTCAACGCTCAGTGTTACAGAAATGAAAACAATGTGTTCATTAGATTTTAGCAAACACTACTTTGGGGCCAATATTATATTTTTATAATTCAGTTACATTTCACATAGATAAATAATAAGACTGAGTAGCCTTAATTTAAAAAAAAAAGAACTGATACACATTTTGACTGGTTTGATTTAAACATTCTCAGCTTTGTTCCTATTAAGATTTATCATCTTAACTACAAATTTGCAATAGTAGGTATATTATTTATGATGTCTACAGGAACAAAGATGTGAATTCAAGACTGAGTTGGTTTTTGTTAGAAGAATAAAAATAAAGAAAACATATAATTTGAATAGGGTTTATTAATTATATAATTTTAGTGTTTTTGGTCATCTGTTATTGTAATATATGTAACCGTAATTGATTGAATACAAAAAGTTGATATTCGTTTTTGAATTTACTGGTCTGGGTAGGATGCAATTTAAACAAATCGGATATTATCGATTATTCATTCGACATTTATCTGTTTTACACAGAATAGTATAAATCCTTAAATTATAATTAAAAATAAAACTCTAAAAACACATTTTAACTTGAAAGTTAAATTTGAATTTGATCACTATTCGATTAAATATCGATGAAGTACCTATTCCAAGGAAAATATATTTCAAGAAAAAATTTAAAATGTATTTCGTGTTTGCGACATTTTTATTGTACATTTTATTATACCTATATTACTATGGTAGTATTGAAGACTTTATGTTTTTGACTATTTTTTATTAAATAATTGTTTTGTTTTCGTTCGAGTTTTTTTTTTTTTTTAACTTTGGGCTTTATTAAGGGTATTTATCGTAATGATAATTAAAAGTTTAAATTTATATATGACATGTTGTTAAAATTATATTTACTATTTAATATTTATTTCCTTTTTTTTTTTTTACATAATTGTTCAATATTATTTTGGTTAAATTGAAGAATTTATGTTTGCGTTTTTTGTTCAATATTATAGGATATTTACTATTATTACTAGATATTAAACATTTTATCATGTTAATTAAATATTTTGTGTTTAAATTATGAAAAACAAATATTCATAAAATGACTTTTTTTTTTTTTAAAATATATATATATATATATAATATAACTATTGTAAATTGAAATTTAACTGATATATGCTTGAGCTTAATACATTTATATTTGTGGTTGAATATAAAGTATAGAAATAAATTATTTAGAAATATTATGTTTTTCATTTGTACTAAACATTTAGGTAACTGCAATTTTGAATGTTTTTAAATAAGTTTTCTATTATAAGTTATGATTTTATAATAATATGTTTAAATAGTTAGACTTACTATGATAATATTATTATAATACTATTATTACATTGATTTTAAACTCAGTTAATTTTTTCAACTTTTTTTAACTAATTTTTTTTTTTAGGAAAATTGTTTACTAGGTATAATAATACAATTTATATATTATATTAATAATATTACTATTTTATCTCATTCATTAGACGTGCTTATTTTTCTTACATTGTTTTGTTACTTCATATGCAAATTATTATCATGTATTAATTATTTATTTATTTTTATTATAAGACTGAATATTGTTCTAAGTTTGTCTAACATAATTTATATAAATGTGTTTTCTTCTCTTTAATTCTTATAAAAATACATACAGGATAAATCCTATGTAATATTATATACGTTATAGTAATGGTAGTTAGGTTTAGGTGTATTTTTGTAGTAGTATAGAATATATTAAATATATTCATATAGATATAATATGTTAAATATTCACAATTGATTAAAAAAAAAAAAAAAAATCCATTTCTAGAGCATGGTGTGTTTCATACTATAATTATCGTTATATAGTTAGTTATAATACAGACGATCATGTTTATCTATTTAATATGTTTTAATTTAATAGTTTGCTAGCCAAATATAATTACATAGTGTATATATAAAATATATTATACCTACCTATACAAATTATTCATGTTGTAAAACTTTTTTTTTCACATGTGTCAAATATTCATATCATTATTTGTTTTGTATTTCAGTACGAACTTGATAGGTGCCTACCTACCTATAATTTATACATCATTAGTTATATCGAAAACTATAATAACTGTAGTGAATGGTGAACAAAAATGCATTTTTAATAAATCTCAATGTTCTTATGAAAAAATATTAGTTATACCAATCTGGTAAATATTTAATCAGTAGTTTGGAAATTTTTTTTTTTTTTTTAATTTTTTTTATGTATATAAGTATTTAAACGTCAATGCAAATGTTTAAAACATCACGATATTCTGCGTAGTTTTCTGATTTATGTGGATACGATTTATTTCGCTTCTTCATAAAAATGATTAAACATTCGAGACGAAAAAACCCAGACCGTTGATTATTTTTCCTTTCTGATAATAATAATTACATTAGAAAGTTCTTTAAAAATCCAAATCGACAAACGTTTAATGATTACAAATAAAATTATAGGTATTTGTTTAGCGAGTATTATAACAATAATTCGAAAAAAAAGACCTGTTAATGAGTGATGCACGTTTAAGAACTCGAGAAACGGAGATAAATGGTAATAATAAGGGGACGCTGACGATGTGTTCGCACAACCGGAGTCCATATTTCGGAAGTGATAAAACTGTATACAAGGTATACTCACAGACTCGTTGGGGCTACGCCTCCGCGCTTCACGTACCGTCTATTAACTCAGTACTTATTATTATAGTTACTATAATTAAATGCGCATTAAAAAAATCACACTGATATATCAATATAAAAATAGTAGATATTAGATTATTTTAAATAAATAACAACGACGTGCATTATAAGCACGTCATATGTATATGTACCCCAACAGTAATAATGAAGAAACGGCTTTTCTGTATTATGACGGGGGTGCAGAATTAGAGCTCAGAGGAATTTCAAAACACCGGAGGTGGTCACTGTAGCAACACGAACTATAAGTTTGGTATTCTGTTCAAAATAGTGCACGCGTCTGTCGTCTTTCGAAAACGACGGCTTAACCTCTTTAACCGTATCCGTTTTAAAATCGCCATTGAAAATGTCTGCCGCTAATGTCGGTGACGGTGATGATATTGAGAATTTTACCGATCCGACGGCCTTCGATGACGATGACGAACAATGAGTATGATTTTAAGTGTTCGACATTTATTGACTCTAAATACAAACGACATTGACATACACCTTTCCCCTCCGTTGATTTTAAACCGCGAGGGGACTTCCATTTTTCGTTGCTTAATGTAAGCATGGATAAGCCATGAGAGTTTACCACAGGGGAACGAAAAATTTTATAATTTGACGTTACAATGGGTTTTATCAATAAAGTTGTAAACCCGATTAAAGATATTTTTTAACCGTGGTTGTAAACTTGATCGAAAATAATCAAACAGTTCGTTTTACTTTTATTTGTTATGAATTAAATTAGGTAAACGTAATTGGTGCTTTAAAATAATATATAATTATTATTTACTATGTTATAATGTTTTTAACAAAAACATTATAATTTATAATTATATACGAAAACATAATACGCTATTAGAAAATAAAAATATAAATAAATCACAATTCTGTGATTTGTGAAAATTTGGTATAATAATAGTAGGTACTCGATTGAATTTATTCATGACTGAAATGGACAAGTTTCGTTGTGTAATACTTGCAACACCCCAATAGGGGTTGTCAACATTTTTCAAGTGCATTTTCCTCTAATTCTATAGTTTCGTCCGATTGAAAAAATTGCTATTTTTTTTTTTTATTTTCAATATTTCAGGACTTACGACGGGGAAAAATTTTAAAAGTTGTAGAACAATTGTGTATAATAGTTGCAGGTAATTTAGTTTATACACTAAAAGCAACGATAAATCATTAGTAAAATAATGATCTTGAGTAGTTCTGTAATTCAAAAAAAAAGTGTTGGTTTTATTTTTTCCCGCGTAGATAACTCAAGATAAAGAAAAATCAACAAAAAACAAAAAGATTGTACCTAAGTAGTAGAATAATTATATTTTGCCTACTCTTATGATTGTATGTAAGTACTACGTTGGTAGGTAACTATTATATGTGTATATATTGTCGTCGGATATTGTACCCAATGTATTCAAGTGAGTTATCGAGAGAGTAAATGTGGTAAAGATTGATTGGATTCTGTTTGAAAATTGAACTTAACGTAAAAAATATCACGGAAATAATTTTTGATCCTGTACTTCAATTAGATACTCCGGGGGCTTAATGATGGGGTCAAACACATTATTTTGGTATACGGCTGGAGGCCGTAACTCTTCCGTAACAAATTTGGAAATGCGTTGGAAAATGGTACTTACTATCATCGTAACACATGGCAGAAATTTGAATTTTTTCGAAAATTTAGTGCGCCGTTTCTCCAAATCGGTGCCTGAGTTCCCTTAGATATTGCGCCTAAAGAGTCCCCTTGAGTACATTGTTTTGATACCACGCCCGGGGTTAAATTTGCCCCGGAATACCTCGGTTTGAAAATGATACTATTTTAACGTGTTACTTCCTATTATATATACCTGGAAAATCGAACCGGTAAAGGGGTTGTTCCGCGGCGAAATGTCCTTAGTCAACCACACTGTCTTAAAGTACACATCTCAAGCTTTATATTGTTGAAAAAAAAACGGGGTACTCTGAATTTCCTCCTATTTTTAATCCGAATTTTTCGCGATTACTGCGATACATAATATATACGAAGTTACTCAAATTTTTTTAAGCGCCTTCAAAATGACTTCATATCGTCCATTTCTGCATATTTATTGCCTATTCACCGCCTTCATAGCGATTTTTACGCATTTTAGCAACCACTGGGCTCTCTTATCAAATATTGATTACAACTTACAGTAGTCGATTAAATGGTATTGTTTCATAAGATCTTGTTGTTTTTTAATTAAATATTTTAAATAAAAAGAGTCAACATGGAACAAAAGCTGTACAAAAAGAGGTTGAAGTATGAATCTATTTTAAAAAAGGATTTGGATATTGATGCTAGTTCTAGTCCAACTACGGTAAGAAATTTAAAAATGCATTTCTTATTGTCATTTATTCGGTTTAAAATACTAGTGTATATTATACTATGTATGGGTAATGTAATATGCCTATACTTTGAATTATTTAAAATAATTAATATAGGCACCTATAAAATTAAAATATAATGTAATCATGAATTAAATAAACACAATATCCATACATTTTAAAGTCTTTGAATACTTTGCTACCGAGTCTCTTTTTCATATCGATGGTTACTTTGCTGGTGGCATTGAAAACTTAAAGCGTAATAATAATGTATTGATACATTCGGGCTAATTGAATTACAAGCAAGTTTTCATATTGAAATAGTACATTATTTTAATGAATTATCAAATATTAATTAATTTATATAAATCATTTCAGCTATAGGTATCTATAGGATTTTGTGAGAGAAAATTTAATCATACTACTTTGATCTACTATTGATAAATAAAATCAAAAATAATTTCTATTAGAAAATAGTTATGATTAATATTTATTATATTTATTTAGGTAATAATATATATGTAGATACAGAATTAATTAATTAAAACTGAGTTTATAATAAATTTAAATTATTAAAATTATAAACTAATTGATGAATATGTTTATTATTTCTCAGAACTTAATGGTGTGCAATTATGGTCTAGTAAATGGTCTTAGTAGAAAGGATGTTTTGCAAGTTTTTTCTCGGTATGGTACAGTAGATTGCATAATTATGGTACCTCATAAATCATATTGTTTTATTTGTTATGCCAACATACAAGAAGCAATATCTGCGTATGCTAAAGTAAATGGGAAAATGAATACTCTTTCTGATCAACAAATTTTGTATTTAATTTATACAAACTCAGGTAAGTCGTGTTTTTCATTACTTATATCAAAATATATTTATAATAAGTATATATTTTCGCGTTTTACATTTTGACTGTGATATACCTGATGATAAATTTTTTTAATTTGAAAACCAGCAGTGTAATACACTTATCATAATACCCCTGACGATGCATTGATTCATTTATTTATTTTATTTATATATATATTTATTTACTTTATATATATTTTCAATTATAGTTCCAAAATCGGTAAAAATTGTATCTAATTCACCTCCTGGTTTAGAAATTATCGACAATTTTATTGAAGAAAATGAAGAAAATTTTCTGTTGCTATATTTTAAAGAACATTGGTCCGAATCAAGTAATATCATCTTTAATTATGTACATTTAGTAACTTTTAACAATATAATTGTATTTGTAGGTACTATGAAACATCGACAAGTAAAGCACTATGGATATGAATTTGATTATGATAACAATGGAGTTCGATATGATACATGTGATCCTATTCCAAAAGAATTTAATTTAATTTTAAATGCCATTCAATCTCGTTTAAAATGGTGTCCCAATCAAATAACAGTTAATAAATATTTACCCGGACAAGGTAATAAAATTTTAAAACACAAAAACTAAAATAATATTTTTATCAAGTTTACTAAATTTTTCTATTTAATGTAATTTGTGTCAAGCCTTTGACGAGATATTCCACTTTTAATGGGTTAGAAGAGAGTAGTGATGTATTTTAACACTGCGGCCTGTACTGCCGCCACACAAATGATACTCCACTACTCTCCTCCAACCCAAACTTAAAAGTGAAATATCTTGTTAAACAATCTGCGGAAATAAAAAATTTCAAGACTCAAATTCATTTTGACTAATACGCCATTTATTTATGTTATTTTTAATATAGGTTGCCATTTGAAAATAAAGTAGGTAGTGGTTTTAGCCCCAAAAATAAGGGTAAAAAAAATAACATGAATATAAAATTGTAGATCTGATTGTTTCTTAAATGTTCAAGAAAATAAATTCCGAAAAATTTAATACTTTCCGAGACGATGAGTGTACCCACTTAAATGGATCATCCGGTATTAATAATTGTATTGCTATTAAAAACTGTAATAATACAATATCAGTTTATATCAGTATTATGTTAAATGTAAATATGAGTATACATATTGAGTTTTAATGTTAAATTTAAACTAATTACTTTTAGGAAACAACTTTAAAATGTAAAATTACAAACTAATGCAATTTCTGTATACTCGGCACATTTTAAGATCATAACCGGTCGCGCCTTCGAAATGACTTCCTCCACTGCACCGCTCGCCATAGTGGCAGTTACCGGTTTTGTATACGGAATGGACAAGCACGGGTTTATAAAACAATAGAACTCACTCCACCACACTGTATAGCCGATTTTATGACGGCACTGTTATGAGACACATGTCACACAAACAATACAACTATATCACCCTACCACGTTGTATAATTATTTTATATATATATTATTTAAATTAAAATTTTTTTATTTTTAGAAAAATCCAATAGATCCTTCACTTTATTGATAATCTAAAAATTAAAAAACGAATATTAATATAAAAGAAAGTCTTTTAAAATAGTATTATATGGTTAAATCAAAGTATTTATTTTAAAGATTATACATGTTAATTGTAATTTTATTTTGAACCACAATATTACAATCATTAAAAATAATTATTATGAATATTTAAATATATATACAATGAAATAAAATAAAAAATATTTTAAAAGTATTATACAAATTTACAAATAATTAGGTACATAATTAAATTAATCGTCTTCGTCATCAGATGAGTATCTTGATTCACCAATTGATAGAATATGATGTGAATCAGGCTGGACTTCATCTATCAGCTCGTCACAAATGAAGTCAAAATCCCAAAACTTCTGTTCCTCGTTCTTCACGTGTCTTATGGAAGACTGCCAATCTTCTGGTTTTACCCTGTCAATGGCTTGGTGAAGCAGATGTTTGACATTAAAGGTTTTATTTGTAGTGTTGGATTTTACATATGACTTCACCATTGACCACACAAATTCGATCGCATTTAGCTCGTAATGGTAAGGGGGCAGTCTTAAAACCATTTTTCCAGCATTTTTGGCCATCTCATCAATTATGTACGAGTTGTACCTAAAAGATAAATAAAAATATTAAAAATTTATAATTTGAGTAATTTATATTTTAATCATTACTTTGATTTTAAACGTTGGACAATTTCCATGAGGTCATTTTTGATAAGTTGTGTGGGGTCAATTTCTTCACCTTTAGACACTAGCCATTCTACTATGTCTGCCTTTTTCCAATTTATCGTAGGAATTTTTTCTTTTTTCACCGAGTGATATGATGCATTATCTAATACAATCACAGCATTGTTTTCTAAAAGAGGCAATATTTCTTCAAACCATTTTTGAAATGTTTGACTAGTCATTTCTTTATGATAATCTGATGAATTTTTTTTTGACTGGAAACACAATAGACCACCTGGTACAAAACCAGCTGCAGACCCAATGTGTGCAACAATTAACTTTGTACCTTTGCCAGTTGGGTTTTGAGGGACAATAGATAGACTTTGCAGGAATGCCATTTTCCTTGACGTAATGGTTTTGTCAATCCATTCATTATTTACACCATTACAGATGTTGAGCAAAATTTCATCGAGGTAATATATGGGTCTACCTTCTTCTCGAAAACGACGTATTGAAGTTATAAATTGTCTTCTCCAGCTTATAAGGTCTCTTTTTTCTGTTAAAATACTATTTCTCTTTGTTAATTTAAAATCTAAGCTCTTCAAAATTTTCCTTAACGAGGTTTCCTTCATATTTGGCAATGCATTGTCTTTGTTTATAGCAGTTAATACCTTCGCAAGTGTCGGTAGCTCTTTATTATGCCAAAATGAATGCACTTTTCTCCTGATAGCGTTCTTGTCAAAATTGTCTATTTTATCCGCAACACCCGGTCTATTTTTTTTTCTGTTGGGTAAAGTCACAGTCTTCGTTTGCATGTATTTATAGACTGTGGTTTGCACCTTATTCAATCCAATACCAAGTGTATCGGAAATACGTTTCATCAAATCGTGATAATTAATTTTGTTGTTTTCTGTTTGTAATTGTTTATAATAATTGATAATCATACGTTTTCGTGAACTGCTAACAGGCTGAAAATATAAAAATATTAACTATTATTGAAATGATACAAATAAACATTTTGTTAGTTAATGGTATTGCTAATTGTTTTAAATATATTTTTAAATTATCAATTTTAAATAATTGTTTTGAAAACAATATTTTCATCGAAAAATATACTATTTTTTTTATAGCCCAATATATTTCGTCCAAACCGTAAAGGAAATAATATTTTGTAATAAAAATACGTTTCGGTTAAAACATTATTAACCTACAAAATTTTGATGTAAATCTTATCGTGATTTTCATTGTTAAATAAAAAATATTACTATAAAATTTTTTCGATTTACTTTGCCATGAAGATTCTTCTTCCGTGGGGAAATGAATGTTGTAGCCTTCTCATCAGACATATTTCACGGAGTAATTAACTAGCGCGTACAGAGCACAACTAAATAAGCGTGTGGAACAAAATCATACGAGTGCGTACACTGTTAAAATAACAATATTAAACTGATAAACCTTTACAGCACAATGTAGGCGATTCACATTGGCAACAGCGCTATACAACTGTAAACAGATGTTTGGAGAACCAATGAAAATTCGGCTGCGCCTAACGAACGTTAAACAGTCCGCCGCCCGGTCATGATTTTAACGTGCGCAGAGTATATTTACAATTCATTTGTTAATTTTTCGATATCAGCTTGCAAACATGTGACTGTATGTAGTATAGAATGTAAATGCTCATTGCTAATGTATGAAGACTATATATAAAACATCTATTACATTGATAATGAATCTTTGATTGAGTTCTCAACTTTAAAGACCTTGGCGTTTTCTTTCGACAGTAAATTAACCATTAATATGCATGTGAACTATATAAAAAACAAATCGTTGAAACAGCTTGGTTTTATCAAATTTTCCTATGGAAACTTCAATAACACAAATGCTCTTTGTCTTATTTATATTTCCTTTGTCAGATCTTGATTCTTGATTCTTGATTCAGATCAGATTGTACTCTTGATTATTGTTCTATCATATGATCTCCATTCTCTCTCAAACATAAATCGTCATTGGAAGCTGTGCAAAACAAATTTTTAAGTTTTCTTTGTTATCATTGTAATATCCTTCGTGTTCCCTATTCTTATTTAACCCGTTTAACTATTTAAATATTTACTTTTTCTGTACTTCACAATATATGTGCCTATATTTACATTGATATTTTAATTTTATACATTATACTGATAATCATAATTTAATTATGTTAATAAAACTAAATTATGGATATTATTGAATCAGAAAAATTAAACATATTTTTAAGGGCCATAAAAAATTTGCTTCACGGACCACATGTGACAACTGTGTGCTGCAAGTTGCCAATCCTTGCATTATAGGAATTAATGTTTGTTTTTCAAATTTTTTAAAATTTAAAAATTTTCTTTCAACATTTTGATGGCCACTTTATTGATAAGACTTCCCCTAATCTACTGACTGATACTTATTTAATGAAAAGGGGTATAGCCGTTTTTTATGAATAAATGTATAGTTTTAAGCCATAAAGCCACACAAAATTTTGTTCTATAGGAATTACTTTTGGCACATTTTAATTTTGAAAGCACATTATGATTTGTTAAAAAATATTCAAAAATATAAACAAATTTTTTTATAAGATTTTTAATTAAAAAAAAATACATTTCTATTCCCAATATATGAGTATTCTAGTAAAGAACCGTAATCCATTTTAAAAATTGAAATTCGTCAAAACATAATTCCTACACTTTTGTCTGGCTTTTACATCTAAATAACTACTTTACATAAAGTTTACATGAAGTTGCATGTGGCTGTTATGTGTTATTGTAATTGGGAACAATTTAATTTTTGACTTACTAATTTGTATACTAATATTGTTTCAATGAACTACTATAGTGAAATCGAGCTTTTTTATATTATAATAATACAATGTATTTATTTTAATTTTTTCAGGTATTCCAAGTCATACAGACACTCGTGGCGTGTTTGATGATTATATTGTATCTCTATCGTTAGGTTCTGATATTGTTATGGAGTTTAGGAAAGATAACTATCATAATAGTGTCCTGCTTAAGTCAAAATCCCTTTTAGTTATGTCTGGTGAATCAAGATTTAATTGGACTCATGGTATTACTCCTCGAAAATTTGATGTGATTAACACTGTAAATGGTCCTGATGTCTTATGCCGAGGAACTAGAATTTCTGTAACATTTAGACGAGTAATTCAGAATCAGGTAAATGTTAAAGCAAATGAAATATATTCAATTAGGTATCAATTATACAAACTATTTATCTTTTTGTTTTTTTTTTCAGCAAAATTTTAAATACTATAATAATATTAATACTTCTTCCTTATCTTGTTGGCCCATTGAGAGCCATTACTGCCATCACGAAACCTTACCATTTCTATCTGTCATATTATGCATTGGTAAAAGTCGAATCTTCTTTTACATTTTTGATGTCTTGAGCTATAACATCAATCTATCAGGTTCTTAGTCTTCCTAATGGACACTTTCTGTTTATATTGTATACTAGAATTTCTTTCATTACTTGTCCATCTGCTCTCCCATACATGACCAAATCATTCCAGTCATTTGCTTTTTATGATATAACAAGGCTCACGTCATAAACTTATGCAGCTCGCATCTTATCGTAAGATACAAAACATTTTTACTAATTTTTACTAAAATGTTTTTTGTTAAATATACCACATCAGTATATGGGCACTTTGCTCAAGCAATATTAAACGCCATACAAAAAATAGTTTCAGTAGTTATTTCAGTTTCCTTGAAAATACCGACATGACATAAGTTTGTTTATTTAATTTTAATTTCATTGTACTTAATTTATTTTTTCTCAACTCAAAACCGGTAGGAAATTTGTTACTAAACAAACTGTGATTTGTTTCATAATGGCGTTTTAAATCACTCACATTAAATTGTGATAATTGGAATTGACAGATGAGACAAAATGGTTTACTGTTTCGTTCTATGAAAAAGAACTCTTCTTCCCAGTGTAATTTGAATTCTCTATGTTCTTCTTCGTACTTGCGTTTCTTAGACATGATAATTATTTTATTAATATTATGGTGATACACTCATGACATCGAACAGCACTATGAAGACATATCCATATATATTTATGATAGTATTTATAAAGACAAAATTAAGATAAAATTTAATCTGACATTATTATACGTTATTATGTTATTTCACATTCTATACATTTTATTATATTTGATATCTTATCTTATTTATTATATTAATAAGACCTTTTTTTTCATTTTGGCTCTTCCATATTTATGAATATATTGGGCGGCTCGCAAGTCTCTCCTCGTTGAACACCCCAGTGATATAATATTTGGCCTGTTATATAATTCCTTTAATTCTAGATTTTTCCATCTTTCATATTATGTTTGCAACTCTACATTGTATCTTGAACCGTATATATTTCTCGGTACCTTTCTTTCAAGGGTAATTAAATATCTGCTGTCACTTTTGGTTAGTAACTATGTTTCGCTCATGTATATGACTTCTGGTTATAGATAGCTTAAGTACAGGTGTCTTTGAATTCTGTGACAGTAGTTTTGATTCAAGGAGTTTCAATGTTAATACTTTCAATAATAGTTAATGATTTAAATAAAAGTTAATTTATTAAATCTACCTCACCCTGGGAAATAATTAACTTAGATAACTGGTGCGTTATGCCTCTTCTACTATTTATAATATTATATGTTCAGTATTAATAATACTAATTATTTAATTTTTTAGGCCAAAGAAAATTTATATGAAGTATTAGGCTGTGATAAAACAACTTCTTTTGAGACTCTAAAAGAAAATTATAGAAAATTACTTATAAAATTTCATCCAGATAAAAGCATTTCTTCATCAACAACAGCTGCTTGTGCCGAATTGAATAAAGCATGGAATGTTCTTAAAGATCCAGATGCTAAAAAAGCGTATGACGAACAAATAGAACAGAGTGATATTGATACAGAAGTAACAGTTTTTGAAACTCTGAACGTTAGTGACTTAGAAAATAATGAAATGAGTGATACATTGTCCTACAGATGTCGATGTGGAGGTTCATTTTTAGTACCAAAATCAATAGTTCTTAATGTAGATCAAATAGAGCCAATATTATTTCCTTGTGATGATTGTTCTTTATTTATTAAAATTATACTACCAAACATTGGTGTATGAGTAAAAAATTGACTTTAATTTCTTAATGCTATTAGTATTAACAAAATATGTTTTTTTTTATTATTAGAATTACTTAAAGTTAGTAAAACTGCTATGATTTTAAACTTTTCAAAATTCCAAATACTTTATCCAAAATAATTTTTTATTAAGCAAATTCTCCAATTAAATTTGCAATTCACTCCCAGTGTCTTATTTTTTTTTTATTTCTAACAACAAAGAAAAAATACTACAATACTTATGACTCCAAATGGTTTTTTCATTTGCAATGATTTATCGTTGAATACATTATATAATGTTAGAACAGTTTGGAGAAGATCAATTCAGATTCAGGAGAGAGAAAGAGAGGAACTCGAAAACCGATCTTAGCTCTGAGACTAATTCTAAAAAGAAGACTGCATTTAAATCTCCAAACATATATAACATTTATAGATTTAGAAAAAGCTTTTGATAAAGTAGATTGGTTCTTGCTATTTAGTACATTAAAAAAAGTGGAATCGACTCGAAAGATAGAAGGATCATTTTGGGTTTATACAAAAAACAAACAATACTGATAGATATAAATGGAACCATTAAGGAAGCTAAGATAAGAAAAGGTGTGAGACTATGCTGTTCCTTGTCGCCGTATTTGTTCAATCTTTTCATAGAAAAAGCAATAGAAGAAATGAAGGAAGTAACCAACGGTGTTAGAATAAATGAAAACAAGTACATATTATACGATTTGCGAACAACATTACTCTGGTGGCAAAAAGTGGAGATAGCATGAACCTAATGCTTAACACCTTGGCCAGTATTATGGATAAATTTCATATGAAAATAAACACTACTAAAACAAAAACAATGGCAGCACGAAGAAATCAAATATATACCCAACCATCTATAAAACAAAACAACATTGTAATTTAAGAAGTTGATCATTTCTGCTATTTGGGAAGCACAATTACATATAATAACGAATCCACCATTGATATCAAAAAAAGAATAACTCTAGCTAAACAAACATTCATGAAGAAATATAGTCTATTAAATAGCAAATAATTCAACATCGAAACTAAAAAAAAAAATGTATTAAAAAATTTGTATGGAGTGTGTTGTTATATGGATGTAAAACCTGGACTATCAGGAAAAAAGAAAGGGACAGTTTAGAAGCAATTAAAATGTAGATCTGGGTTTAAAAGAAAACAAATGAGTTAGTGTTAAATGATGTAAGAGAAAAATGGGATATAATGAAACACATAATAAAAATGAGAATAAAATTATTAGAACACTTATTTAAACATAACACATTTATAAGGAACTTCTTCGAGGGAAAGATCTTGAGGACATCCAAGAACATCATACTTCTAAATCTCAAACATCTCATGGATGTCAGATCTTATTTACAGTTGAGAAACGCGGCAAACAACAAAGACAAAGCTATCATGACAAGGCACTGCCTTTAGATGATGATAATGACAGTATATAATATAAATTGCCTACTTTCTATATCCTACCTTCCCAACTACCCACCTACAGCATTGACCTACCAATATGCAGTATCAACTAAAAAAAAAGAAGTAAGGTATTAATAATCTATTAAAGAACCAATTTTATGATTATTGAAAACAAAGATACTTATTTAATATATTATATTTTGATAGGTACGTAATGATAAAACTTAAATAAAATATATTTTAAAATATTTATTGTATTAACTCGCAAGCAGTCCCGTAGAGGTCTAATTGACCCCCATCAAAAATAAAACTTATATATTAGATAAAAAAAAATGTAATAGTAATATAATATTATTAGTGGAGTTTATTTCACTTCATTTATTAATGTTAGTTTTAGAACCGGCTGATGTCATTCTTACAGACTTCTCCAAGACATTCGATACAGTCGACCACAACTTACTCATTAATGAGCTAGAATCCTTAGGAATAGCTAATCCTCTCCTATTTTGGCTTAGGTTCTACCTCTGATAATAAACAGTTCGTAAAAATGTATAACGTTTATTCTGATCCTATCAATGTAACATCAGATGTACCTCAGAGCGGTCATTTAAGCCCTTTACTGTTTCTCAACTCTATTTCTAGCTATGTTTCTTGAGTGAAGATCTTGCTTTATGCCGACGACATAAAAATTGTCCATAAAATAAATGTGCCTGAAGACTGCGCCTTGTTACAAGACGATCTCAACCTTTTCAATCACTGGGTCACTCGTCTTGGCTTATCAATGATTCTTAGAAATATAACGTCATTACCTTTTCTAGATCTCGCATATCAATCTATAATAATTATCGTATAAACGGTACTCCGCTTCTACGTGTTTCTTCTATTAAAGATCTTGGTATTCATTATTCCTCCACACTCTGTTTTATTCACCATATCGACACAACAGTGAATAGATCACTAAAAGTTCTTGGTTTTCTAAAACGTAATGCTCAACTTTTCTCTTCTGCTAGTTATCTTCGATCCTTATATGTCTTTCTAGTTAATCCTCTGATCGAGTCGGTCTTGTTATCTGGCAAAAGACCAATTAAGGCTGGAGCGTGTTCAAAATAAATTCCTAGCTTATGCTGCTTTCGTTCTTAACCTACCTGATCCATGTCATTATTTTACCTATTTACATGAAGTTTTAAATATTCAATCATTACTTTCTCGACATTCCTAGACCGACCAGATATTTCCTTTAGAGTACCTTCTTGTAACACCTGCAATCAAAGAAAATTCTGTATATCTACACACTCTACATCATATGGCTATAACAATCCTATCCACCGCATGCTCTGATTACTCCAATAGTATAATTGTATTTGTTGAAAGTAATTTAATCTAACTACTGTTATTGTTAATTTTATATTGTAATGCCTTACGCCGTAAATTTAGTAAATAAAAGAAAATAATATAGATTTGTATTTATTTTCATTTTATTTTTTTTTATTATTAAATTTTTATCCATATTTATTTTATTTAAATATATATCCATTGTCGATGGCATAAAACCAACTGGTTCTTAGATATTGATATTTCAATTCTAATTCTCTTTTTTACATTTTTTCCCCAAAAAATATATGTCATATTATGGTGAAATAATTACATATGCATTATATATTTTGTTTTATATTGTACCTATTTTCCCATTTTTTTTTATGAAAACAGCTAGGAAAATCAAAAAATTAACCTCCCTAAAGTCCTAGCCCAGTCAGATTTCCTTTCAGAAAAAGTACTATCATTGTAAATCTGAGCAAAATCGTAGGTAGATAAGTTGCTCACAAATAAAAGAAAAAAACACTATCGTAAAACTAATAGGTACATTACTCACTCTGCTCAGAATCTAAAATTAAATAATTCTTATTTAGTAAAGCAGAACATGAAAACTAAAATATTAAGTCTATTAAAAACTTAATAACATTGCATAATACTTCATAATGTAAACATTTATTGCATACAATAATAAGTAGATAGTCAATTATATTCTACACCAGGCACATGTTATAATAATTTATATTGCATTTATAGTTTTTCATCAATTAACTGAACAGTTATGAATAATTATACATTTATAATCTATGTAGGTACGTAACTGAATTGTCGAAACAAATTTATCACTAATATTGTTTTTCAAAACATTGAAATTGCCTTATAAAAACAATTATTACTCTCTACAATTACAATTAAAACAAGAAGAAAACAAATAACAATTTAATGACAATAATGGAAAATTAAAGATAAGTGAGTGTTATTAATTATAATAATTAATTTTGTGGATAAAGTGTATATAAATTATAGATTTATCAAGTTGATGCAATAAGAACAGAGGGAGGAAGATTTTCAGAATCATTAATGCGTGAAGAAACGCAGGTAGGCACGTAAAATTAAGAAGACGCTAAAATATACATAATTTACCTACTTACATAAGTAGGTACCATGATATATTATAGGTATAGACAGTGGCGGCGCGTAGTATTTTACCTTAAATCAACAATTTAATTTTCCACCCACTCAAACTCAGTGACGTATTTTAATCATTGACCCCCCCCCCATCTATTAAATTGTGTAGGCATTTGCTGTATACAAAAATTTAATATTACTAGAAATGTGTCATCAGACACAAAAATTAAAAAAAAAAAAAACGGCTCTATTGATATGAAAAAAATCCCACACAACGTACGGAAACAATATGAAAAATAAATAATATTATAAGTTGAAATAAAATGTATGTAAAATAGTAATAACTAGATTCGTGCTCTTTTCCCTATCGGCGTTTCAATTTAATGACCTGAGCCATTTAGAAATCCGTATTTAGGTTAGGCACACAAATAAATCATGGTAATTAAAAGTATTTATTCATTCTATACAAACATAATATATTATATACATCGTAAAGATAACAAAGACTTAATAAATTTTTTTAGCATAAAAGACGAAATTAATTTGAAATATATATATATACATACAAGGGTAGATATTATTCGCTAAATTTCTAATTCATATTTTAATTAGCTTCATATAATACATTCATCATTATTATTATTATTATTATTAAAGAGTAAACACATTAATTTAGTATTATCAATGTTTTCTTTATTAATCATAAATTTAAAAAGAGCTGATACTGGCGACGGATGCGGCCACTGTTTTAGGCGAGAAGTTGGGAAGTTAGAATACATAAGGTTATTTCATGTATATCTGTAAGCAACGATAAACCATTGCTGACGAAAGACAATTCCGAATGCAGTTCGGTAATACATAATTTGAAGTACCGTAATATTTTTTGTGATTTTCGTTTAAATTCTATTTCAAAACGCTTATTAAAAAAAAAAAAGTCCGATGGTTTTCGAAACTTGACCACGTCTAGGTAAGTCCAATATAAGTACTATTTATGTTTCAAGTCTCTACGTGTATTTATAACCGAAATACAACGAAGACGACCAAAAATTAAAATTCCTTAAAAGCTTAAAAGTTTTGGCGATGATACCTTAAGAAAGTATATCAAAAAGGCAACAAAAAAGGTATTTTGAGATTTTTCGATTAAATCATTTTTTCTGGTAGAAAACGTTCGTGTTTTTATAAAATAATGAAATCGTGAAATTGTACGTTTTTCCTGCCTAAGTGCTATTATTTGAAAAATGGCGTCGAAAATCAAAAAATGACCTATTTAAAAGGGACAATCTAGACAACTTAAGCTTTCAGAAAAGTTGCTACACGTAAAAATCTGAACAAGTTTATTAGGACCACAGACCAGAACAAAGAACAAAAAAGAAGAAATAAACAGCATTGTAAAACCATTAGCTACTCTCGGAACCTAAAAATGGAATAACTTAATGAAGTTATAAAAAATACCAACAAAATAGATACCACATTAAACTGATGATTAAGTCAAAATTTTTTAAGAAAATAAACTGTTATTATTTATAAATACACAAATTATAAATTGTAATACTTAAAATGTTTACCTTTCATTTTATAGATAAAGGTTTTAGATATAGGTCAACAATACCTAAAGAGAGGTTGAACGAACTTGCAATATTAAATATTGAAGCAGACATAACGAGACTGATTAAATATGAAGACGTTATAGAAAATTTTGCTGATATTCAGTTTAAAAAAAATTGTAAAATAAACAATAAATATTATTATATTATGTATTATTAATTTTGTACCATTTATTATTATGTGTACTATAGTAGATTCTAGGTAGATAGTACTTAAGTTATAAATTAGTTACTTGTGTTTATTTTGTATAGTTTACCTACTATTAAAAATCTATGGAGAATGCGTCCGAAGTTAAAGTTGTTAAAACTTAACTGCGAATTAAATTATCAATGAGAAAGGGAAACATAAAAAATGAATTTATTTTTGGCCCCCAGTGAAAAAAAAATTAGCTATAGGGGCGCAAAATCCTTAAATACGACGCTGAGTGGGAGATATTAACACACGACCTTCAAAGTTTAATAGATCCGAGTTGAAAGATTGTGATATTCCTGCCATTGATAATAATGATTTGAAATTAATAAGAAATAACATCCACCATGCTCGTAAAGTACTGTATCCAAAATTACCTAAAAGCGTACAAAAAACACAAAATGCCTTAAACACAATGAAAATAACTACTAGTAGATACGAACATTTTTCATTTTGTAATAATTTGGAAGTCAATATCATAGGTTTTTCTACTGATACGAACTTGAAAGTTTTATGTGATGTTACGGGAATATATATATGGATGGGATATTTAAAAGCTGTCCAAAATATTTCTTACGACTTTTCACTATTCGTGGATTTTATAACGGATTATATGTACCGTTGGTTTTCTTAATATCACCTAATAAAACATTAGAAACGTACACAAAAGCTTTCCAGTATGTTATAACATATTGATTTACTCTTCAACAAAATTTTTACCCTACTGAAATTCGTATTGATTTCGGAATGGCGATTCACACATCTATCAAATACGTCTGGCCCGAAGCTACGAATAAAGGATGCAGATTTCATCTAGCAAAAATTTGATGGCGAAAAATTCAACAACTTGGGCTATCGAAGACATATAAATGTACTGATAATGATAAAGGTAAAAGCCTAATATAACCAACCTACACGTGGTGTCTCCTGGGGAACTCTTAATAGGCTAGACTAATATGTTTTCAATATACTTAAATAGTAATAAAATAAATATGTCGAGACCCGACTCGTGCGTACACGTTATAATATGTCGGGACCCAACTTGAGATCGGCCCATTACTCGAAATCCCCCCCCCCCTACCTCAAATGTAACAAATTCAAATTCTTTAAATAACTTGTTTTGTGAAAACATAATAATTTTTACTATATTTCTGAACACACACGATATCCAACCACCCGTATTTTTGTGAATCACGTGATTAAAATATACCTTCTACGCGCCTTCACTGAGCATAGGTAAATTTGGTTTTTTTTTTTTTTTTTCTAAATTGAATTCACGAATAACCTTTAAATATGAACAACCATGTTTGCAAAACACATTACCAAAATATCTGTCTGAATTATCGGTACCCGCCTTTTTTTTTTTATTTTAAAACGACATTTGAAAATATAGGTAGGTACCCGCCCGCATTGCAAACAAATAATCTGTTTTTAATTGAGACGTGTCGAGATTATGTTAATCCGCGGTTTAGGGCGGAAACGATTTGTCAACACGGCTACGGTTTCAGAATCGTTCGCTTTGATCACCGATCACCGCGAAAAACGTATTGTTTTGCAGGCGGAGCACTGCACGTGCTCGCGTAGTCGCGTATAATAATATGCACGCTAACATCGTTCTGCAAACGTTCAATGTTACATGTCAACGTTCATAATGTATTATTACCGATATTGTTCTTCTGCTGTATAGGTATTTTTTATTATTTTTTTTTTTTTTTCATTTATCGTATAAAACGCAATATATCGCGTTGTATGAATTATTACGATTATCTATTATACCTCGCAGTACCCATACATAGTACAGAGGTGGGTACTTTAGAGTGAACACGAACCTGCAGTATATATACATACATACATACATATATATATATATATATTTCTCGTAGGCAACCGTGTATTGTACAAATCAAATTATCCCATAAACGGAACACGAGTGTGTTTTCGGCAATCCATTACCGTGTCACAGGTATGGGTGCGTATCAAAAATAGCGTTAGACATGCGAACCGTTTTGCTGCGGTTCACGCCGCAGTCGTTCGCCGAATGTTGCTGTCGGTGTCGGAATTGAATATCAACAGTTGACCCGGTTATAGACGTGTCGTTATTGGCCGGATTATCGATTCGTAATCCTGTACACCGTCAGTTCGGCCGAACGGGATCGATTTTATCGCTGCGGAATTCGATGCGATCGGATCATCTTGTATATTTGCAGACGGTCGTTACAATATACCACCTCGCGCGTTTGTCTCGAAATATCTCGAATGCGATTGCACTTTACCGAACCGTCATATTATAATAACGGCCAACACTTGCCTCGAATTCTTTCGCCACAACGGTGTAGATAAAGTAATGTTTAAAGTATTGTTCATAATAATATTGCATCGATGTAGTGTGCGGTCATGGTAGTCAAAACATTACTTACATGTATAAATATCGACATTGCCTGTACAATTAAATATGGCCGACGTGCCGCACAGAATAGTTAAGCTCGATCGAATATACACGAATTTGGATTATTTGAACATAACGTTGCCCAGCGATCCGGATTGGCAGTTGAGTACTTACAAAAAATTGGTCGAGAAACAAAGAGACATGAGTAAGCAAGAGAAAGAGTAAGTGGAATCATATTTAAACTACGTCTCGTGGTTTCAGGGAAGAAAGGTTTAAGTCAAATCTTATTAGTGTAAGGACAAAATTGTACGATATCCTGTATAATATCAGTGTACAGACTAATATCGTGTACCAGTGGCGCCGAAATAGTTTAAAAATATTCGGGCAAACAAGGCAATGCTGTTTTATACTGTTCTTTTTTCAGTGTAATATATTACAGAACTCATAGTACTATTTCGCATAGTTATATTTTCTACAAATACTACTCGTACCATGTATATTTCTCACCACTACCCACCGAAACATTTTTCGGGGGGACTAGTTCGGCGACACTGTTATGTCCTTATATACTTCTCACCTAATTTTGAATATGCATACACGTACGCAATTCAAACCGAAAACTAAAGGGGAAAAAACTACATTGAACCTAATTATAAAAACACACCAACAAGATTGCAGACTTATAAACCTTTCTTCCCTACGGTTCCTACGATATCTATTCTATTCTGAACGTAAGTAGGTATAGTATGGTATACATATGACGCTGGCTCTACACCGGTGTTATAGTTTTATAATATTCTTCAACATTATAGGTAATTTAATCGTCACCGCGAAATATATATTTTTTATTCTATTCTTTAATAAAGTTTGAAAAAAATATGTACACATATATAAGTAAAAGTAAATTTTTTAAATCACTTACATAATATGAATAAAATTACATGGTAATCATAATAACGACTTTACTGATTGATTAGTAAGAACAATTAATATTATTATTTTTTTTTTTATATATATAAAACTACATATTTTATTAGAAATGAAATAATAGCGAGAAAATGATAATTGTTTTTATTGTCAACTGTGTAGTATTTATCTACTGTTTATCTATAATATATTTATATACTATAATGTTTTATATGCTTTATGTAAGTAACATACCTATTCTATTATATTACATTAGAGCACAATTGAAATTTGTAAAACTATACAATAATTTCGATTGCTGGCGATTTCAGTTTTCTATATTACAATAATAGTTATGCTGCATGGCACACAATAAATCTGAGTTTTATACGGTGCCGGATTAAGGTTGCGGAACCCCATGACCCTTATCCGATAGAGGTATGTTTAAAATGAAAAAAAAACGAATTAAAATTTGAAGGTACTAAAATTTGCAAAAAATTCTTACTATATCTACTAAATAGTAAAATTGCTTATTTCGTGAGGAATCTCATACGCTTAATTTTGTATAAGCCTCTGGACTTGGGTTCCTTGCCCCCCCTCTCTAAATCCAGTCCTATAGTTTTATATAATAATTCATTATCATAATATATATTTACTCCAACTCGAAAATACTTATGCACGTAATAGTATAATATTATAATAGGCAATAATAATAAAAGTAAGTATAGCCAGTATATCGGTACGTACCAATCAAATAATTTATTTAAATCTCCGCCACATGTAATTTTGGAAATGTGAAATATGTACCGTGGCGTTTAATATTTGTATTAATTGAACCATTTATAACGTTACCTAACCTACCTTATAATGATTTGATTGTAAAGTGCACCACGTCTAACAAATAATACCTACCTATACATCAAACAAGTACTTTATTACTTATCTTTAATTTTTTTTTTTCTATTCTTAATCATGAATATGATACATCTAAAATTAATATTTTGAATTATTTTAGGGTGGACGATCCAATTTCAATTGTATCTTCCTTAAAAGTTGGGTACATATTTGAAACTGCGTTCCACAGTAATAAGTCTCCTGTGAAGGAAATAGACGGGAATTCGGACGTGATATCGGAAATCAAAAAAGAAATTGACACCGAAGAGTCAGACAGAAACACGGAGCTCTGGACAAACCGCGAGGTGGTCCTTGCCGCCAAAGTACTGAGCGCCAATAATCCCAAGAGACACGGTATAAAATTTGTTTCCGACAATCAGATGCGAAGAGTGTACGACATAATATTCGAAGTGTTTAGATGTAAGAACGAAATTAATTAGTTTTTATCGTTGTTTATTTACGATTTCTATAGAATTGTACTTATTGTAATAAAAAAAAAAAAAAAAAATCGATTTAATATTTTAATCGCTTTTGAAACTAACAGTTTATCCTAATGCAGAATAACAGAATATATAATAATATAGGTTATTGACGTTATTGATATTATCTTTGAACGGCTACATAAATTAACGCTTTTCTTCGTAATGAGATTCTCGTTGTAACATTTCCAAAGAATTCCTCACAGTTCGGATAAATTAAGAATTTTCAAAATATAGTCAATAAACTATCTTATTTGCAAGACCGGGATTTAAATGCACTTAAAATTCACAAAAAAAGTACTTAAAAACGGCAAAAATAAACCATAAAAAAATATTCAAAAAGCAAACACGGTATAGTAGTTTTAAAAGCCCTTCCTCTAAAAGATGTGATTTATTGAATACAATTTCGAAAATGATTCAAAATAATTTTTTTCAAATAAAATTATACGTATCACAAAAAGAAGAGTGGAACTTTTTAACGCCTCTACCATGGTTGTCTTTTTAAAAATAAATGTTTAAGAGTTCTTTTGCCATTTTCGTATATTTTAATTTAGATAGAAGACAGATTTTAGGTTATTGGTGTAACAAAAACGAACAGACTTTACTAAGACCGGTCCATTAGAGAGCCCTCTACCTGTATTCATCACCCTACGTCAAACATCCCATAGATTTATCTTTGTTTTCCATACATACTTTTACGTAGAACGTGTTATACAATAATAATATTAAGTATAGGTGTTATTTTCATTTTCAGATCGAACAATTATCAACGAAATTTTGAACAACATTGATTTCGAAGACATTTATCCAAATGTAAGACGGTACTTTCGTTTTGTTTACGAATAATACTATAGTAGCTCTTTTTAATACGACTGCTAATAATAATGATGTTATTAATGTATATTCGATCAATTTTTAATAGTATAAGAAAATGACTTTGCTCGTGTGGTTGATGTCGTTCGATTACTACCGGAATAAATTCAAACCGAGGAAACTGGACGAAAAAGAAACCGCGCAGAGTTTTGAATCGTTGAAATTACTCGAAATAGCAGACGTCCTCAAAGGGATCAAAATCCAATTAGCCGCATCTTTTTCGAAATTCAGAATAAAACATTGTGCCTTGTCGCTGTCCGACATGTTGCCCAAGCATTTGCGTAATGAGAGGTTTAAAAAATCGCCAGAAACAATAATAAGTTGTTGGATAAATACGTTTTTGACCAGGTAACTTTATAATAATATTATATACAATTAAAAATTAAAAACAATTTAAAATATATATATATACTTACGATGATACATATTTTTGATTTAATAGCGTAGAGTACGTAATAACCGTATTAGAAAAAGCGGGGTTAACTCAAATGAAGAATCCCGAAGACGTACAGATTCCCGAGACGTTTAAAATGGACCATTTTTTGCCTTATTTCATGCACATTTATCCAAAAAATAAATCGGTATTCTTAAAAAATATACCACTGTTCCAGAAACATTTATTGATATTACAAGTGGGTACCTATTATACATATATTCTATAATATATACTATATTATTATTTTAACCGTTATGAAATTATTTTAGAAATTATTAGAGTTTCAGATAGACAATCATATATTATTGAATTATTTTTATCTCGTGAATTCATATGCAGTTCAAATAATTGACTATTTTACTTTCTGTTATTCCACTAGTTCACTACATATATGTCGTAGGCCATATGGAAAATTAGTATTTTTGTGAAAAGACCCTAGCCTAGGCTCTTCACATTGGGATAGCCCGTTTGCGAACTACTTATTATTTTTTTAAACGGCCTACTGCTTTTCAGGTTAATTGCATAAACTAACAGCGGTTAGGCCTTTTAAAAACTACAATAATTATAATATAGTAATAACTGTTTTACTTATTTTATTTTAAGGGTAATTTATTACTTTTACAAAAAAAAAAAAAAAAAGAAAAAAGATCAATAGAATTATTATAACGTGTAAACACTAAACTGAATAGTCTGAATAAGTATGGTACTTATTATATAGTTTGTATTTACTTTATAAACTGTATCAATGGCGAGTACTAGTGAAATTTAAATTATTTTAAAGTTTTTGACAATTGTATTACTAGTTTTATTTTACATTACTAACAAAAAAGAAAATATGTAAAACATCCATGTGGTTTATTCGTGTTACATATTTTTGTTTACAACTTTGCCAATTATGAGTGTCTAAATGGTCCACCACCTACTTCTGAAATAATGACTAAAATATAACTTCCAATTTATAAACTGTTTCAATGGCGTATTTATAAAATCATACCAATCGTATACATTTCAAATTCTTGGTAGGTATTTACCTACATTAGTTCATCAGTAGTTAGATTATAACTTTTTACTGTACACATTTTTGTCGGCATACTGTCTGTACAAACCAGACGTCAGTACACCTCTGCGTTATCGTTAAAACGGTCGTATTTATTTGTATTTCGTTATCAAAAATGTTTTTGCAAAACAAATAGATGTGGTTGGCAGTTTACACGTTATAATAATTCTATTGATCTTTTTTTTTTTTTGTAAATGTAATAAATTACCCTTAAAATAAAATAGGTAAAACAGTTATTACTGTATTATAATTATTGTAATTTTTAAAAAGCCTAACCGCTGTTAGTTTATACAATAAACCTGAAAAGCAGTAGGCCTTTTGGAAAAACAATAAATAGTTCGCAAACGGGCGACCGCATTGCAAAGAGCTTAGTCTTTTCACAAAAAGACTAATTTTCCATATGACATATATGTATAATATATGCTGCATCGATTTATTATAATCAAGACCCGGGTCGTATAGCGCTTAAAATCCGCAAAAAAGCGCTTAAAAAATAATTAAAAACCTTAAAATGGTCGAGGAGTTTAAAGGTTTCTCCACTAACGTACGGCTTTAATAACTTACTTAATATGTACTATTTTCTAACATTACAAAAATGATTAACATGAAGTAATTATTTCCTTTTTAAATACTTACAACTTTATTTAAACATATTACAATTTACTTTGTATTGTGTTGTGTTATTGCTTTTGTAGTATTTGAAAATGTTATTTAATAAGTTATACAGCCGTATGAAGAAGGACTTTTAAACACTTCTACCATTTTTTTGCTTTTTTAGATATTTGTTTACAAATGCTTTAAAGACATTTTTGGAATTTTCAAGCGCTTTTTTATGGACTTTAAATGCTGTAAGTCCCGAACCCTGAATTAATAATTATCATGCAGAATGAACTTCTATAGACAGGGCCGGCGCAAGACTAAATGGCATCCTAAGCCAAAATGCCAACTGGCACCTTTTTCATACAAAAACCCATACCATAATACTCAAAAACAATTTTTTTTCATAGACAGAAATACGGAAAAAATTTATTTTATGCTTAACAATCAATATGTACATTATTTGTTATCGTCTAATAAAATATAAATTTGTTATCGATTAAACGATAAAACATATTCGGATATTTTTATATTTATAGTGCAACCTATTATACGATAAACTAAAAAAAAATTGAAATTACGATTTATGATGATTCTAATAATTTTCTAATAATTTCATTTACGAGTACCTATAAAAAATATATTAATATTCCAATATATTTGGCTATCGCGAATTCTACATTATCATGTTTGTAAAAGTTATCACTAAAAAATGGTCTTACCTGTTCGACGGGTGTAAAGTACTATACGGAATAGTTTTTAAATCAATTTATTGTACGGAATAATTATTACACACGTACAGCATATCTATAAGATTCGCACTCGACAAAAAAAGGCTAATAATTAGTGTTCACGTTGTACAAAATATTTATATTATTATTATAATCAGTAGTACGCACGTTTGTTTTAAATTAGATCGATAATAGTGTACAGAGTACAGAGTGTCTCACGAGGGCGATGTACTCATTGCGAGATCTCGGGAAGCGTATTGACATTTTTCGGAATTTTCGTTTTCGACAATTTTAACGAGGTCAAGCAATTGTAACACCGAAAATAAGGGTTACGAAAAATAATCGCAACGTACCGTTTTAGTGTCCTTAAATTTTCAAAAAATACAAAATTCCCGTAATAATAAATCGATACATTCCGATACACATCATCGCAATGGTTACCTATATAATATATATCCCCGTGGGACACCCGTTATTACAGTGGCGCAGCCATGTGAGTGGACGGTGAGCAATAACACCCCACCTGCCTAATTGATCGTATCAACGGACTTACATAGTTTATTTGTACGCGTTTGAAAAATTTGCTACGGGTCAGTGTTCTAATTCTTATCAAATTGTTTGATAGAGAATTTTTTTTTTTTTTTTTAAATAAGTTTTCATCTGAACGGTCGATGGTTTACGGTTATAGTGATCTTTGAACCCGTGGTTTAGGTTGTAACTTGTAGATATAGGCATTCTGCGTATTCTACGGTAACACTATAGACCTTATGGGCAGAACGCGATTCCGCACGGCCCTTATCAGCGAACGGAATTGTGCACATTTTAAGGCACACGATTGTACGTACGTTATGTACCTATGATTTTAGTGCGATGTTGCCAGATTTCCATAGAGTACGTAGGTATTTGACTATTTGACTGAGTTATAGCGTTTTACGTAGGGTATTCCTAACTATTACAGTAGCATTTGTAAAACGGACAACAGTGATACACTCGTTAAATATTAGGCACCAGCTAAGTTTTAGCTGTATCATAAGATAGAATATTTTAATTATCTCCGCTGTACGTTGTAAATTTTACCTAGTCGTCAGTCAGTAACCCCGTCATTGTGTGTAAAGTACGGTGCGTTATAGAAATCAAACTTCTAAACAGTCAACTTGGAAAACGAAGTGAAGTTTATTATTTCGAAAAAGGGAAGACCATTTGTATTAATTATAATCACCATAAACATCGCCATATCGGCTTATACAAACAGGATATTTATACAATTGGTAAATTTTTAACTTTGTCTTTTGAAAGTTAATCAACTTTTTTTTTTAACGTTATTATTTAAGAAAATTAAACGAATTGACGATAATAAATGATAAATGGTAAAATTGACCAGATATCGTAATAACGATAATGTAATCGTGTTGTTTTCGGGATTTTTTTGACAATCCATTGTTTGATCAAAATCGAAAGGAATCGTGTTCCCAAAAAGGTTAAACGTACGGAAAAACGTGTAGGAATCGTGCTTCACCGAGACATTACATCACTAGCAGTAAACAGAGCACATAGAGCCGACAGGATCGGGTAGTCCGATCATGATAGCAATAACGTTTATTAAAAGTGACGCCATTAAACTATTGTTATTATGGTTAACTTTTGAGTTTTTTTTTACTTTGCCCCCTCCATTCCCGTTTTAAAATTCTGGCTACGCCGCCGCTTTGTTCTATAATATATTATTATTACAAGACTTGAACATTCGGCGGGTGTAAAAACCAATCGCAGGTATTTAAGCTGTACGCAGTTTGTTTATTTACAATGATGTTTATTTTTTTTTAGATTCCGAGTGGAGTTAGAAGCTTATAGTTTTACAAAGATGTTTATTTATTTTTGATAACTTTTCCACCAGAAATCTTGCTCCGATTTACAAGTTTTTGTTGTAACTCAATTTAAAATATCCGTAGAGACTTGAAATTCGATTAGAAAACTTATATTTATATTTTTCAGACGTGGTAAAGTTTTCAAAATATTCGATCCATTTTTGAGCTATTTATAAGCATTTTAATGTTGCGAGTTTTCTACGTTATTTGTATACGGTAGGTATTCTATGGATAAAATTATTAGACCAAACGGAAATGAGTACTATTTGTGGTAAACAAAAAAAAAATAAATAAATAACATTGAGTACAATGTACTCATACACATTGAGTATAATATATTTTTTTATAAGAATTTCAATGTCAAATTTTAACGAAAATCGAAAAAAATTACGATGTTTCGAAACACAATGTACAACTGAACATAGCAATGATTAATCGTTGAGCACATGAAATTCCCATATTCTGTATCCTACCTTACCAACTTTTCACCTACAACAGTGGCCCGCCCACGTGTGAAGTGTATTTTTTTTTTTTCATTTATCCGCGATATCAATACAATATTTTAATCGAATCGTACCGAAATTATTACTTAATCGCTGGTCAATAACCTTTTGGCGTATATTGTTCGAGTGCTTTGTTTGTGAGAATACTATTTGTTCTGCATAATTATAATCGTCGTACACGGCATATTTATATATACGTAATCGGAGCGTAATCGTTTTATTTGCTACTCGAATGAAATATCGCGATTATTACGATATTATAATTTATTGTATTGTGTACGCGTGTTTCCGCAAAGTTCAAGGGGGTAGGGGGAAATTGAACGAAATAAACAATGTGTAACTTTCGGAAAAACATTTTTTTTTTTTTTCTTTCTTACGGACATTAAACGGTTTTAAGCGTACCTACGTTTATTTCAAATCACTCGATAATCGATAATAAAACATGCGAATTACTTATAACATATATACTTGTATAAATATACTTACTCTTATACTTACTATATATATATACGCACGCTGGCCGTAATACTGCTGCACGACGGATTTTAACAACGGGTTAAGCAGGTACCCAACTGTATATTTACAGTACTTACTCGGCGGTGCATCGATTTCGCATCGTCCGTGCCAGGCCCGACGAGAGAGACGGGGGACAGCCGGGTCTGTAACCCTGGGGTACGATCAGAGTAACCCGGTCCTGTATTTTACGGTGCACCATAGTCGCGTCCCGTAAAAAATGGTATACGCGAATTGCGTCCCACTACATTGGTTAGGCGGTAGATTTTTATTTCGTTTTCAGGCGCTCTCCATGATGCATTAATTATAAGGGAGACTGATATTACTGTTTCGATGTATTATATTATGTGCCTGTTATTATAAATTACGATAATGGATGTGTTTTGTTTCCGACGGCTGGTTGATAAGCAACAATAACCAAGTTCGTGTCATTATTATTGCTGTTGTTATTTCTTACTGGCATTGAAATTATTTCTTTATTTTATGGCATTACGGACTAAAATAATTTTGATTAGATTTAAGTGATTTAGCGTTTATTTATTTATTTATTTTTTTTTTTTTTTATTATTATTATTACGTTTGATAGAGCAATTTTCGCTTGACTCATGATTATATTTATAATTGTTGTTTCTTTATTTCAGAGAATTAAAAACCCCTAATTAAAATACACGAATCGCGTCCTGGATTTTTTAGACGCAATTCGTTTATACCTTTTTCACGAGACGCAACTCATGTGCTCCCAAATTTTACCTAATTTATACATTAACATAAACATTGCTTGTATTTATTGTTATTATGTGTATTGGGAAGAAATATGATTAGCGCTTATGAATACCTCTAAAACCCTGAACATTCTTTTTGTCGTACGCGCTTTTAAAGGACGAAGCCGGGTGTTAGCGGTAAGTTTAATATTTGACATTAGGAGGGATCGGTTTGTCCCTGGGACCCGCGATTTCACGGCCCTGTCTCGCGCCAACGATTCGGGCCCGATTCGCCGACACCCAATTAGCCGACTACTCGGGTTAGTCGGCAGTTTGAAGTTTGACGAAATACAAAAAACTATTTTCGCGTGAAAACCTAGAGTATTAAAATCTACAATCAAAACGTCGAAAAACTGAACTATATTATAATATATATGATATTATTGTCAATTGACAGTCAACGTTCAATTAATAGTCAATGCGTCATCAGTACTTAAGTCAGTTTGTTATTTAACGATATTAAATTTAAAATGTCGCGTTTTATAATAATTTCTGAACGCGATAGCCTGCAACTATTAATTTTGTATAATTGGACTATACGTATACATATACATATACGTATACAAGATAGAAAAATAGATTCTAACCGCTATCGTAAATGTATAGATAATATTGTCGAGGTCAATGCAATACACGGAGAAGAATCAATTGTCGTTATTTCAAAAACAGGATTAATGAGATTAGTTAATGTATAGTTTTTTTATTTATAATCAACTTGAACAATTTTCGCGATTTTTGCTAATAGTTTAAAATACTATATTTTTAATAATAATAATATTATTCGCCGATTTTATATTTTTAAAAATATCGACGCACAAACGGTGACTAACGGCGCGCAAATGTCTTACAAAAAAGGTCAAAAAGACAATGTAGCAATGCGCGAATATGCACCCGCTGCAGTAGCATGGGTGTGCGCACGGGGTGTGCAGGATGGACAGCTACACACCCTCCAAACAACTGTGTCTCCTTTAAATTGTCAATTTATTTGCAAATATTATAGTTATTGTAGTTAAAATGATGTACAACAATCTAATATGCGTACAAATAAAAAAAAAAAAAAAAAAAACGTTTTAAGATAATGAGTACGGATGCGGCCATTGTTTTATAGGTAATTTAATGTATACCTGTAAGCAACGATAAACCACTGCTTACGAAAAAAACGATTCTAAGCTGGGTTCAGTTGATAGCGATGCTTTGTCAACAATATATACGCCTTATTATAATGAAATAATTAAGTAGGCTCTATATATTTTCTTTAATAATATTTGTTTAATGTTGTACCGATTTCCCCGGTTTTCCTACGTTTTTCCCGGTTTCCCTATGTTTTTTCCCAGTTTTTCGCGTTTGCTGAGAAAACTCCGGAGAAAATCGAAAAACGACCACTTTAAGGTACCTCGGAGCAAGTCTTCTGGTAGAAAAGTTCAAAACTTCAATAGTGAAATTCAATTTTATTTTATTCTGCGGTACACGGTTATTATGGTGTTCAACGTAAAACTTGATTTAGAAAAATGCATTGAAGGCGTTTCGGAGGGATTTCGACTGCCTAATCGCCCCTCGGTGTGCGCCACTGCTATGCACAGTAGGTACCTACTCCATATAGGTGTATGGGTGTCCCGATCGGTCCGTGAAACGTCACAACAATACACAATAGTCAAATGGTCAATAACAACATTAAAAATTACGTAGAAACGGTTGTATAGGTAAAACGTTTATTACCAACACAATGCGTAATATATTAACAGTGTATATAAAAAAAAGACACTCTACATAAACATATCCATAAAAAAAAAAAAAAAAAAAAACTGACAAAAACAAGAAAGCTAAGTAATATTATACAATATAATGTAAAAACACTACGTTATTCTTATATAGGTGTATAATGTAATATTTACATAATAGTGTTCTAATGTAATCGTTCTCGACAATAATAATAATATTAATAAAAATAATAAAATTTAAAAAAAAAAAAAAAAAATCAAAAAATTTTACTGTGTGGAAACGTACGACTGTACCGTACGTATAGTATTATGAGACGGGATTCGGATTTGTTTGTTTTTTTTTTTCTGTTATCGATATGACGAGGAAGCGGCTGTTGCACGTGAAATCCGATATTTCGATTTCCGAAACGTTTTGACGATGATAATATCCGCGTGTAACGTGTTTGCGGAAAACGAACGTCGCCGGAGCCGATTCAGCGGCCGCCGAAATCGCGGCAGTGGCGGCATTCGATAGGTACCTGTAAAAAAAAAAAAACAAAACAAAAAACCAAAACTATATCGGCCGCCCGACGGGTTCGGGAGCCGGTAAATCGAAAAATCCGTTCTCGGTGTTTCGCGGGCGCCGTCAGTGGCGTATATTTGCGGGCGAGGTTTCGCGTCGCGCACATCGTCCCTTCGGGAACTTTTGTTTTGTTTTTATCTCGTGTTCTCTTTAAACGTCAATCGTTTTTTTTTTTTATCGCTTCACGTTTCGTCTTAAAAACCGACAAATCCGACGGAACACACAATATGCTTTTTTGAAAGTGGAGGAAAAAAATAAAAATTATATTAATGTAATATTGTACATGCACGCGTGAAACGAGACTTTTTACGGTACGTTTGTTAAACGTACTTTACATTATACAAAGCGATTCGTTTTGAATTTAATAAATCACGCGTCGTTAATATTCTCCGCGCGGTAAATATTTCAATAGGTAAAAATTTACGGGACAATAACACGCGATGCATTTTTGTTTGTTTTTTGTATTTTTGTTACAATACGAGAGTCGCTGTAAAACTATTATTGCGAAGTGTTGCGCGGCAGAGCGATCGGGGTAGGAAAGAAAAAATCGAACGACAGCTGGGGTGGCGAGGGGGGGAGGGATGTGGAGGGAGTATAAGCTAATCGGAAGAAAACGAATGCGAGAAAAACCGAAACGCTAAAAAAAAAAACCCGAGGGGTAATATTGTTTTTTGTATTTTTTTTTTTTTTTCTATCGTAAATGTCCGTTCATAATAATATATTTTCGTACGTGCGCCCCCGCGTTCTGGTATTTGTTACGGTCGGACAATAATGCAGTGTACGTAAACAGTGTCACGCTCGTGAACACATGAATAATGCGTACGCTGCAGTAACAGATTTATCAGTTGTGATTATTTTTTCGGTTCTATAGGTCGCGCGATACTAATGATATAAATAGAATCGATAACGAAGAGCCCGGTCGATAACACAATATTATCGTATGTAAAAAAAAAAAAAAAAAATTACACACATTACATACGACTCGCTTGTATTATTATTAACTCTTTTCACCCTTCCCCGTTTGGTTTGTTTCTATTCTACTTTTTTTTTTTTTTGTTGTTTTTTTTCCCCGCTAACTTTTTCCCGTTCGCTTTTGTTTTGCCCCGCGACCGTCATCGTCGGCACGCTCCGCCATCACACAAAGTCGTCGGTCTTCCGGAGCTGGGCCTGTATGGCGGCGAACGTCTTGCCCTTGGTCTCGGGCAGCCACAGCCAGCAGCTGATTATCGACGCGAAGCTGAACACGGTCGATATCAGGTAGTTGCGGTACATGCCGCCGTTGTCCGCGAGCACGGGGTATATCTTGAGGGCCAGAAACGAGACGGTGGTCAGCGTGATGGTGTTGATGGCGTTCGCTATTGACCGGGTGTTGGACGGGAACAGCTCGCAGTTGATGGTGGACAGCAGGGAACCGAGGCCCAGGGTGTGCGCCACGGACAGGCCGCCGACGGCCAGCACGCACAGCCAACCGTACTCGGTCACGTCGTAATTGCTACACTTGTCTAGGTAGAAGTACGAGAATATGGCCGTGTCGAACACGAAGCACAGAATACACGACAGTATCATCAGCGGCCGGCGACCCACTCGGTCCGACAACAGTGTGGACGGCAGCGCCGAGAACAGCACCGAGCACGCGAACACCAGCGACAGCTTGTTGGAATGTATGTCCACGTGCATTTCTTTGAACGTAATCGAAGCGTACGATATAAGCGCCGTGACGCCGGCCATTGTCCGGAACACGGACAGCCCCTGGACGATGATCAGCGCTTTGAGGCTCACCCAGTCGGTGAACAGCTCGGTGAACGTAGCGTTCCGCATCTCCTTGCATATGCACTCGACCACGGCGTCCATCTCGTAGTCCACCGACTTGCCCGTTTCATCACCCCGCAGCCACACCAGTGCCCGTTTGGCGTCTGTCAACCGGTTCTTCATCACGTAAAAGTGCGGCGACTCCGGTATGGCGGCGAACAGCGCGCAAAAAATCACTGGCCCGGCCATCATGGCCCACGTCAGCTGCCTGTAGTTCAGGTACATGCCGGCCGTGTACACGAACAGAATACCGACGTACATCATTATCTGGAACATGGTACCCAGCGCACCACGGATTTTCGGACCGGCGATCTCGCCAGCGTATACCGGCAGCACCGTGTACGCGCCCGCGGCCAGCAGACCTTGCGCGAACCGGATGGCCAGCAGCCCCTGGAACGTGTTGACAAACAGCAGAGCCACCCACGTGGCCAGCGCCAGTGGTCCGATAATCTGCAGGCTGGGTTTTCTGCCCCACCGGTCGGCCAACACGCCGAACGGTATCGACCCCACGATCAGGCCCCAGTCGATGACCGACACGAACCACGAGCTCTCGTCCACAGACATCGGGATCGGGCTGTTTGGCATCAACAGTTCTTCCATGATCGGTGAAGTCCAACCCAGTATGATGCCCACGTTCATTATGGACAATGACCCTGCACCGGGCAGATATATTATTAAATTATTTTATGTGACACCATTAATAAAATAGTTAATTGTAAGCTCGGGGCGTATTTTAAACATTCACCGGGGGGAGGTCTTATAACGTTGCCATTTTTCGCAGGATTAGGAAGATTCTTTACGTACGGTTTATTCGCGATTATGATTGACTATACCATCCCATAATCCTAATGATAATTCCTAAGCACGCCACTGCAAGCTAGTACCAATACGTTTAACAGTAAAATCCTAGCCGTGGTACGTATACAGGGCGTCCGGCGAGAAGATAAAACCATTGCGATATTTCCGGAGATGATGGAGATAATCAAAATTTTTTTTTGTTTTTTTTTTTTTTTTTTAACTCGGGTATATATTAAGGACTATATTTGTTCATACTTTAATTGAATTGTTAGGTTTCGGTGAAAAATCTAATTTTTGAAAAATGTTTGATAAATACCAGGGTACTATGGTTATTTCGTAGAGTTTATTTGCTGGCATTTATTTGTCATAATTATTAATCTGGTGAGTTTTAATTTTTTTTTTTTTTCTCTAGTTCAGAGAAAAATAGTGTATAACTTATTACCATATAGTTAAATGACCTCGTCTCGTTTTCTAAACGATTTTATTTACTAATACGTTTAATACCGAAAGAAATACACTATACCTATAGTATGTTGAACACAAATATTACCTCGTTTATCAAACTGAATATAATATTTTCATTAAATGGTAACTATTGATTACGATTAAATTTAATCGTCGTATTCGGTGCACGTTGAAACGGGCCTCCGTTTAGTAACGGTAGATTATAAAGGTCGAATAGGGACAAATGGACGTAACCGTTTGGACGTGGGTACAATGGGACGTCAAAAAAAAAAAATCAAAAAAAATATACATATTTATGTACAAATCAATGATATTTGTAGTAAAATTTTCTGTTGGTTTATCTATATTTATAAATTATAAAACCACTGATATTATGTTCGTAATACATATTTCCTAAGTGACAAACTGGGCGAGATGTAATTTACAGCCACGTCCAAACGGCTACGTCCGTTTGTCCTAGAACGTATAAAGGTACCCGTTAAATAATTAGCGGATGAATATATTATCAAGTTGATATCAATTAGTTTGGATATAATAGTATTTTTACGAGTCATTAACGTTTCAACCCACAATACCCAATTTGACAATATACGCGAGTACGTATACTGCAGGCGCAACAACGTTAATGATTAAACAAACATCAACAATTGCCAATATTGTTGAAAATGATAGGCGCCTATCACGTTTTCGTAATATCTCTGTTCCCGTTCCGATTAATCGGGCAATTCGGTGGGTTTCGATTAGAGGTGTGCACCTGTAACTGATATACGTATAAATAATAGTGCAGGTAGGTACGGCGGGTGCATTAGTCTTGAACTTACGTTTAGCACGCCGCGCAATTAACAACGGTTTACGACTGAGATTCGGTTATCGGCGTAATTCACCGGCTACAGAAGAGTTTAGATAGGTAACGCACGAATATATTAGATAAATAATAATATATTTATTGTTGCGGTATGCCTGTGTTCAATACGCTTTCCTCGGGGATTTAACAAAACGATATAATGACTTAGAGGATCATGCGTCTGTCGAATGTGCTGATGTCCGCCGAGTGGGTACGTTTTAAAATCTATACGTGTCGACGTACAGGCATTCTGGTATTGTACGTACTACAGAGTGTATCGGTCGTCCGTGAGACACTACATCGTGATTCTACGGATAATTTTGTTTCGTTACGTTACCTATTATTTCGTTTTGTGGGGACGGGGGAGGCGAGTGAAACCGCCAATCGCCGACTATCGGTTTTCGAATTTTAAATGGCGACCTATGTGTATGATGTATTATTGCGTTATTATATAACATTGAATGTAAAAAAATTCTATCGATTATAACCGAAAATATATAATTGATAAAAAACAAACTAACTATAATGCGTAGGTGCCTAATTGCGTGCATTTTCAAAATCAAGAAATAAATGGGCAATTCTAAAAATTTTCAAAAAATTGTTCTCAAGTACATTCACACCGCGTCCATGTCAAATCCTTAAGTATAAAATACTCTTCCTTATTCCACACTTTCAATATGTAATTTACATTTTAGTGTTTAATGAATCAGATAATCCTAATATCAATTATTGTTGTGGCCCAGATAATTTATCGCCAAAATATATCTCCTAGCTATTTATATAAAAAAAAAGGTCCTCAATCTTTAATCACAGTCCAATCTCGAAAATATCAATTCTTCCTAAAATATTTTCAAAAATTATAAACTTAAAATTATTTCCTACATGATGCACAACATTATAATCGATAAGCAACATGGCTTATGCATAGGAAGATTAACTATTATTAATTTAGTCATTTGTATACAAAACATTGTAGACTCAACTAATTCACACTTAATCGGACGTAATCTACATACAGACATGAAAAAATAATTTTATCTAATCGATTATGAGTATTGTTAACTACAAAACTACATAATAAATATGGAATTCACGACCTTCTTCTATTTTAGATATTTTCCTTTTTTATTAAATCGTGTCCAAATAGTAAAATATGGTAACTTTTTATCTGATACTATTACAGTTCCAAACGGCGTACCCTACCACCTATCATTTCCATTATTTTTCTTATAAATTAATAACATTACTATCCTGTGCTAAAACAAATTAATATTTTATTTCTTGCATATGACACAAAAAATGATAATAATATAAACTCTGCATTAAAGTTTGCTATAATTTATAAACAGGCTTGAATAACGTTTGTGACTATAGTGTCTCGGTAACAGTATGAGGACATATTAACAAATATTCATCTATAACATTGAATCGAAAACAAAAACCAATTTGTACAAAATAAAAATTTAATAATTGTTTGATAAATCACACATCTTCAATTTATGATGGTTTACCTCAAAATTAACTTTTAATGAACACATAAAAGATAAGAAACGAGGATTTATCAAAACTAAGCTCTGTCAAACGATGTTTCTTAGATTTTGAAAATGAACTTGTCTTAAATAGTATTTATTTCTCTATTGTCCGCTCGCGACTATCATTAATGCCATTCTCATATTATGGTCTCTCTATACTACTGGATTTAAACTAATTCTCTAGAATCGATTCGAAACCATTTTCTTCGTTTTTGTCATATACATTTTGTGTTCAAAGAGACCCGCGTTGTTACAATACAATTTTTTTTTTAAATGTCAACTTTGAAGGATCGTAGAAATCACTCTTATACATAAATTAATAAATAATAAAATATACCATTCTCAAATATTAGAAAAACTTGCCTTTAAAATAAAAAAAAAAAAACTACACAAGAAATAAAGAAATTTTTATAGTTTTGAAGTGTCATGATAATTATTGTATTCTGCATTCCTCGACTAACTGCAGTTTAATACCCTCCAGTATACCGTTGTATTGATCTCAATAAATTTAATTGTATCTATAATTAATTAATGTAATAAATTTTAATAATATTAAAATTGCATGCAATCTAAAATAATTTTAATTATTATACATTATGTTTTATTTTATATATTTTTCATTATGTATACTACGCATTATCACGTAATGCAATTGTAAATAATTAAATTGCTAATGAATTTGTATAATCCGTATATAAATAAATAAATAAATAAATACATTTCTAATTCTCTTCAATTCGTTATGCGTATTAAGTCTGTCAATAGTCATATTGTAGGAAAGAATAATATAGTAACTATAGATTATTGTGATGCTTCTATTGAGACGCTACCACTCAAACAATGATGCTCCACTAATCTCTCCCTAACTACACAATGACAAACCTTAAAAATGGAATATCTCGTCGAAGAGACGATAGAATGTAAACATTAAACACCAACAGTTATTTCAACTTAAACATCGTCTAGTTATTTCTGACACTTTTAATATAGCTAGGTTGTCATTCGATATTTGAAAATCAAAAGTCGGTAGGTATATTACGTGGTTTCGCCGCTAAACATAAGGCTGACCAAAAATGGAGATAATGTAACATTTTAAGGCAACTATTATTCTTAAATTTTCCAAAAACAAAAATGCCGAAAAAAATTAATTTGCTTATATTTTCCGAGATAATGATTGTCTTACATTAATGATCCTGTACAGCAGTGCATATACACACATACATTATGTATAATACGTATAGTATACGTGCTTACCTATTTATACATTTTGACTTTTATAAACTTAAAAAATGCATTCCGATGAACATTCACTTTTATAAAGGCTACAAAAACTGTCCAAACGAAATAAAAAGAATACTAATTTTTTTCCACTCTATAAATTCCTACTATATATTACCATATTATGATATTATTAGATAAAAAAGAGTATCGGCTTAGATACTAACCCAGTGTAGCGGATTTGAAGGGGGCGACGTGACAATCCTCTCTCCTAGGACTTTTTTTTTAAATTTCAACTCTTACTAATTTAACTGCAGGGGAGAAGAGTGGTGTATGTTTGAACGTAAAAATTTTGAATGTATAATACAGCTGTAACAAACGAATTATAGATTCCCCTCCTCCCGAAATTTGTTTTTAGTACCTATATAATACCAGTTCGTCCCTCTTCAATGAGCTTCAGATCCACCACTGTACTAACCAAATTGTATGATTCATAGTAAAATGTAAATTCGATTTTTTTTTTCTTGATGTGTGTGTGTATAATTATACAAACGAATACAAAATTGAAATAAATATAATTATAATCAATTGAAAAGCAAAACTGCGAAATATTTTCCGTTTTTCTTTATGAAATCAAAAGTTAAATTGAATAGCGTTTCCTTTGATTTTAATTCCGAACTTGATTGTTTTGAATATTTTTATACAGTCATATAATAAGAACAAAATATTATTATTTATTACTATTTTTCACTTCAGCGACTTTACAGGACTGTTCAACATTTCGTTTTTTAATAACATTAATACATAAGTACACACAGCATAATATAATAACTTATTTTGTTTGAACTGTTATTGACATAAGGTACCTAAAAGGCAGGTACAATGTACAAAATACAAATAATACAAACGATGTAATTTAATCGAAATACAATGTATAAAACGGAAGAGAAAAAAAAATCTAACAAAACTCGCAGCGTTTTTAACAATTTTTCAACATCGAGAGTACAAAAATGGTCTGGTCTGGAAGATTTCCGTAGCCAGTTAAGTCCACACGAGGTTGGCTAATATAACCTTTTATCCTGGGCTCTTAAATCGTCGTTACGAAAAAAAGCTATATTGAAACACTATATTACCGATCTCGATTAACCTTTTTTTTTTTTTAGGAAAAATTAAAATAACCACGTTAAAAAGGTTTATTTTATTAATATGCGTCCGTTGTTCAGCTACAACAATAATCTATACAATGTACACAGAAATATTGTTCGATTTAATATTTGTTTGTTATTAAATTGTATAGTTGTAATATTCGTTTTCACGTATTGTCTAAAAGGTGTCGAGTGGACTTATCGAAAATAACGTTGCGAAAAGACAAAGGTGGACATATTTCTCCCCGGTCTCCTCCCCTCCCAATAGACTACGCTCATACTGTTTTTTTTTTTTATAAATTGTTAAGTTACAACAAAAAAAAAAAATATATATATATATATATATAAATTGTGGTTTTTCGTATACGTAGGCACGGTAAAAATTGATAGGTTCATTATTATAGTGTTCGTATTCGTATCGATAACAATTTAAAACGATTTAATTGTATTGAAATATTATTAGCATAGGTCTTTTATATAGCGATTTTGAGGTATGACGGTAAAAAAACGCGGTTCGATTTACAAATATGTATTTAAACGACTAAATTCATTTTTTTTTTCGGGAGGAGGCGGGGAGGGGTTCCTAAAAGTTTTTGTCATAACTCGTAATAATTGAATCGAAACTATTGTACCGTGTTAAAACAAATATTATACGTCTTTCGGGACCGGATAGAGAGATCCGCAGCTACCACATTTTTCTTTTCGCAGTTGTTCTCTTATAGGTTTACCTATATACTCGTACATACTCGCGTGCTATTATTTTTTATTTTTTTAAAACGCTGCAGCGAAATTGCACAACAAAAATGTTCGCTATTCCGCGCTGGCGTTCGACAAAATTGTACATTACGGTTATTACAGCCGCGTTAGGTGTTTTTTTTTTACACTTATTACAACCGTTACTGCGGGACTTTTTTTAATAAATATTATCACGTAATTGAAATACGTAGAAAAATGTCCTTACCTGCTATCGCGGCCAAAAATTGTCTCAGGACTCCTTTGTTAATCATTTTTATTTTTCGTTTTTAGCGTAAAAATAACAAAACGAAATAGATGGGTGGAAAGCAAAAAAAAAAAAAAAAAAACAATAAAACTGTGAAAATAATACGAGACTTTTATGCGACAGCCAACGGAATCATATTCGCATACAAAACGGCGCCGTCGAATCGGTTCGATGGAATTTCGCGACGCGTCTCGAGGTTTTTTTTTTTCTATTATTATTATTATTATTATTTAGTCCTTTTCGCCGCGCATTAATGAAACCGTACGGTACGACGCTGTTGTGTTCGTGCGCGACGACCACCGATCACCGACGGACGGCTCACAAATGTCGAACGTGTGCGCAGACCTATTATATAGAGTGTTCCGACACATTATCTGGGACGGATCTGTGGTCTTATCTTCGGACTTGCGAATATCAGTTACAGCATAACGTTATTAATGTGATATATGTTTTAATGATTATACCGCCGATTCCCGGACGACCACACACACGCACACGATGATTTTTTTTTTTTTTAATTTAACGTATAATTATATACGCGCCGGTTTTTAATTATTGATTTTATTATTTATTTTTTTCTTCTTCTTTTTCTTCTAAATGCCTAAGCTTGTACAACTGCGGTGTAACTGACGCATACGTTTACAACAATAACACATCGATGTACTTTTTCTAGTAATACATGTTACATTGCGATTGCGCACAAAACGAACAAAAGTGTAATATGTAAGGTTATATAAGCATAATAATATACTGAATTTTTCACGGTTTTTTTTTTTTTTTAATTTAACGTATAATTATATACGCGCCGGTTTTTAATTATTGATTTTTTTTTTTTTTTTTTATTACCACCGAGTTTGTATTATATACATGATGGTTCGGAGGAGAATACAGGTACCTGTTAGGTGAACACTATGACGTGATTGGGGGATCGCAAGGTGTCCCACTCGCGACGTCAAATATAATATTGGGGGTCGCAAAAGGATTGATTTGGAACCCCCGAAATTTCTGTATTTAAGGTTTATCGTTAATGAAAAAAAAAAATTAAAATAGATAAGTTATTATGGAATTATATATAAAAAAAAAAAAAACATGTTCGAAAACGATACAATTCAAATTATATATTATTATCGATAGGCACTCCTGCACCAATGAAAATATAATTGATTACAATTTACAATTCACTATTTCACTATTATAAAATAAATCCATTTTTGGACTTAAATTTTAGATTCTGAGTGAAAAATATGAATATCTTCTTTACTCGCTGCGGTTAACGATTTTATTAAAAAGATTGGAACACAAGTAATACTTGTCTCCGAGCGCGACATCACATACGCAAATCTAATTAACGCAGCTTTAGTTTAGAACTGTTCTTACAAAGGTTATTTTAAAATTAATTTACCTACTACATAAAACATGGTTAATTTCCATGTGTTTGTTCTTTAAACGATTAAATATAAATAATTCCGAGCGTTTGAACTGTCGGACGAGTAAGCGACAAATGGACCTAAAACTCACTCTGGTTTTAAATGTATGACAAATATTATTATATACCTTTATGACATATATGTATACATATTACTATTATAATATAATAGTTTTGTATATGGTGTATTATTACCTGTGCAACCCTAACTCTGTTGTTAATTATACACAGACTATTTGAAGTAGATAGTTACTCAAATCGTAAATTTATTGCTGCTAAATATTTTAAGTGCATGGTATTTGTTCGAAATATGCATAGGAGACATAAATAGTCAAAAGCATTGATCGTAAAGACAAATTACAAGTGTACCTAAATATTATACAAATTAATAAAATAACAGTATATTTTCAATTATACATATATAATGGTATTATAATTTACTATCGGTCTTAAGCCGATTAAAATATAATTACCTATAATATAACGATAAAACACTTATAGAAATGTAGGTTCTTTAAAATCATACACAGGTTGGTACCAATACTACCTACAACTTACTCACATCTCTAGTTTATTATTTATCGTGTACTGGAATAGTGGCCAGATAAAATACGATTATACGCGGACGTACGGCCCGTATATATAGTCCCGTATACGAATCCGAATTTTCAGCAACATAAACAAAATATTCCATGTTAACCCGCAATTTTCAATTCTCAGTAAATATCATCAGAGTGATAATCAAAAAGTTATTTGAGTATAACCAAACAAATCATTATATATGAAATCAAGTATACGGTAAACCACTAAAAAATTCCGATATTTTATGTTTTAGTTCATTATATTCTTGTTTCTTGTAATATCAATAATGTGAGACATACCTATATTGTACAAGCGTGCTCACGCAATTTAGATTCCGAGCGTATCAAAGGGAGCTATTGGTTTTACAATGCTATTTATTTCTTCTTTTTCTTTCTTTCTTTGTTTTAGTCTGTGGACATGTTTTCTCTTAGTAAACTTGATTCGATTTTTATGTGTAACAATTTTTCTGAAAGTTTAAGTAGTTTTGTACCTTTTTAAGAGGCCATTTTTTAATTTTTGACACTATTTTTCAAATAAAAACACTCAAGCGGGGAAAAAACGTAGGAAAACGTACAGTTTCACGATTTCATTATTTTATAAAAACACGGACGATGTTTTCTACCAAAACAAAAAGAAAGATTTAATCGAAAAACCCCAAGATACCTTTTTTGTTGCCGTTTTAATTTACTTTCTTACGGTATCATCACTAAACCTTTTGAGCTTTTAAGAAATTTTAATTTTTGGGAGTTTATTTGCCGTAATTTGGTTATAAATAGACGTAGAGACTTGAAACATAAATAATACTTATATTGGACTTATCTAGACGTGGTAAATTTCTAAAGTCATCGGACAACTTTATTTTTTTTAAAAAAACGTTTCAAAATCAAATTTAAACGAAAATCGCAAATAGAGAATACGGCACTTCAAATTATGTAACACCGAACTGCGCTCGGAATCGTCTTTCGTCAAGCAATGGTTTATCGTTGCTTACAGATATAAATTAAATAACCTTATGTATCCTACCTTCCTAAATTCTCACCCACAACAGTGGCCGCTCCCATCCCCAGTATCAGTATCGGCTCTTTTTTTTTTCAATATAGGTTCTTATTTGAAAAACCAAAGTTGGGAACGCCACAGGATATTCCTTAAATGTTTTTAAAAATCTAAGTATTTGAAAGTATCGACATTAACTAAAAAATTCTATAAATAGAAGGCGACTATTATTAAGTGGCCTACGCGCAATCTGTTTTTTCGCTCAAATACAATTGCCTTACAGGAAAAACACTCACGCCTCGAGTGATCAGAATTCGATAATTTTTATTTTGTTAGAAATAGGACGACGTCTTACAGGGCGCATTGGATTTCAATTTTAAAAATTATATTTATAAATCCTACAATAAAAGTTTGAATATTACAAATTTTTACAAGGTTATAAAAATGTGTGATACTTTTGTTTTCGGCAATGTAATCAAAAGTCGAAGTCCAACGCGCCCTGTAAAAAATCGTCCTCTTTCTAACGAAAAAAAAAAAATTTATTGAAATCGGACGAATCTGCGACGCGCGACAGTTTTTCCCGTAAACTGTGTTTTGAGCGAAAAAAAAATCACGCTTGTGTAATTTTTCCGTCTCGCTGTACCCGTTGACCCGTGCGTAGATAGTCCCGCGACCCGCGTCGCGCCGCGCTACGTACCGTCGTCATGTCCGCCGTTCTAGCCGGTCTATAAATTATCAACTAATGCTAATAAAGTAATGAAATAAACGGAATAAAACATTCGTTTTACCTACCTACATTAAACAAAATTTGTTTTTTTTGATCTCTAAGTACGACTTTTAGTGAACCTCCTATCAACATTTTCAAGCATTTTTGTTAAGTCTAACAATTTATCTACAGAGTACCTACCAAATAAAAAATAAAAAGGTTCTAAAATCAAAATTTGAATATGTGAAAAATTTAACCAAAAATATGGGGTGAGCACACTTAGTGAAACACCCTGTATACATCATGCGAATATGTCTATTATTGCATCAGAAGCTTATATTTAAACTAACAATTTTATTATTTGAATAATTAGTTTTATAAAATATATAAATGATTTATGCAATTAATCATCAAAAGAAAAGAATTTCTGATGACTTATAGCAGTTATATTTTTAATTTTATTGATAAAAAGTACGGGCAACTTCGTACGTGGGTACAGCCACTTTTATAGGTGGGAAGTTGAGAAGGTAGGATACGGCGGGAATTTACTGTATATCTGTAAGCAACGATAAACCATTGCTAACGAAAATACGATTCAAAGTGGAGTTCAGTTGATAGCGTTGCTTTGTTTACAATATATATTATGTCATATTATAGTAAAATGATTACAGCAATGTGCGTTTCCATGACAAAAATGATTGTTTAAAAAAGATTAAAATAATAAATACCTAATAATAGCAGAAAATAAATAAAAACGGTTGCCAATGACAACCTAATTTTTAATCTTTCAGTCTTTTTCAAACTAAATAACCAGATTTTCCTCATTATCTCGGGTATTAATGATAATTCCAAAAAATGACCTCTTCAAAGTACCACCGAGAGAATATTTACTTTCAGGAAAGGTGCTACTTGTAGCAAAGGTATACTTGATAATCTTTCTGGAGAATGTTTTCTGATAGAAAAAGTATTCATATAAAAAAAACACATCTTTATGAGACCAATACATTCCTCGCTCCACTCAGAATCTAAAAATACAAATATCTGAATAAAACAATTTTATAATTATTTGGTATATTGGTACGAGTTAAATATTTCAAATTTTACTTGATGTGTACACGGAAAAATGCGAGATTAAAAAAAAGAAAATTAATAATAACTACAACCCCACGTTACGTAAGGCAGTCAGTCCCCACTCTTTAAACTACGCAAGCGCAGTCGTTTCGAAACACCGTCGGCCGTCTCGACCAATAAAAACACGAATGCGCGAGCTATCGACACAATAATTTACTCGAAGACGTCGATTTCCGCGCTGTTAGACGTATCAGTCGGCAGTCTACGAACAGCAATTGACTTTAAATTAATCAAGCCATTAACAGAACTTTGAGACACCCCTTGCATTATTTACTTACTTGTCGTTCTTTAGACGGGTTTTATTCAATTATTAGTTTAAATAAATACATTTACTTATTTATATTTAATCATATTTAATCATCTCAATTAAATTATTTTAAACGGTTACCTAAGCATTCGAGTGACATAATGACCACGCTGTCGACGACCTGTCTGCAGTTGTTTAAAAACAATTGCTGTACAGGCGCAGTCTAAATTTATTTTGATGCAATACTTATTTATGTACCTTACGCATACCCGTTCAGACGACAATAATAATTTTGATCATTTTCTTTATAATATTCTGCACTATAGGAACGGAGGTATTGTCTGGGACCGGCGATGTTGGATCAAACGATGAGCATCAACAAGCTGTGTGGTAACGTGGCTCAAACGCATTTTACAATTCAGACGGCAGTAGCATATTTGGCGTCCCTGTTGTACAAAAGAAACCAATCCCTGATTGTTTACGGGGCCGCTGAAAGGTGTGTGTGTGTGTGTGTGTGTATGGATGTGGATTATTTTTAGGACCAAAAATCCATAAAGGATAAGCAATAAAAGCCAAAAAATTCACCAAATAAAACTTTATATGACCTGCTATAGGTAATCTGATTAAATCAAGTGGTATTATATTAGGATATTAATACAAAAATTACGTAAATGTTTGTATTATTTTCGATTTTTGTGCTATTTGTTTATTTTTGTTACTTTTTTAGTTTTTATTTTACTTTTTGTGGATGAAATTGTTTTGGCTGACCAGAATTACATGAAAACTATAGAAGTTCTTCATTAGTTGTTCCGTGATTGAAATATACCAGGTTATTGCCATTTAATATACTTTGGCTTTATCAAATAGAAAAAAAAAATGGTAATGTAATGTTAAATCTGTGTTTTATACTGCATGGGTTCTCAAATTTTTGAGGTCCACGTCTCCTTTAAAACTATTATATGAGTTCACGCCTCACCTCCTCACTACTGTAAGATTGATGTATGTATAATATACAGTGGGAGTACTAGTGCAAAATAAACTGGTATATTTCAATCATGAATTGTTTTAAGTGGTTAAAAAAGTTAGAGGTAATGTAGTAGAATTTTTTTCTAAACTAAGTTTTACTTAGTTTAAAACTAAATAAATTTTTACGAAAACCGTAAAAATGATGTAATTCAAAAATATGTACGAATCATTTTTCGTTAGCCAATGATTTATAATTTATATATATTATACGTATATATTATTGAAGTTTGGACCGTTTTCAAGGAAAGACGACTATAACATGTATTTTACGAATTTGGGCGTGCGAAACTGCAAATTGCTTGACGAAAACTTTCTCGAGTGTAGTTCCAACAATCAGCTGTCATTGGACATCGTGTCTATACTGGCCACGCCGCCTAACACGAATACGGGGGTAAGATCAAGATCGCTGGCTTATATATAGGTTAGGATAAGGCTATTATTAGGAATGGGCCAACACCACTTTTTACCGATGTTCGATATTCCGATATAATAATATTATATGTTAATGATAATGAAAAAAACCTATACCGCCAAAGCTTTAAAACAAAAAAAATGAGTTTATATTGAAATAATTACCGAGATATCGGTTGAAATCCCGGTTTTGTTTATGTTTCTTTCATACATTTTAGAGCAGTGGTTTTCAAACTGGGTAATGCAAGCATTCATTGCGTGTGCCACTACTGCGGTTTTTTGAAATTTGTTTTCCTTAAATTGTGATGAAATCGTAACTCTTTTAACTGAAAAGCGAAGTGTGCTGTGGCCAAAGAAGTTTGAAAACCACTGTTCTAGAGTCTAGTGTAATGTATACATTTTTCTTCTTAAATGTCGGTTTTATAAAATAACCGATTCCGATAAAACCGATAGCTACCGCCGATATTGATATAATCGGTTTGTGCCTAATTATTATAAAGCTGAATAGTTTGTAACTGTGGTTTACTTGTATAGGTCACGGACCCCGTAAGGCTTGTGTGCTCAAAGGGCGGAGACCTTACATTGCTGAGGGCAGTGGCGTCATTGGATTATACCGAGGAATCGTCGGACATACCTTGCATGTTGGAGCAGAGGGATACGCTGCGTATGGCCATGTCCAAGCCACAGGTGACAGTATCGTGTAAACGCAAATTTTAACTGTCTAATATACGATTTAGGATAATTACTTCGACGTGAGCTATAATTATTTTTAAATTTTACTATATTCTATACCCATTATCATAAAATTTGCTATAATTTTAACAAAAATAAGTAATATAAACAACACCTGCAACTATAGGAATATTTATTCCCAACTAGCTGGATTACAGAATTAAATCCAAAATAAATTCGATTCAACGACTAATTACGTGTCTCCTTTTTCCATCCTAGTCCCTAAGGCAGTTAATCGTAGTTGTTGTTCGGTAATTTATCTTTTGAAAAGGGTACTTCCCTCAGGGTAGGCGCGCGGCGTGTTAATATTGTACCACCACTCTTCCCCAACCCTAACTTAAAAATAAAATATCTCATCAACGGCTTGATAGAAATCAAAAATGTTAACACTAAAATTATTTTGAATTAATACACCATCTATTTACAGCCTTTTTAATATAGGTTGCCATTTAAAAATCAAAAGTAGGTAGTGGCTTTACCCCCGAAAATAAGGGTAACAAAAAATAACATAAATATAAAACTGTAGAGCAGCTTGTTTTTTAAATATTCTGGAAAACAAATTCCGGAAAAAGTTAATACTTTCCGAGATAATGAGTATACACAATTCACAATACTTATCTAAAAAGTAAAAGTAAATAATTATTACTTATGAACTCAAAACAAAAGTAATCATATACTAGAAATGTTCTATAAAACAGAAACAAGAACCAAATTACTACGATGACATTTGACTGTAAAATGATTAGAAGATCAATGTATCTTGCGCAATAACATATGTACTTATAACCTAATAAATTATTAAAATGTTTTAAAAAAAAAATAGTTTTCATGAAATTGATTGATTTACATTTTATTTTATTATAATTATTTATTGAAATCTATTGAAAATTATAGGTTGAAAATTTATTAAAATTTATAGAATTACAATTAGAACAAAATATTATTACCGACCTAATCTAAAGAGGATGGAAACGTTGATTTTGCCACTGCGACTTATAAATGTAATAACATTGGTTTTTTATTCTAATCAAAAAATACTTAAATTGATGTTATTAAAAAAATCCGTAAAAATGATAGGCACATAATATCATTTATTATACCGTATTCTTAAAAAAAAAAAAAAATATAACTTTTAACGATTTTCATGGATAATAGGTATCCTCGCTATTTGAAAAGGGGATTTACTGGAAATTTTAATACCTATAGTATTTGATTTATGGGGTAAATATTCAAAATTACTTAGTGTAAATGGTAGGTACCTACTTACAATAGTGCAAATTTATTTAGAAACGAAGTTCAATTATTGAAAGTCAAATGCATTCAATTGCCTAATATTAATACGACATATAATAAATTAGATATTATAAATAGGTATATTGAAGTGAACCCCAATTGCAACTTTTTAATTCAAATCTTGATTGTATTATCTCTGACATTTTTACCAGCATAGAGAAGTTTTTCAGTTTTAAAAATATTTAAAGTGTGACCACGACTGAAACATCAAATGGGACATAAGAAAGGTTAGTTGGTTTAGTTTTGGTAAATGTTCATCAGAATATTGACATTTTACTTGATTGAGTCTCTTTATTAATAAATAAAATAAATATCAAACATGAAAAATGAAATATTTGGTTATTATTATTTAATACAAAGTATCTGTGCAAATAATCATTGATGTGTGTAATGACTTATTATAATAATCGATTATAAAAATATTAGTGGACACTGATGCCTTATGAAATAATACAACATTTTATTGGCGTTAATTTACCTGTGAAAATGCTGCACTTGCACCTCCTGAACATTTTAAAAATGTGTATAAGTACCTACTTTTAATTTCTATTTTCAAAAGTAAAGTAAGATTTACCAAGAAAGTTTGAGTATTGGTGTGATGGAAAGTTGAATATTCCATTGCACCGCCGGAAATAGAGATCAATAACGCCGCTGCAGCAACATTTAATATGTCGGATGAATTGTAATACCTCTCGCCTACCTGAATAATTTCTGGATTCATCCCTGGATTGAGCTATTTGCTATTTGCTACAATTTGCTATTTTATATCAAGTTAATCCAGTTAATCAAGTTAATCCAGATAGTAATCCAGTCAAGTTTAGGTGTTTACTGTTTACTGGTGATTATTATACAGTGTGTCCCACCTTGTTCGACGGATTTTTCTTGCGTTGCTAATATTACATTTTTTTCTATTTTTTTTTTTTTCAATCGGTTTGTCTTCGAGAGAGGTATCGATTTGGGTAAAATTAAATTTTACATTTCTGTATTATAGCTATACGTTTATTGTAGAATTCGTGAATATAGGTAACGAAAAATGTATTTATTTTTAGATTCTAAGTGGAACGAGGAATGTTTTGGTTTTACAAAAATTATTTTTTTTATGTGAACACTTTTTCTAACAGAAAGCGTACTCCGATTATCAAGTATAGCATCTTTTCTGAAAGTAAATTTTCTCTGGGTGGTACTTTAAAGAAGTCATTTTTTGCAATACTCATTAATATTCGAGATAATGAGGAAAACCTCAATTTTTAGGTTAAAAAAGATTGAAAGATTCAAAATAAGGTTGTCATTGGCATTTTATATAATTATAATTTTACATAATTGACAACCGTTTTTATTTATTTTCTGTTATTATTAGGTATTTATTATTTTAATCTTTTTTAAACAATCATTTTTGTCATGGAAACGCACATTGTTGTAATAATTTTACTATAATATGACATAATATATATTGTTGACAAAGCAAAACTATCAACTAAACACCACTTTGAATTGTATTTTCGTTAGCCATGGGATTTACCGTTGCTTACAGATATACATTAAATGCCTACCTTCCTACCGTATCCTACCTTCCTAACTTCCCACCTACAACAGTGGCTGCGCCCACATGCGAAGTATGTCCGTCCTATTTTTATTTTCTTATATAGGTGGTATTGTTTATAAATATAGGTGTAATTCATTTACTGTAAGTATTGAATTAACAGTAAATGATAATAACTTGTAAAATATAAAAAATTATATTACATTCCGAAACGGCCAGCTCTCCGTGTCAGGTGTCTAATATTTTTGAACTAGTTGCGCCTACCTAATGGACAATAGGTATAGGTATATGGGTACCAATAAAATACTCGTCCTGTTAACCTGGAAACCAGATTAATCTCTTACTACCCGACAGGCCGAAATCCTTTTTCCGAACTTTTACTCTTTAACAGGCAGGGATTCTCTCTTCCCGAACCGTTAATCAATTGGAACGTTTCTATAAATCTTACCCGTTATCGTATCCCGCCGGTCGGTCTTCCCAGCTGTCAATAATTGTTGCCCTCATTGCAGTTATTCGATCGGTGCGCAGGTGCAAATAGTCGTGTACGAAACTCATTCCCGGCTGGAGCTAGAGAACGGCGGCATGGTCAAGGCGGTGGCCGAAGAGATGAACGGGTGGGCGTACGAGAAGCACAACGCGGACAACTATTATTCGTCCGTCTGCAGTGCCGAGGACTGCAATAAGTTTAGCACTTCTGTGGAAACCCCCTGGCGGCCGGCTGCACACCAACCCGTCGAGGTTTGTACCTATATATTTACAGGTTAAGTAGGGACCTCCTATGTATATTACCGACGAAGCGAATTATTTTATAGATGCGTTAAACCCCCGATAATAGGCAAAAATTTCAATGAAGTACCTCTGCACGAGTATAATTTATTTAAAAACCTATCTACGTCGATAGACTTACTTATATACATATACAGTTTAGTATCCATATACATTATAAATGATCAGTTTTTGGTAGACAATTTACACAAACTGTGATGGGCTCGTATTTCTGAATCCAGTTAATCGGCGCGTATATACGTAAAAATTACCAAAACGAAACTTAATGAAAACTCGATTTTCATATTTATTGGTTTATTATACTAACATAAATAATATAGCCGTTTGATTCACAGTTTGTTTGAATTTTAAAATAAATCAATTTTTTTAATCCGAGGATCACGATTAAATGTTGTTCATATACTTCATAAACTATATGCAATTAAAACACCTACTAACGATTATTTAGTTAATTTTTATGCCCGTACTTATATTATTATTATTATTATTTATGTGTTCTAAAAGATTCCCGACAAGGATCGGTTCGAAACAATGATTTTGTACCCAGATAAGGCAATAGAGAACATGGAAAAGAATCACGTAACTGGAAGCATTTACTTAGCTGCTGTTAAAAGAGTAGTAAGTATAACCTCACGTTTATTAATGTTGTTTTACATCTATAATTATATTGTTTCAAGGAACTAATGACTTTTGACGCAAATCATTTGATACGGATGGCTGAACAGAGAGGATTGTTTGGCAAACCTGTGAAAGGACGTAAACAAAAAATTCCTAGTCCCATTATATTGTCTTTGACCAATAGTGATGAACCTAGGTATCTATCAAATAAATAACATAATATATTAAATTTGATTGTTCATATTCATAGTTCATACAAATTGAGTTTTTTTTACAGAGTGGTATTAAAATTTGAACAAATGCATGTTTTGGTACCTACGCATGCGTTCATTCAGCGTTATACTAATAAAACATTATGGTGTCCACGTTTCAATAAACCTTATGATAAGGCATCTGTGGCTACTCGATGGTGGAGAATAAGTGTACGTTATGTTATCAAAGCATTGAGAGAACCTTTTTTTGTATGGTCAAAAGTGCAAATGGTCAGATTTGGGAAACGTACAAATAGAACACCACTGCATTTAAAAAGAGTCACTGCAATATTTAAGCCACAAAAATGAAAACTAATTTATACATAAATCTTGAATGGTTATTTAATCAATTATCAAATATATAAATAATACACAAACAGTTTTAAATTAATTTAGTTTAACAGAAACATATGAAGGTTGTATGTGCGCTAGTACACTAGTCTTACATTTTGGTTTTATACAATTTTCTTAAATTTTTGAGTGGTTGCCATTGTTTTCATTTTATTTAACTGCTGCATCTGTTGCCCAGAAGTATTAACAACTGTAAAATTACTGTCTTGTAAATGGCGCATAGATACAGTTTTTGGGGTTACTCCTTCAAGTCTTCTTATTTTACTTTGCATGGGTAGTCTATTTACAAACTGAATATTTCCAATATTTTGACTGGGTACAGAGAATGTTTGGTAACCACTAGACACTAAGCTTGTTGGTGCTTTGTTTACAACGAGCTTGACTTTTGAGGGTGAGTCATATGCAACCTGTACAATTAAAAAATTATAATTAAATAGTATTTAATCATTTATCATTATAATATTATATCAGTGTTTTTCAACTGGTGTGTAATAAGCATTTCTACATTTTATTTAAATCTAGTTATTAAATCATAAAACTTTGTTATTTATAAACAAACGTTTAAGACATAAACCTATTAAAAATGTCTTATTTTTCTCCTTTGCCCTCATCCAAACTATTTGAGTTCGACCATACTCAATTTTACTTTCTTAATGATGAAATATGATTGAATGTAATATAATATGAACACACTTCACACGGTGAGTGGAGTTACTGTTGTAGATGAGAGGTTTTTTTCCTCAATTATTATTTACACAAATACCTGACTATCAAATTTGTATATTATAAAAATATTGAGTGATTAAGTTTACTATGTTTACAAAAATATTGAAAAACCAATGTTCTATACTATGGATTTATCTACCTGTTTAATGTTGACACGCTCAGGAACCGCATTTTTAGACATAGGGCACATGATATCAATATCTAGATCGTCATCATCAACAAGTTCTTCATTAACCATCATTTGCTGTTCATTAGTACTTGTGACAAAATAGGAACTGTTATCAACTGTTTGCTTTAGGTCTTCTTGTAGTGTATCAGCAAATACTATTGGCATATCCAATATTTGATCAGCAGTAATTTCTCCCAGGACAGGTATTTGAGAATCTCCAGATTGGAAATTTGAACTACATACTACAATATTCTTTTGATCTGATGTAAATAATAAAGAATCATCCATAGACGTTAAAGATGAAGCTATAATAGGAACAAATTGGAATAATAAAAATATGTAACAAAATAATACAATAAAATTAAGCTGGGACATACATGCTTTGGAAACATTGATTTTTAAATTTTCTTGATCATGTAACAAATCTGAAAGAGTTGAGAATTTTTGATTTCCTAATTTTGGTATACATAATTCCTCAAATTCTAAAAATAAAAAAATTTAAATAAATGACATTTACTACTGCATATATATTATACACAACATTTATTATTATTGTATACAAGTGTGTAATTTATGTACATACTATACTAGTTATCCTACCCAGCTTTGTCCATGCAATAAAAAAGTTCCTTATCGCATTCACCTAATAATAAATATTTTGTTTTTATTTTATCCAGATCATTATAGTTGTAATATCAGTACAATAGCTCCTATCACGGTTAATTTATGTACTATGTTGACCATGCCTAGGTAACCCCATACTCCCACCTCTACTTCTGGCCACCCACTGTTCAAAACTACTTTTTCTCATTCTAACTCTCTTTTGTCCTTCAATAATACCCAATTTACTTGCAAAGTTAAAAATTGAATGTGTTAGTAGGTAGAGATTTTTATGAGTGAGCCATCATTTAGATAAAAATTAAATACATTCAAATAATAATTAGTAGGTACATAAAAAGTAAAAGTAAAGTGTTCATTCTCAAACATTCTCCTGATATAAATTTAAAAAAAAAAAAACATGATATCATTAGAAACCAAGATTCTCATTTTCATATATATATATGAAAATGAGTTATATATATTACAGTTAAACACAAAATTCGTTAAAATTAGTGTCCACAAATCCCTTTAGTCAATTTTGGTTTTGACTAGTTAAAATAAAAATAATCAAAAGTTTACAGAAGTCAGTCAAAACTAGTTTTAACTGAAATACATGTGTTCAAACTTGTGCTACCTGTACTACAAACGCACGTGACCACAGGTGACCTATAAATATTGCTTGAAAAATTTAACCGACCAGCTATGAAATCAATTAGATATTTAAATACCTTTTCATATCACCAAATAAAATAAAATAATCAATTAGTTAATAATAGGTAAAAATTTCTAGGCTAGAGAACCAAATTCCAAACAATTGTATTTTCTTATGTGCAGCCATTTTTTTGAGTTTAAAGCAAATTGGTTGGTCACGTCTTTTTGTCATTTTTAATAATAGGAAAATTCGACATACACAAAAAGATAACATTTACAATTATAATGGTGCATACGTGAGGCTTCTATGGCAGCCGAAATAACTTGAGAAGTTATTAGTTACGTTTTTATCAAACAGAGGTCACTCTAATGTTCTGGCGCGGAATTATGAATGCAGGTCGGATACTTTTGGGATAGTTTTCGTATTATGTAGGAATAATTTAATACTATGCAATACTACAAGAGTTTTTCATGTCAAATTAAATAATCTAATAAATGAAAACAAGAATTATTATAATATATACATTATAATCATGTACTTATTTCTAATTTTCCCTAGCTAAAAAAACAATAAAAAAATTACGGATTTTCACTAAACAATTCTAGTATTCACCAATATATCTCAGACACAACTAGTTCTAACTAAACAAAAATAAGTTAAAATTAGTTTTAATGGAGAGGATTTTAGTTAATTCTTGTTGTAACTAGTCAAAATCAGAATTGATTTAAGAGATTTATGGAAACTAGTTTTGATGGATTTAGGGTTTTAACATATATATAGATTACAGATAGATTATGGTATAGACCAGAGGTTCCCAAAGTGAGAGTAGAGTAATAATGAGTAAGGAATGTAATGGTTTTACAATGATGTTTATTTATTTATATATTATTCTATCCGTGAACAACTTCTCTACCAGAAATCTTACTTGGATATACAAGTGTAGAACTTTTTCTGAAAGAAAATTAGACTGGGATGCTACTTAAGGGAAGTCATTTTTTAATTTTCCCAATAATTGGGAATTGTTATAATTTAAATATTAATTATTTAAGCTTAAAAATTAAACACTTTCAAGTACTATACAAAAACTTATAGTGATTCAAAATACTTACCAGAAGTATTTACGGTAGATTGAGAATTTTCACACTGCATAACGTAATCCTGTTTACAAGCATTTGATGGAGGAGGCATTAGTTCTTCATCTTTCGCCATATCGGTCGTTGGTGTTAGCAATGAAGTACAAGGTATGTTAATAGTTTTACGATTAGCCATTTGTTTCTTTGATATTTGACTATTGACAGAAGATTTTTGTCTTCCTTTATTTAGTCTTGCTAAAAGTCTGTCTGTAAAAAATTTAAAGTATAAGAAATAATTTATAACATATATTAAAATGAGAAATGACAAATTACATTTAAAAAACTCAAATTCAAACCTATACATTTTCCCCCTGAATATAATTACCAGGTTTACACAATCAAATTTGTAATTAATTAAACTTCCATATGAATCCACGTTTAATATAAATTATTTTAAGGTATTTTAATGTTTATTTCATTTTTTGAATCAAATTAACTTTAACTTTGACATTAAGAAACACATTTAAATTATAAGTTAATATTTTTTGGCAAAAATTTAAAATCAAATTATATATAACATATATAATTCAACAAAATTATTTAAAAAATGTAATAACTTTTTTACTATTGAATATTTTTAAATTTTTATTTTTTGGAATAATTACTAAAGCTCTGTGCTATAGTTTTTATGTTTTATATTTTTGTTTTTTCTTACTACTTTACAACTAATAATACAAATTTGGATTTTTATAATTTTTTTTTTTTTTTAAAATCTAAAATAACTATTAAATAAATTAAAAAAAAAAAAAAATGTTTATGCATTAATAAGGTTACATCAATAATTTTTAAATTATATTTTATTTTATAAATTTAAAATTTAATCCTAAAGTTTTAGATGAATATAATGTTAATACACATTAACTAAGGTTATTTACTATCTATAAAGTAAGTGTGTATGAGAGTCTGCATATAAACATGATAAATAATACAATTAATATTTTAAACACAATTTTTTTTTTTTTTTTTTTGTAAATAATATGCCTGGTATAATATTGATTGTATTTTGGTCTCAAAAAAATATTTTAACTACTAGACCGATTTGTTTTAACACATACAACCACATATCTCGATAGCCATGATGAGAATGCATATTTAAATAAAACGTACAATATAAATAAAATACTTAATACTCTTACTATAAGGTTTTTTTTTAGCAAATACAGGTTTTTTAAAATCAGTTTTTTTATCCACATCAGGTTTACGCGTTACTTTAGGTGAAGGTTCCAATGTTTCTTTTAAGAAATTTCCAATTTCTTGCTGTAGAAAAAAATATTATAGATTACAAGTTCAGTTATGAAAATTAATATATATGATCTAAGCTATTGATATAGCTAACCAAAACACATCTATCAACTAGTTTTTGAGTGACTGCTTCTTTCATCTTAGTAGAATGGTTCATCACTAATTCATCATTGGCCCCACCAACCAGTATGTGACTAGTTTTACATTTAAGCTTTACTCTTAATTCTTCCAAATCCAAAACCCTGAATAATTTTTCAACTTAGTAAAAACAAATATTTGTTTTTTGATTATTTATTAAAAATAAATAACATACGGTGAAAATATGCTAAGCTGGCCAGTAACAAAAACTGTCGGACATTCAAGGGTCAAAATACAATCACCTTCATAACCTCTTTTTACTTCAGATGAATTAACAATAAACCCAATACACACTAATCCATCAACTTTTTCAAGAACAGCCACCTACATTTTAGACAGAAAGTTATATTAATAAATATATTAACTAATTTAAATGTATATGATTATATCCTATATTGTATAAAATATGAAAAAGATTAAGTGTTATATTTTTATTATTTTAGATTTAAATAATAAATGTATAGGTATTGTTATAAATTGTATTTTTTTTTTTTACTCTGCTCATTATTAGGGATCATTGGAGTCTACGATTGCTACACATAATCTCTTCCATAAAATATGGAACATATGACTTAGAAATTGACCTTGGCAATCTGCTTTGAGTATGTATAATACAATATAAACTAATTATTATCTATTTCAAAATTCAAAACACATTAAACAAATAAATATTTTTATAACTTCTTTTTAATTAAATTGACAATCTAGACAAAAATAAAATAATGTAAATTAGCATAGATACACTACAATTTACATACTTGACAAGCTATGGCAGCACTAACACCAACACCTGCCAAAATAATAATTCTATTTGGATCAGTGGACCGTACTGATACAATTTTACTTCGTGTAGCATCCACCATGGCATCTAAATTAGTTACAATATCTAACTCTTCTTCACAAGCATATTCTTCATAATTCCAAGGTACTAAAAATAATAAATAAACTTTAATAATTGATATTTAAAAAACACACTTTAAAGAAGGATATCATATTTTTTATTCATAGAAAAATGTAAATACATACCAGCTTACCTAGTATGTGTATACAGGGTAACCAACTATTGATGAGACACTCATTATCTATAAAGTATTAACTTTTTTTTGGAGAATTCAAAAATAAGCAGCTTTAAAATTTTCCATTAACATTAATAATGTAGGTGACCACTATCCACTTTTGGTTTCTAAATAGTAACCTATATTAAAAATTCTATTGATAGATGAAGTTATAGTTTTTGTGATACATTTGAGAGTCAAAATTTATAATTTCTACCAATCCGTTGACAAAATATTCTAATATTAAGATTGCGTAGGGAAAGTAGTAAAGCACTATTTAAATGTCATTTACTGCATCGCCACACAAATTATGCTCCAATATTATCTCTCTATAAAAACTTAAAAGCAGTAGACGTGGTTGATAGAAATAAAAATGTCAGCACCAAAAGAATATTTAAACTAAAAATTAATCTATTTATGTAATTATTAATATAGATTTCTAGTTGAAAACCAAAACTGGGTAGTCAGTTCACTTCCAAAAATAAGGGTAATATATCATTTTAAAATTGTTTGTTTCATGAATTTTCAAAAAAAATTCTGTAAAAAGTTTATACTTTCCAAGATAATAAGTATTTTCATGAAAATAGACCCCTGTACATACCATGTAACATATGGTTTAAAATTATTACCTTTTGCTGTTAAGGCAACATCTAATTCAGCTAAATATGATAATGCATTCATCCAATCATGGGTCCTTGTGTTCGCTTGTGTAAAATATCCGGGAAAATCTGGTATTAGTATTATTAAAGGATTCTTAGGTAATTTTAGCTAAAAAAATGTATAGGTAAATGTATATTATAGTAATATTTTTAAAGTATTAATTTAATTAGAATATTAGAATATAAATATTTGTATTCAATTTTAATACAATGTATTGTACTTACAGGTGGATAGGCCGTCAACATATAATTAAATGGGTCAACAGGTTCATCTAGTTTAATTAATTTGCATTTAATTTCTTCTTTAGAACGTCCAATGGTACTGCCTGTTACCATTTCATTTATTAGTGATGGAGCAATCATTTTTAATTTCTATTATGAAGAAAACACTGATATAAATTATATACACAAAAACAAAATTATATATAATTAATAGAGATGTTACGAACCCTGATTTTTAAGGTCAAACCGAACTTTTCTTACAATTAAAGAACCCAAATTGACCCAAACCTACACATTTTTAATCGAACCCGAACTAAACCGAACTTTAACAATATTTTATCGAACTTGAACTTAAACATTAAAAAAGTTAGGTTAGATTAACCTTCACAACCTTTACCAATTTACATTATAAGAACCACTAATGAGAAAAAATAGAATTTTTCTTTTTTGTAACAAGACCACTCTGTCCCACCACATAACATCATATTGATGACCGCGCATAATCGGCATCAAATGATTTTCAAGTCAATTGGGTATTTTTTTTCAGTTTGATTATTTGCAATTTTCAATTCGAAAATCAAATAGTTCGTCACATATCTAATAACTAACTAAAATTTTATATACCTCTAAAATATCAATGTATGAAGTGAGATAGTCATCTGGTAAATACGTTAAAAAAAGTGTATGCAACCATTGTGACATAGGTATATCCCAAAGAGTGTAATTGGTTAAAAGATGATGCATTTCTGCCACTGATTTATCTGTAGAAATTATTTTTTGTACATCATCTTGTGCTGTACCTTCAAATGTTAATCTTGACAAGCGGTTTGAGTATAAAATAGCCATAGCTCGATCAAACAATGTTCTTTCTAGTTTGTTCCACCGTAGTCTGCAAGACATTATCTATTATGTTTAACATTAAAGCTAAGAATTTCTAATACCATAAATATGTAAAGTTTTATTTAAAAGAACCTTGCATTGCATTTATTTTGCATATCTATTATCTTGGTATATTAATAGATTCTATTAATCTACACCATATAACATATATGTACAACTTGAATTTAAAAACAGAATTTCAGTTAATCGATTAATATAAATAATTTTATTTGGTATTTAATAATTTTTAAAAGAAAATAATATTACTGTCTTAATTTTGAATATTATTTATTGTGTGCAATGAAATTAAAAATAAAGTTAGAAAACTAATCAGTTATAAATTTGTTCATATCAATAATAATGATCTGTATTTTTCTGACTTCAATATTTTACTTATTTTAATCTATACACATGTATTAGATACAATTCTACGGTTTCCATTCTTTGAATTTGATAGGTTTAGGTAGGTGTAATTTAAATTTTTAACTGACTTAGCATCGTTTTCAGTCAAATTATTAAAAAACTACAAACGCATCATCTACAGGGTCATCTTACAATTATAATTTCTATACATAACCTATTGTACAACGACGAGTAGCAATCAACAATTATAAAACATTTTAAACATACTTATTAATGTTATCCTCCCATGTTTCGGGATCTCTTGGCACTTTTGAATTCCTGTACAGTTCCATTGATTTGGCATTAACAGATGGTCTAAAAGTTAGTAATTTCACATCATTTTCAACAGTTTCAACATCAACATCATCAGTAACATTTTCACTAAAAATAACATCATTGATATTATAATTTATAATGGTCAAATAGTATATTATTTTACTTTTGTGTATGTCTGTGAATAAATAAAGTTTTAATTGTAGAACACAAATTGTCTTGTTGAAATTCAAACGACGAATAACTGTGTTCAGCATATGTTGTATTCCGTTGAAATTTCTAAAATTTAATAAAACATTTATTTTAACAGAGAAAAATATTTCAAATGAATTAAATTTAATGATGTAATACATACTTTTTTTTGGCTTATGTGATCTAAATAATCTGTAAAATCAGATTTTAGTTCCGAGTCAACATCAGAATCCATTTTAGTCAATGGAACCTTCACATAAAAACTCAGTGATTTGATCTCACAACTTCAAAAAACAACTAATTACAACCACGATGAATGTAATCGTGGTTGCAATATGAAAAAGCTAAATGTAATTTCCAAATAATAACGAAGTTACAAAAAACGACAACTGAAAAATATTAACACTAACGTTGTAGTAAAATGTAAACAATACCTTATCAAAATATCGAATGCATGAATGCGTGACATACTTTAGAAATGAGATAATAAGATTCGTTAAAATAATAAAATATTATGACATAGATGTCATGACGGCGGTCATATTTTGGTACAGATAATAAAGAAACATATATGTCTTTATTTTCTCTGTATTTCAACCCACGATCTTAGATAAAAAAAATTTGGCTATAATTTTATTTTATATCTTCATCATGGGTCCAACAAGTTTAGAGCAACTATAGAATAATTGTTTGTTCAAGAAAAAATGAGCTAGGATTGGTGGCGCGCTCTATCGACAATTATGATAACTAACTTCTACAACACGTATGTACCGCATCCCGCAAGTAATATTTGATAAGACTGAGGTTCCAAAATTGCGTAAACATTAGTAAATAGGTGTTAGATAAATAATAAATAAATGCAAGAAGTGAAGTCAACTACGGGTCTATGGCGTGCGGCGTAGTAAATCGTTGAGGTGTTGAAGGCTAATAAAAAATAGTTGGAAATCCCGGTGGCAAAATTTTATTTCACATATAAATATCTAAAGAACTGTTCTTTCAGATGGTTTAAATAAAAAACAAGGTTGGCTCGGAAAACACTTTTAAAGTCCTAACAATAAATAGTATAAAAAGTATATTTATATCTAACGAAATATTAAACATCTACAAAACAAATTATAAGGTAAAAATATTTACCATTGTTACCACAATTGTAATTCTACCGTAAAATTTAAATTATTCAATTATATGTGATTCTATATATGGAATTATTAATACAGGTACTATGTGTAAGTACTAGGTTGCCATTTGAAAATCAAAAGTAGATAGTGGTTTAACCTCCAAAAAAAGGTGACAAAAAATAACATTCAAGTAATATTGTAGAGTTGCTTATTTTTTAAGTGTTCTATAAAAATAACATAAAAGAACAGACATATTTCGCACGTTTCCTATCTACAACAGTTGCCCACCAATTGTGCGATTCAATCAGTTTATTTTTTAGAACTTGATTTAGTCATCTTGTGTATCTATAGGTTTAATAAAAATTATTTAAAATAAGACATCTCCCACCTATGTATCTAATCGTACATTACATCATGATCTAAAAACAAAGACAATAACGAAAAAGTAAAATGCTTTAGTAAAGAATTTCATAATCGTCTAACTTCCAATAAAAGACTTAGCCTCTATTTTAATACCTGGTAATCCTCCAAGATGTTTAAAGCGAAAGTGGTTTCGTGATATTTTACAAAACTAATATAAAAAAAAAAATTTCCCTATGTAAATGTTATTAATGGATGGCTTCTTTCATAAAAATCATAAAGATCATATTCTTTAGTACTTTAAACACATATGTTTATTGTGTTATATAGTATAAATTATATATTATAAACAAAAAAAAAAAAATGAATTCTATAAAATATAGGTACCTAATCTTAATTTAATAAGTACCTAAAATTAGTTATGGATTATTTAGTTAAACATACTTAAATGTACCTACTTACTTAATTCTAATATAATTAATATTATGATTTTCAAAAATCTAGAAAACATAGACATTTTGAAATATCAGGAATCAGATAATTATTATAATATTTACTAGAATTTTTAAAATTTGAATATATCATATATTTCAACTAGAAACTGGAGTTTTGAGAAAAAATAATATATTTTTGTGCAATAAAAATTATACTTGTTTCTGATCAGGGATAATGATGATTTTTTGTATTAGAAAAGGTCTGTATTAAATTAAACATCATAATTTGGAGAGCACAGTTTATTATCGATCATTATTTAAATTCCAAAATGTCAATTGTTTGGTTAATGAAAAGTTCATGTTTGTTATTCCAAAACTAAATCAAATAAAAGGTGTTGATTAAAATTGTTTCATAGAGACTATACAGTAGAAAATATTTTTTATTACATATACCTTTGTGTACTCCATATAATCTTTGCTATTGGTAAATTTATTAATGTGAATTTTAGTCAACTATTTTCAAAGCATTTTTATTATTTTTTTTACCTTCTAATTTCATAGGATTATTACCAAGTATACTTAAATTGTTTTATCATGGCTAAGTTAGAAAACTTCAAAGATACACATTTGAAATAACCTTAAAAATACAATATAATTGGTTATCATAATAATGCTTTTAATAACAAAGTTTTAACGAGTTATCTTAAATATCACTACTTATTACTGAAATTTCAAAAAGTTTTTTTTTTCACAACTAGTAATTGAAGGTTAATATTTAATAAATACAATTTTTATTTAACTGTAATAATTTAATACAATTAATAGATTATTAATTTATTATTAAACAATTCAATTAGGTAAAGTTGTTGTTTCATGGTGTAAAAGTCAGTTTTGACTAGTTTAATTGAAAAAAAAAAAAAAATAAGAATAATAGACAAATGTGTAGGTGAAAATAATATTTATAGATTTGTAGATTTTGAAAACAAAACAAAGTGATAACTACCTACCTATGTCTTGTTTAAAACTCCTCGTCTCCTCATACTGTTTGATAGAATTTCCCACCGGCTGTCGACTTGATACATCACAATCTCTCACAGGAATGGTATCTGCTGTTATACCTACACGATTTAAGATAATATACTCAAGGTAAAAATATATTACACCTTAAATTGTGGTACTATACAAAACCATTGAGCGCATAGACAAGTACCATAATTATTTAGTAGATGCCTACAAACTTCAATGTGTGGTTTCCAATCTATAGGTTACCTAGGTACCCACTTAATTTTTGTAATGTCGTTACTTCTGTTCTCAATTAAACATTTTCTGATTTATAAATAACCAAGTTTTTACTTAGTAAATATTTTTCTCAATTTTATATTCCTCCTAATAATATTACTCTAGAATTCTTTTCAGAAATTTATTTCCTGATTTTTATTTTCTTGTGAATTGCGATTAATATAGAAATGTGTTCCTGCCATAAATCATTCCTAAGAAATATTTTTCTGTTTTATATTTTTGAACAAATTTTTTTTTAAATTTATATGCTTACTTACCTGATAATTCAGGTAAGTCAGTACCTCATGGTAATTACCAGTGTTTAAATTTATGTTTTTAATAACATAGTTTAATAGTTAACATTATTGTAATTATTAAGCAGTGCCGGATTTAGACTTTTGGATGCATGAGGTAAATGCTTCTTTTTTTGAGGCTCTTAGCTGTAAAAAAAATTAAAAAATAACCCAATATCTAAATAGTTAAAGAAAAGTAAAAAATTTGCAAACTTGCAAGTTATAACTATCTACCTAAAATGTGTTTATTACAAGTTTGAAATACTGCTATTCATGTATCAAAAATTTCAAAATTAATTTATGTAACAATATTTTAAGAGTAAAATAGGTATATTAATCTCATAACATTTTATTTAACATCCCAAAGGGGTAATGAGTACAGAACATTATTATATAATACATAAATACTTAAAACTTCTTAAAACTATTTAAAACTATTGGATTACAATCACTTCAATACAATATCCTTAATTTAACAAGTGAATCAAAGTTGTACACAAAAAAAAAAAAAAATCATAATATTTTACTAATATATTCATACATTTTCTTGTTCTTTTCGGTTTTTCATATTTGATGAGAAAACTCTTGAAAAAAATTTCCTTTCAGAAAAGGTTCTACATCGTATACATCAGAGTAAGGTTTCTGGTAGAAACCGTGTTCAGATAAAAAATAAAAATAATAAACATCTTTGTAAAACTAATACATTCTTCGCTACACTCAGAATCTAAAAAAACCGAATGTAATTACGCATACACGACTACATGAAACGAAAGTATATGCTTGCACGCAACAGTTCAAACACTGGACACTGAACGACTAAATTAGCTGTTAAGTGTTTATTTATTGTATTCAAAAATAAATCATATAACTACTAGAACATTTATACCTAAATACTAAAATACTTTGTGATTGTTGGATGCCCCATTGCCATTATGTTGTCTCATGAAATCTTGACGTATTGATTTGTAGCCCAAATTATATAAATACAAATCAATATTTTTTTTTTCATAAATTTCCTAAGCCAAGAGTCAAAAGTTTTAAATTTTTTTTTATATAGTATTTCGGCATCTAGAAGCCCCTCTACACATCTGCTGCCCAGAGTAAGTGTCCTTAAAACCTTCTATCAAATATGGCCCTGGGTACAAGTCAAATTATATAACTTTAGGAGACCAAGAAAACTGAATAATTTACTAAAAGTTTATAATATAACCTTGTATATATATCGGGGATTGGGAACCTGCGGCTTTTTAACATGCAATCTGTCTCTTAAGAAAATTAATCAATATATAGACTTTCTAGATCTAGAGCTGGACCCATAAAATGCCAATGAAAGTTTGATTATATGTCTACCAATTCCCAATGAAATTGCTTAGAAAAATATATTAGTTATTTTTTGTACTTTGGTACCAATGTTTTTTTTATCTTAACCATTGCGGCTCTTTGAAAATCATGGTTTTACAATTTTTTTTAAAAAAAAGCTTATTTACTTGAAAAGGTTCCCAACTCCTGATATAATATAGTCTATATTATAGAATATTTAAATGTACATGTTATCATGACACACAACACTAAAAGCAGATAGATTATAGATACATTTCTGTGTCACCAATCAGTTCGCAGTGAAATTCCTTAAAAAATTGATGTATAATGTAAAATTTGACAAAATGTGACTTCACCTTTCTTCATCCATCCATTTGTAAATAGGTTATTTAGTAATAATAAAAAAATGTATTCAACTTCTCCTTGCAAATGGGCAGGTTCTTTCTCTATTTAAAATAAAAGTCAAACATTAGGTATTCATTTCTACTATTTATTTTTAATATAAATAAAAAAAAAACAACACAAATATGTAATAATTAAAAATTTATTTTCCATATAGATATTTATCTTTCCAGGAACCTCTAGCTTTGTTTACTGGAAGTGAGCCAGAGATAAGTTTTTGTTCTTCTTGCATTTCCAACAATTTCCTTTGATTTTCTTTGAAAACTTCGAGTGGGTTATTAAACTGTTTATAATATGATAAAACTTCTCTTACATCTGTTACTTCGCTGGCAGAAACTACATTTAAGAACTCTGCTAATTGAATCAATTGTTGGTCACTGTCTTCACCCGTCCATCTAGGAATTACTAATGCATTTTCTCTTTGTAATTTTACTGAATCTACATTCCAATCGATCACAATTACTTTAGATAAATCACGGTTAATACGATCTAAGTTTTTCACATGATGCCCATCAATGTAATCTGTAGCATTTTTAACAAGTCTATACATAATTACATTATTTTTATCCAAACTGTCTAAAATTGGATAAACATTGAAGCCATTTGAAGCTGTGAACACAACTATTTCATAGTTTTGAGATACTTGTTCAAGAAAATGATCTACGTTTGGCCTCTTCTTAAATCTCCATCCAGTTGTATATGTCCATTCAGGGTGAATGAGCAAGTCTGTCATTTCTATTATTAATGTGTATGGCGGTTGAATATATGGATAAGGTAATGGATCTGGTAATAATTTTTCATATGAAGGAGCTCTCATAGACTCAAAAAATCCACCAATTGCATTTGTTCCACGCTTATATAAACGTAATAAATACGATTCTTTTTCATCTTCATCATGTTTATAGTAATTCTCATCCATTAAGACATAAAGGCCAGAGCCCAATACCAATATTAATGAAGCACCAATAAAAAAAAAACCAATTTTCAAATTTTTTATGGCCTTGTCTTTCTCTTTTTGTCTTTCATCTTTATTTTCACCAAATAAATCTAATTGATCGATCAAACGGGATGTTTCTAATGTTTCAGATTTTTTTTCTACTTCAGAACTATAGAACTTGTTTAACGATAAACAGAATGATGGACGCACATACGATATCAATTTGAATGTATTCAGCTCACATTTGCAACACAATGCTGTTTTCCCCAATTTCGTACTGTACTGCCGGAGTCCTCTAAATAAAAATTGGGCCATTTTTACCATTTGGAAATGGTTAACACTTATAGGTATACCATATCTTCGAAAAATGTTTCACTAAAAATGATAACGTAGAAATTACAATTTTAACTAAAATAATTTATTAATTCTCAAATCAATAAAAAATTATAACGCGAAACACAATGACTGAATACCTTGATGGCTCGGTTTAATATATCTGATATCATGCTGAATACTGAATGTAAAATTGTTAGATAAGAAAAATACATACTACCGGTGGTTAATTTAACCTCAAAATGAATAGTTTTAATAGTGATTTACTCCGTACACTACTTCATATATATAAAATTATAGTAATAATAATACGAAAGAATAAAAATAATACAAAATCTGTAGATTGTAGATCAAAATTCAAATCTAATTTTCATTTCATATTATTTAAAATTTTTAATAATTCTCTGAAAATTGAAATATTTTACGTAAGTAAACTCATATTTTAATATTTAATAAATTCATTCATTTTCTATTTGATTTTTATTTTTTATTTGTATTTAATGTTATTTCTATAAATCGTAACATGTTTACATGTATTAGATTATCCTGTTTGTTCGATATGGAGGCTTCTCTCGAGTGTACAGAAATTTGTGAAGGAAGAGCCAAAATTCGGGTACCTGGTACTAGTAAAGTGTTTTATAACCCAGTACAAGAATTTAACAGGGATTTAAGGTACAAATTATGTGTAATATGAGTTATTTAGAACATACATTTTTAAACAAAACTCTATATAAAATTCTAAAAGTATCAATACATTTATATAACTGAGTATATTATATTCAAAAATATATTGTGATAGAAGTTTTTCTAAAATGAAATTCATATGTTAGATTACTTTTTTTAATTTGTTTATTTTTTAGAGAAATAAATATTCATATACCTACCTATCCATATTTTTTTGTAGAATGTAATTCTACTATAGATAGTATTTAAAATTACATGTATATTTAATTTCCTCTAATGGCTTAATAAAATAATTAAACTCTTAAAAATATTTTAAAAGAATCATTAAGCATTCAAATTTTAACTGAAGTTCTACTCAGAATTGTTTTTAAATTTTCATCTCTAAAAATTTTGATTGCATATTAAAAATTGTATTGATATTTTTTGCTAATATAAATTTAAAAGTATTGTTTTTTGTTTAAATCATTAAAAATTATGTATTTAAAAAGATCATAACACAAATATTATTATATAAAATTAATAATTTTAATTTTGTGTATCTCAGTATAGCGGTCTTATCAGTATTTTCTGAAATTCATCACAGTGAAAAACAAAAAACTAAAAAAAGACCAAGATCGCCTAACAATGATAATATAACAGAAATTGAGCCTGTTAAACTAGAAATTGGAACATCAATTGAGGTACCTATGTTTATTCAAACTTACTTATTTTAATATAAATTATTGTAATGAGTTTATTCAATTTATTGGAAAATAAATTTGTTTTATTGTTTATAGTCAGGCTTAGAAATCTTAGAGGCATTAGCAGCGACTGGTTTGAGAGCTATTAGATATGCACTTGAAGTTCCAGGTGTTAAACAAATATATGCTAATGATATATCAATTACAGCTGTTAATATAATGAACCAGAATATTACAGAAAACAATGTTCAAAATTTAGTTACGTCCACTCAATATGATGCTGCGTAAGTTTTGGCTCATTATCATTTTGAAAGTTGGTAAAATTAAATAATATTATCTATGAAATATTATAAACTGATGATATTGTATCTTTTTATACAGACATGTTATGAGAAAAAGACAATTTGAGTCTAAAAAAAAGTTTGATGTTGTTGATTTGGATCCTTATGGATGTCCAACAAATTTGTTAGATGCAGCAGTTTGCTGTCTTGAAGATAATGGATTATTGTTAGTTACCTGTACTGACATGGCTGTTTTAGCTGGTAATACACCCGAATCATGTTATGCTAAATATGGTTCAGTATCTTTAAGATCACCAGCTTGTCATGAAATGGTATTAATTGTTTTTGATTGCATAGTTATTTGAATTGGTTTTTGATTCATTTTCATTTTAACTATTATTATATTTTAGGCATTACGAATTGTTTTGCATACAATTACTACCGTGTGTACTCGATATGGCCGATATATGGAACCATTATTATCAATAAGTGCTGACTTTTATATTAGGGTATTTGTAGTAATACGTACTAGTCCATTTATTTGTAAAACAATGTCTAGGTGAGTTAATACAATTTGTTTGATTTCTATATTTTAAAACAAATGTAAAATCTTTATTTAAATTTTATCTGAAACTAATTGCAGTAAAATTGCAACAGTGTATAAATGTAGAGGGTGCAATATGATAACTTTTTTGCCATTGGGTTCTTCTTCCAAGTCAGATTCAAATAATATGAAGTTCACGCTTTTGTCCGGTCCACCAGTTGACAAGAAATGTGAACATTGTGGATTTCCTCATCTGGTATGTATCAAAATTATTTATAGTTTTTGTAAATCAAAATGACAAATATCAAAGTTAAATATTTATTGCTTTTAGATAGGAGGACCTATATGGATAGGTCCTCTGTACAATACAGAATTTCTTAGTAAATTATGCAACTATATAAATAATGATGATGCTGAAAAAAAATTTAATACCATTAAACGAATGAGGGGCATGTTAGGTTTGATGCTGGAAGAACTACAAGACATTCCATTGTATTATACTGTTCCATCACTTACCAACACTGTTCATTGTGAAGCGATGCCTTTAAGATACTTTTTGTATGTTTAAGTTTGTTCAATTTTTGTATGATATATTGATATATTACATTCTATTACTACCTTCACGTGAAAACAGTAAATAGGTATTTGCATATAAATGTTCATTTTTTTTTAAAAGTAATATTGTACATACAGGGCCATAAAAACATAGTAAACTATGTAGTGGCTTTTAGAGGTGGACAAATTTAAATATTAGATGTGACAAATTATATATAATATTTCAGTGTTTCCTATTTTTTTATTTTTTATTCAAGTCTCCCTAAAAATTGGAAAATTATTTGTGCTTATGTAGGTATTTAGCAAAATTTTGTTAATTAACAAATTCAGTGGTTTAAGTTAGTTTAATATTTTACAATTATAGTAGAGATTTATAATGTTATTCTGCTATTTCATTTACTTGAAAATAAATATTTTTATTTTATACTATAAATTAATAATTAATACATTTTTAGTTCTGCATTAGTTGGTGCTGGATACCGTGTGTCTTCATCTCATTGTGCACAAAATAGTGTGAAAACTGATGCACCTCAATCCGTTGTTTGGGATGTCATAAGGACTTGGGTTCAAACGCATCCAGTATCTGCAAAACGATTACAAAATTCAGCTGCTGCTAGACAAATTTTGTCTAAAGAATCTACAACTGAAATAATTTTTGATAAAAACTACAATATAGTTCCAAAATCATTACAAGGATTAGTACGATACCAACAAAATCCTGCACGCTTTTGGGGACCTGGAACTAAGGGAAATTCAAAGTAATTATTCTTTTTGTTTTTTAGAATTTGTAAAATAATAATCCTAGGGGGAAAATAATCAATTGATTAATTAAAAATTATCAGTTTAATAATATTATAAATTATATTACATACAAATAGTGTATCACAGATTCCTTGTATTACCCCAGAATGGAATATAAATATGAAATACATGAAGTAATTTGGTTTTAGATTCTGAGCAGAGTGAGGAATTTATTGGTTTTACAATGATAATTTTTTTTTTTGAGAATAACTTTTATACTAAAAATTCAGCTCCAGTTTTCAAGTGTAGCACTTCCTAAAAAGAAATCTGACTAATATGATACTTTAGGGAGGTCATTATTTGATTTTCCCTGTGGTTTTCATAATAAGGAGAAAATTCACAAAATGTATATTTTCAAATAGTAAATATTGTAACCTTTTAAAACTTATATAACCTAACTCTGCTCATAATTGTTTTTTGTTAGCAAGATTAATCATTGCATATAGATAGTAATTATTACAAATTTCCTTCCATCTTTCCAACCTCTCACCTATAACAATGGCTCACCCATCATGCTAATTATGTTCGTTTGTTTTGTTTTTTAGATTTTCTAAAAAAGTATTCAGAATTTTGCTATTTTAATACTTAATTGAAGTATCTTTGAATAATTTCTAATAATAATATGGGTAATTTATTCAATTTATTGAGAAGGTTGTGAATAGGTTTGTAAATTAATCTATTGATTATGAGTTATTGATATTGAAAGTAAATCTAATTTAATTTCTCATTATTATAAACACTCTTATTATTTCATACCATTATGGTATTCAACTACCATTAGTTAATTTTAAATGCATTTCACATTGACAGTTAAATACACATGGTATATGAAAAGTTATTTAAATAATAATCTATACATTTATATTTCACAATAACCAAAACATATTATAATATGTAATTTTTTAGTCTTATAAATATTATAATATTATATGTGTTTGTAATTTTAATGTAAAGTATGTACAAAATGTTTTTAGATAACTATTGCTATTGTGCGTATTGTTAATTTTTGCAGTAGTAAGTTAATATAATTGTTTCAGACAGAAAACTTCAGTGGTCGGATCTAATACTGAAAATAATGGAATTTCAAAATAATTTCATTTTACACTCATTACAAATAAAACATTTACCCATTGGTTACAACTTGTTATTTATTTTTTAATATCAACACTTATTAAAATTAATGTGTATTGTGTTAATTTATGGGATTCATGGTTACTTTGTTTGTTAAATACTATTCATTACCAGCTATAAGCGTATATAGTTCTCTTTCAAATTAATTTTATTTAAATATTTTGAGACGATTATTATTAATTTTTGATATCTATATTCATGGTCTGGTACACCTATACTGTTGTTTTATGTATATTTATTGTATATATATATATATATATATTTAATGTGTTTATGTATTGTTACAATTTTGGACGTTGAAAAACTGCAGTTACATACCGAGTAGGTGTGTAGTGTGTACATTGTATTGTGTTTATTTGAAATAAACATAGTAATAGATAAATCATTTAAAAGATGATTGTATGACAAAAAAATATATTTTAATTGGTACAAAAAACCTATGCCTTTTTTAAAAATAATATTTCATGAAATTATTATGTAAAAATAATAAAAAGTATTTTGAAAAACATTAACATTATTCGTTATACCTATGTTTGTCTAATAGCTATTTGGCTATGTATATAATTGTATACAATTGATAAATACATAAGTACAAAAGATAAATAAATGCCTAAAGTTTTATTTTATTTAATACATTAAGATATTTACTTTTTATAATGAAGCTATCTTTAAAACGTTTGTACATCACTATTTGTTGTAATATGAACTTTAAACCTGATGTCAAATACTAGGTAAAGATAAATTTGTACAATTATATGGGTATGGCAAATTGCAATTGAAGATGTCACTGATGATTGATGAACCATACACTTGTATAATAACAATAAAACGCCATTCAAATGAAGCCAGGTATACAATTTATAATTAATATTTTTAGAAGATCAATTCTAGTTCGAATATAAATATGAATATTTGGTACAGTTTATAGTTATCTTTTTCTTAATGTAGAAAATTAAACACTCAACAAGCATATGTCTTTCACAAAATTATATAGTTACTCTAACATTAATAAACAATTTAATTTACCATAGTTTTCTATACTCTATTAATAACTTTATTATAATACCATATACTATTTTAAAATTTTCTGAAATCAATCAATGAAGTTACTATATTATCACAGAATAGGAAAAGATTATTTTTGTCTAACTATGGCACTGAGAAAGATAAGAATCACGGAAAATCGGAGTCAGTTGAATAATTGCTCATTGAAGTATACAGGGAAAGTGAATTTGAAGGGGTGCGTTTGTCTAGTTCTTTTAATTCCATGTCAGCGAATAATTTAGCAAGTTCTATTTTAACCTTTATTTGATTTCTCTCTGAAAACTTTTTAAAGGTTCCTGCATAACTGAGAAATAAGTGGTCGACACTATCATATGTATGTTTCTTTTTATTTTCCAGATAACCAATAACTTTATCTACGCCGACAGGCTGATTATTAGGTTCTTAATCTTTTGTTTTAATTTTCTTCGGTGCTGATAATGTAGGATCAGTACGCGTGTATAATTGTGGATCATCCAATTGTTCGACATCGAAAATTGATGCTGATGCCATAGGTGGAGAAGTTATCCGTGAAGGAAATGTTAATTCTTGTGTCTTTATCTCTAATGGAAAGTCAGTTGTAATATTGAATGTCCTTTGTCTTGGAACTAAACTTTTATCTAAAAATTGTAACTGACTTGCCCACAACCATTTTTGATACTTTTTATTGGCTTGTCCTGTTGTATCTTTTATTTCTTTTTTGTATCGTAAATAGTTGTCTCTTAGGCTTTTCCATTTTTTTTTTTTTTAGCACTTCCTCTGTTAATAAAACAATATAATTTTAAATTATTTAAGATTTTGAAAGGAGTGATGAATGTATTGATTATACGATGATGTGTGTTTTTAAATTTTAAATTTTTCTTTATAAATTGAAAAAATAGCTATTTATAGGCATTTGAAATATAATATATATAAAGGAATACTGTAATAAATAAAATTAGTTGTTAAATGTTTGTATCACTGTGTTTTTTTAGGTTCTTAGCATCAGGTGATTCCTATCAAACTATAAGATTTTCATTTCGTGTCCGACGTACAACTGTAGGCATAATAGTGAAAGAAGTCTGTACAGAAATTTGGAATATCTTACAACACACATATTTGGCTAAACCTACGGAAGAAATTTGGAAAAACTCCGAGATCGTTTACAAAGAAATATGGAAATATACTCCTCGCAATTGTGGATCCATTTTATAAATTTATCACGGTAGATATTGGCAATTACGGGTGCCACAGTGATAGTAGTATACTTGAAAATTCATTATTTTATAATGAATACATAAAAGGGAAATCTTTGTTACCACCTAAGGCAGTACCTGGTATGACTGAATTAGTTCCACACGTATTAATAGGCAATGAGGATTTTGAATTGCAAACTTATCTCTTGCGCCCTTTTCCAAGATCGGCAATCTTACATGATGAAAGAAAACGAAATTTTAATAAAAGACTATGTAGAGCAAGACGTGCAGTAGAAAATGTGTTTGGTATACTAACACGAAAATGGAGAACTTTTTTAAGACATTGAGAGTGACGTTCAAACGATAGTACATGTAGTGAAAGCCACATGTTGCTTACACAATTTTCTCAAAATGAAACAAAGTACAACTGTTGTCAACGACATTGAAAACCCACATGACATTATTCACGGGCTTACTTCAGAAAGACAAACAAACCGCAGATCATCAACTGCTGCAATCGAAGTTCGAGAAAAATTTGTAAATTACTTCAGCCAATAAAATATAAATATAAAATTTACTATGCATCGTTAACTATTGTAATAGCTTGATAATAAAATAATTATTATAATTATACAATTTAGATAATAATTATATGGGTAAATAATACACATTTCATACACATACCATTTTCATTTAATTCTTTTCCAATGATTTTCCAAGTCTCGTCTTTCAAATCAATATTCATATAATTTTTGGAACTAATATCATAAAGAAACGTATATTTTCTCACCAATTCTATGAGTTGTTCTGTCATTGTTTTTTTAAAATGTAATAATTTAATTTTTACTGTATTGCAATATTGATCGACAACAACGGTACGACAGCTATTGCACAATGATGTCCGAAACAAAGTGGTTGTCACATTATTATATTGTTATCATATTATATAATATGTTATATTTATAACATAATATTTAATAATAATAATATGTACTCCTTCTGAACGCCAAAATTAACGTTGAAACGCACGTGATTTTGTAATTTTGTAACAACGTAATGTTCTAGCGTCGTGTTAATCACGCTGACGAGCCATGTTTGACAGCCTGTATGTTTTGTAATTGAATATAACGCGACGATAATAACGCTTTCACGCGCGTGAATAACGCGTTCTGTTTGACAAGGCCTTAAGATCACAATTAAAGACATATTTCTTAAACCGTTACTAAGATGTGCATATAGATATATGTTAGTCCGTGATAATAGTTTCAGCTCAGTGCTATCAATATCAATCTTTTACTGGCTTTATTTTTCTTTCGTCCGACACTGATTTTTCACATGTTTATAAAATAATGATTAAAGATAACCTTGCATTTTGGATTAGTGTCAAACTTTATTTATGTAATGGTCATGGGAATGTGAATGCTTATTTAAAATTGAAATTATGACGTCCTGCGCTGCTCCCGTTTCGTAATTTTTAGCCTATGATCGATTTGTCATTCGAAAGATAATAGAATTTATTTTTTACGCAGTGAATAATTAAAAACTTCTTACTTGATTTTTAGTTTGTCTATTGACTACAAAATGACACTTGCCGGTTTACTTAAGCATAGGTAGACAAATATAATTTTCTTTGTGCCTTACTACCTAATCGTAAGTTACTTACATAATTATGATATTCCAGTATCTAAATTTAGTAATTAATTGTTGAAGTCTGGCCCTTGTGGTAAAAATAAACGCCCAACATATTTTTCCTAGCACTCCCTTACATTATTAACGTTTTTCGGTCAGAATTTCCATTTTTCAATTAACTACAAAAATATGCGAGATTTTATGATTACTCGAAAAAGGCTAAAAATTGAAAACTTAAAATTCTGACTATTAGACGTTGTTTTGGTCACTTTACATAAATAGGGAAGAGTCTTTACTGATTTCTAATTGAGTAACAATAATAGTTTGTTCAAATAAATGTATTGAAGTGATAGAATAATCTGTGTCGAATTTCATTTATCGTGAAGAAAGGACTATGTTTTGAATCTTTAAATGAAGTTAGAGATGCAATTTTAAATTTACATAACATTAGTATAAGGATTTGTGGGCTACAAATTTCATCTTCCATCATAAATGTTTTTACAGTTTTAGTATAAGTAATATGTATAATATTGTATTACTATAGCTACAATAAATAATATAATAATAAGTAACAATTTATAAAATAACATAATTGTTTATTTACACATTTATTTTGTTAAATAATTTTCAACCGCATTTCGCTGAAGGAAATAAATACGCAAACAGGTATTACTTTCCAGGATTGTTGGGTTTATTGTAATATTATATATTATTATTTAGTATTTTATCAAAGCTATTGTGTTAAGTTAATAATCAAATAGGCTATTAAACAAAACAGGAAGACATATTTGAAATTGGTTTTACAAAATAAATGTTTTATATGTGTACAATTATATTTTCTAGGTGATAAATATGTCTTATATGAGCAATATGTGGAAATCAAATTTATTGATGGCATCATCTAGTTGCCGTGTACCTACATTGTGTCATATATTTAAAAGGCACAAATCACTATCAGAAGATCCTTCATTATTATCCATTTTAAGAAAACGAACCAAACATTTTCTTAAAAAAAAGGATTTTGTTGTACACATTACAAAACATCAAAAGGTAATCACTGCTTGTAAAAAAATGATCTTTGCCGTTAATATGTTTAAACAACAATTAGCCAAACACAGAAAAAATTTAATCATGTGCGTGGCTATGGCTTTCACATTTGATTGGTATAAAGAAAGAATATGTATTGACGAATTATTTAGGTACCTACATAATATTGGTTTATTAAATTTAGTTAAAATTATTTTTTCTCATAATGTTTTGGTTTATAGATTACAAAAAGAATTTGGAATTATAGAAAAAATAGAAAAAAAATCTGCAGGGCAAAATATATCAATAACCCCAAATCTTATTTCTTCTGCTGATAATAATTCATCTGATCTTGGAAACATACAAAATGAATTTGTTTGTTTGAACACCAGTTGTAATTGCCCTAGATGTAGAAACATGAATGGTAATTAAATATATGAATAATAAATATTAATTTTCCTTTTTAATCAAACATATGATATATTTTGTAGTTTGATTTAATTTATTTTTTTAGAAGAAGGATGGGAACCATTTACAAGTGGTTCTTATTATAATGCTTGGAAAAAAAGAAATATTGATTATCCGGATCAAAATTTGTACATTTATAAAGGTAATAATGTTGACTAAAAAAAAAAAATGAAAGTACAATAATACTATTGTTTTGTTTTTTTTTTTAGTGCATGGTTTATTTAATGATGTAACAGCATTAGACTTTATGCTAGTGCAGTTAGATCTTGACTATCGAAAAGAATGGGATAAGATGTCTGTAGATTTAGATATTTTCGATTCTGATCCACTTACACACAGCGATCTTATTTACTGGGAACTTCGTTGGCCGGTAACTATATAATTTTAAACCCCAAGTATTATTATAGATTTTATATTTGTATTTATTAGACTACGTGAATGAAATTATCAAAAGGAAAATCAATATTTTCCTAAAGTTAATAATACTACAATGACAAAGTAAAAATTAAAAAAATTTTTTTTTTTTTTGAGGTTTGTTTATTCGTTAATTTTAATCCCCCCCCCTTTCCATTCACACGTACATACTACAATTACAAATCGTTAAATAATATGCCATGTAGATATGTTATTATTCAAATAGTATTTAATATAGTATTATAAACACAAATTTAATTTAAAATTAAAATTGATAGAATATGGATTTTTTTTTCTTGTAATTTTGATGTTACTTATTTTAAATGAGGAGTAGGCAAGTGTAATAAATTTCATGTTCATTTTTGTAATTGATTTTAATCAAAATCTTTATAGATTTATTATGTTAAAAAAGTTCTCCTTTTTATTTCAAAATTATTGCTTGCTTTTTTTGTTAGTATTGGTAACTTTCTATTAGTCATATTATATATAACTTTGCATAATACAGTCAAACTTGGTTAATTCAAAATTGTCAATACCTCAACATTTTCCTCTAGTCTAGTAATGCAAGCAAATCATGATTAATCAGAATATTATCGTAGATAACTCGAAGTTACAATTTTATTTATTAAATAATAAAAACTAAAATAAATAAATAAATGTTTTTGTTATTGATCAATAATATCTAACTGGTTTTACACACAACAATTATTTGTTATCCACTCACATATATATACACTTTAATGGTAAATAAAAATGCCAAACAAAAATTAATATTAATTTTAAAAATTTGATGATATATAATATACAATTATACTATATATGTAAATATTATAATTGTACTGTTTTAAATAAAACATTTTAAAAGGTTTTTTTTTTTTTGTTTTGGCTAACTCTGACTTTTTTGGTAGTCCCTTCAATTTCATGTTAACCAAGTCTGACTGTGTAAACAAAAGAAGAGATTAGTTTTATTTTAACAATCATTTTTTATATTTGATTTATTTGATTACTTGCCTACTTTTTATTAAATTATTTTAACTTAATCAATTTTATTTAGTAATTGATATTGTTATAATGTGTAATGCATTAGTATTACTTTAATTTTATTCGTAGAAGTGGTTTCTAAATCGCGATTATGTATTTAAACGCCGATACAAAATTGATGAAGATGAAAAATTAATGTACATTGTTTGCCAGAGTGTTGAACATCAAGATTTTCCTGAATGCAATGATAAATGGAGAGTTAAAAACTACTGGTCATATACTGTAATCAAACCACATGAAGATTTTGATAAGGTAAAGTTTAAACAAAAATTTAATTAATTAACTAAATATTCTAATATTAGTTATATACATATTATAGTGTTTAAACCATTTTTATTTTTATGTATAATTTAATGTGACTTTTTCATAAACATTTTTTACAAATGTATTATTGATTTTATTAATTTATTAAAAAAATTATTATATTTGAACAGTTATTAAAGTATTGTTATATGATACCTATACATTTTATAGAAGTATTAATTAGCTTTTTAATTTTTAATGTTTTTCATATTTTGTAGCCAGGAGTTGAATTTTCAATCACTTACTTTGATGATCCTGGAGTCACAGTTTCGAATTATCTTTCTTCGTGGTACCAATCTAAAGGTACAATATTATTTTACTTAAAGTTGTACTAATATTTCTATTGAGGTTTATAATAAAATATTTTTGAATCAGGAATGCCATCATTTTTAAATGATCAAAGGATGGCAGCGTTAGAATTAACCAAGCGTCGATTGGAACAAAATACCATATTAATACCTGATAAAGGAAGTAAAGAAACTAAACTAGACCCACAAGAAACTCAAACTTCTTGGATGTCTTGGCTTTTTGGATACATTTTATTCTAAAATGTATTGTTAAAAAAAAACCGGTTTAAAATTAGTCAATTTTATAATAATGATTATTGTTAATATTTTGTGCTAAAATGTATATAGGTAAATAAAAAATTTAAGTATATATTAATTATTCTGGTAAAAGATCTTGAACTTGTTCATTTGCAAATTCTTTTTCCAACGATGTAATAGGTCTTGAGGTGGATGTGCGTGGTCTCTGTATGGGTCCTAATGGATCATTATAAGTTTCTATAAAAAGTAAACAAATGCATATTTATATACAGATATATTTTATTACTTCAGTATTTAGAAAGAATACATTCCTTAAGTCATTTTTTTGTAGGATATAAATTCAAAATTGTTAATTGTTATTCTTTCTGCAGGTCATTGTGGTCTCGTTATAAGCTGAATGTAGATAAGAGAAAATAGAAACCCTACACTATTAACTTTAGTAATATTATTGAATCAGAAATATATTAAATAGGAACATATTAATTTTTAAAAGAAATGGCCAAGCACTGAACTACTATATTATATAGAGTAAGTTATTAATAAAATGTTTCAGGTTACCATTGGTTGATTTTATGTCTTGATGAACATAAATATTCATTTCATCAGAAATATTTTGACGTGCATATGCACTTGTTAAAGGCATTGATGTAGTAATCATAGCTGTTCCTCCTCTAGCTGTTCGTGGTCGCTGTGAAGAATTACCTACAGGTCCTTAACACAATAATTTATAAGTTAATAAAGTGCATTTAAGGGGGGGGATGAAATACTTTTAACATTATAAAAATAATGATTAAAATATCATTTAAAAGGATTATAAATTCAATACTGAACATTATATTTTTCAAAAGTTGTTAAACTTTAGTTTCCAGACATCCCAGCATGAGTGTTGCATTTAAAGGGGCCGTTGCCATAGTTAAGGAACTGCTGAACAACTCATAAATAATTATATTATAATTAAAATAATATTTAAAATACCCTGATCTTTTGGGCTGTTGTGTACATATATATTTGTTTCTCCTGAAGTTGTTTGTTTTTGAGTATAGTTATTTGTATTAGAATTTGAAATCACACTGGTGCTGCCCCTTGTTTCCATTGTTTTGCGATAACCGGTGCGAGCTGTACTTATACGTTCTCTAATATCCTTAGTTTTTTCAGCTTTTCTTAGCATTTCACTATATTCTGATACTTCTTTTAATCCTAAATCTGTACATATTCTGATCAATAGTTTAAGACCTAAACCAATATATTAATTATACTCAAAAATTATTGTAATTAATCTTAATTTAATATTAAAATATTAACATACACTCTGTGTTATCTGGAAATTTGTTTAATACATCTTTATAAGTCTGTAGAGCCAATTGAAAATTTCCTGCTCTTCTATAACATGACCCAATTAACATGAGCCATTTTGGTTCAGCGGGCTGCATAAGAGAAGCTTGTTCAAAGTAGTCTACTGCTTTTTCTGGAACTTTCATTTCAACAAAGTATGCTCCTAACCAGTCCAGTACTTCTAAATTGGAAGGATAATAGCGATAGGACTAAAATTTAATTTAAATTAATAAAATAAATTAAAAACATTTTTTATGTATGTGTAAACTATTTGAAACCTCATAATAATAATGATATGCTTGTTGTTTGTCATTTATATTTTCATAAATATCGCCTAATTTTTGTAAAACACCAACATCGTCAGGGACTATACTCAGTAATTGTAAATACCTATGGAAAAATAAAAAATAAAAATATTTTCAATATTTAAATTGGTTTACTTATTTATAGTTACCACTCTATCGCCTGTTCTAGATCACCAATCATTTCATTTAGTAATGCAATTTGATAAATAACTTCCGGATGGTTACTTATAACAACATGAAGCTTTTGAAAACAATCTAGTGCATCGTCTAAGTGCCCAAGTTTTTTATTAGTTAAACCCAAGTTGTACATTGCTTCTGAACACATCACGTCTCTCTCTAGTGCATGTATGTAGAGCTCTTTTGCTTTAAAATAGTCTTGTTTGACAAAGTAACAGTTTCCATGATTTACATAAGCCAAAGCATTGGATGTATCTGTTTCACAAGCTGCTATTGAAGTTCTTTCTGCTTGTTCTAAATCACCTTTCTAAAAAATACATTATATGCATTACACTAGTTACTAACTATTGATTTACATTTTGTTAATAGACATACCAAAAAGTGTATAAACGACAGATTTGTTGCAGCTGCACTCGCTACTTTGCTATCCTTGTTGTCAAATGCTTTAAGAGTGTCAATTGCTGGTGCTATGTTGTTTTGATATAAAAATCCAACTGCTTTGTTTATCTCCAAGTGACCAGCCAAATATGAATAACGTGACATTTTAATTGTTTCTAAACACCATGTGTAACCTTCAGTAAATGTATCTTCAATAATTGAAGATATAAGATGTGCCGCATTAAGAATTGTTTTTTCAAAATTTGTCTTTATTTGTTTTTCATACGTGGTGAGCGAATCAGATTTTATGGCTTCTGCTAGTAATGTAGCTTCAATTTCATCCTAAAATGTATTTAGTCAATAGAGTTCTAATTTTTAATTTTTCAATTTAAGAATTGTAAAGTATTATCTACTTGTATATCTTACAGAATGAGCAGCATATTTATCTTCAAAGTCTATATCCAATGATATTTCTAGCATTTGTTTGAATAAATGCTTTGATTTCTCTTTATTGCCTGACATATAGTAGCACACCAAGGCATGCATTCCAGCTTTAAAATTAGGTTTTTCATGCATTATATACTCAAAGTTTGAACAAGCATCTTCATATTTACTTAATTTCAAAAATATAACACCAATATTATGTGTAATAGCTCGCCTGAAAAATAACACCAATTATAATATATTGTACCTTGTTATGCATAAACATGTAAATTTATTATTTACTTAAAACTCTTATTGGTGTTTGGAACCTGATCAAGAGCCATCCGATACATTTTTATTGCTTTTTCAGGCTGTCCAATTTTTTCATATATATTTGCAACATTTACCCTCATTCGTGCACCATTTTGAAACAATCGATTCTTAGATATCACTTGGTACGTATTTAATGCTTCTGTGTACATTTCATTTGCTGCATATTGATTACCTAATGCAAATAAAACCTAAATAGTTGATACAATAAAAATCTTGTCAGTTTAGTTATAATTTTTAAATTATTAATTCAATTCTCAATGTGTCTATTAATTAACAAACATTGATACAGAGATAAATAATCTATTTAAATAAATAAAACATATATAATTTACCAAAAAAGTTAAATCAATATTGTGTGAATCATTTAATCCTGCTTGCTCTTGCATTCTAATTAAACTTCTTTCCTTATTTGAAGCATCTTTTGCTTTCTCCAGTCCCAGCTGATAATCTCCTCTAGCTTCAGCCATACACGCCTCATCAACTAAATCATTAATGCGCTTTTCCAGTTTTTTTATTTTATCTTCAATTCTAAAATATTTTATTTGATTTATTAACACACTCATTATATTTAGAAAAATCTAATATTATTAAATTATATTTAAAAAATATATATATGTAAATATTATTTAATTTGTAGGTATAAAACAGTACACTGAACCTTTCTTCTTTATTTGGTTCTGACATTATCATATTTCTCGAAGGTTGACTTAAAACATCATACGTTGATGAATGTGATGTATAACCAGCACCTCGTACTGCTGTTGCAGGTCTATTTGACGATTCTGATCCACTTCTAGAACTTTCAGGTCTTAAAATCATTGCGTGTGGGTCTTTGATTTGCTTAATGAAAATTACATATTGTATTATATAATTTAATGTACATTATGTAACTATTTACAATTATTTTTTTTCTTACTGGTGTTGTGGCAAATGGTAATGGAAGACCTGTAGGAGCTTTAGTGGATATCTAAAAGAAAAAATAATTATAGTTATAAATAACGATAATATAATATAATATAAATAACTCATTGTGGTCATAATTAATAATACTAACTGATGCTCTTCTACTGTAAGATGATCGTAGAGCTTGTCTAAGTATTTCCTCCGGATCTTCTTTTGTTCCATCCAAATGGTAATCATATTGGGAATACATGTCACTGTCATACGTGTTAAACTTATTTTTAATATGTGTCGAATCCATTCTTAGGTTATACAAAACTTATTAACAAATAAATAAAAACGCCATGTTAAATTAATATATCTGGTTTTATTTTCCGTTTGTGTATAGTAATGCATCTCCATGGTTACGACTATTTTAAAAACCCAATTATAATATTAGATTAAAATAAAACTGTGAATGTTTTCCTTTGTTATGTTTATTATTTAACATGTTTACATGTTTTAGAATACCTTTATATTTGTTGATTTGTTTTTTAAAAAAAAAACAAACGGGCATACTTCGCATGATGTGTGGGCTACTGTTGGTCGGAAGTCGGGAAGGTAAAAGGAAAATTCATATATATCTGTATGCAACGCTTTCTTTATTTTTCCCATTTATTATGTAAAATCCTGGGAAAATCAAAAAATGATATTCAAGTACCACCGCAGTTCCTTTCAGAAAAAACGCTACCTGGGTACATTTGAATATCTGAGTAAAATTTCCAGTAGAAAAGTTGTTCACAAAAAAAAATAATAAACATCATTGTAAAATCAAAACATTCATTCTTTGTTTTGCTCAGAATCTAAAATTCAGCAATTAGGGAGGTAGGTAGGTTACCAATGTTTTAATTATTTTAATAATGCATAATTTTATACATGGGTGGATAGGCCAATTTTGGCCTGCCGGGAAATAGTAAAAAAGGCCACTACATGAAAAAAATACACATGTATATCAGTAATCTAAGGGCCCATCAAGGGAAGGCCCCCCGAGAAATTCTCAGCTTTCGTGTTTGCCCGTTTTATTTACTAACGACAAATAGTTACCCGTGGTGCGAGTAACTAGTAGTAATGACAAGTACTACGCTTCGTGTATACTAGGAGGCATTAGATAGATTATTATTCGATGTGTGGAGAGGAGGTGCCGTAGTATTATTTTGACACCAGGAAACCTGTGGCGTATCTGAAGTTTAGCCCTTCCCCCATATACAGTATGTGTGCAATGTAATTAAATTTGTTATTAGCATTAAAAGTTGCTTACTTTTAAATATAAATGTTGTATTTTAAATTAAATATATGAACTAAATAATTTGTATTGCGCAATTGTCGTATCTATTATAAAATAGTTATAATTATAACATTGTTTTTTTTTTTTCAAGGAACTTTTAAAATACTTTCCATCCGATCCCCTCCATAAGAAAAGTCTAGACTCTTGATACACCACTGTAGTAACCAAACAGGACCATCGGGACTCGTATCCTTGTTTGCTATTGTCAAAGCGGAAAAAAATTGTTCTCAATCGACGTTATTAGGTATAATCTATATATAGGTATGTGTAATATGTAAATATTATATCGGATCACAAAAATATGTTCACTTATAAAAAAATGCTTTCGTTGTTAGGTCCACAAATAATGGAAAAGTAAAATTGTGTTTTGATTGGTAGGTAAAAATAATTAATTGCCTGTTGATCAGATTTTTAATTGTGAAAAACGTCTGTAATGGCCAATTCAGTCTAAATGTGTAAATAAATCATTACATTGGTTATTTAAAGATAGATAGGTAGATAATAAAATGTCTAAACAAATTCACTTATGACTTTTATTTTAAGTGGACGTTAAAATGTTAAAAATGTTGATAGGTAGGTAGGTGTCTTTAGGTATTTTTAGATAGTATATGCAAATTTTACAGAGTAGTGGTCATTTGAGCGAGTGTAATAAACAGTGAGTATAAATATTGTATATAACCTATTCAACTAAGTATTCTTTATTTCGATAATTTGTTTCAGTGTTTTTATGCATTTCTTCTTTATTCCTTTATCATAATTACTTTGTACACTTATACTCTATACTTCTTCCTCTGCTTCCATCTACATTTAAATCTGTCTTGACTCAGAGCCGTAGTAAGGTTCATATTAGCGCTCCTGATCATTTAATATATTTCCGCCCTTGTACAATTTATTTTAATCCTCTCCCGCTCCGTAAACACATGTACACATAAAACATTTATTTTATTTTTATTATTATAATAATGATATTTTATAAGGAAAAAACACTACCAATTGTTATAACCTTATATAATAATGTGAAAAAAATTGTATTTTTGTACTTTTTCAAAATTCACCTATTCTTGCTTTTTAGCTACAAATAATTTGCATGAATTATTCATCTATAACATTTTAAAAGTTGATTTTTGTAGCCAATTTACGTTAAATCGATATAATACCCATATTTGTCGTGTGACATTGTGCAGATCTTATTAGATACTTAATCATAATTTTCAGTTTACCAAAACTTCTTTTGGGAAACTGGATTTTACTCCCCCCCCCCTCGGTAAATTTTCTCTGGTGAAATATTGCTCCCGGTAAATATTCTCTAGTTGAATTTTGGTCCTGGTAAAATTTTAGTAGGTATTAGTTAAAAATATTATTTCGGTCTTCAGTTTTTCTGTGGACAATTTTCCTACCAGCAATTTAGCTCCAATTTAAAATGATAGCAATATTTAGCAATGTTTCCAAAAGGAAATTTGACTGGGGAGGTACTTTAGGGAAGTAATTTTTCAATTTTCTCAAGAGTTTTCTTATCAAATGTGAAAAACTGAAAAAAAAATCGGCGAAATTTACGAAATATATTAGTAAAATACTTGTATTATTAATTAAATATTTATATTTATATCATAATATCAAATCATATAGGTTTTATCTCATTATATGAATAAAAAAGAGCTAATACTGGGGATGGATTTGCCACAGTTGCAGGTGGGAAGTTGGAAAGGCAAGATACATAGTTAAAAAAAAAAGCAACGAAAACCAATTCTGAGCGAAATTTGGTTACACATGTTTTGAATTGCAGACATTTTTACGATTCTCATAAAAATGAGTAAACTGTAATAAAATCATTGCACTCAATTTTTTTTACCATTTTTACCAATTTTCTTTTTACTTTAAAAAGTTGAAGTACAACTTATAATGAACCTCGTGTTTAATTGGTTAAGCATTTATGTTTAGTCAAGCAATTTTATCCATGTAGCACCTAAACCAAAATAAAACTTTAAAAAAAATGCCTATAAATAGCTCGAAAATCGTTAGAATAATTAAACCTTATTATCATGTCTAGAAAAGCTAATATATGCATTATATGAAAATGTCAACTCTACGATTATTCTTAACTGATTTACAACAAAGAACCAAAATCGAAAATAACGAAACCATTATAATGTTATACATTTTTCCATGTATCGTAAGATTTTTCCAGGTTTTTCCAATTATTTTGAAAACTGCTGTGAAAATCAAAAAATTAATTAATTGTTCACCATCTAGATCCAAAATGTATATGTGTTCTGGAAATTTTTGATTAAAGCAAGATTTCTGGTAGAAAACAATTCGTACAAATTTAAAATAATAAATTCGTATACCGTAAATTTGTCAGTTTTCATTTTATATCTTTTACCTGTGCTTACTAATTATTATGAAAATCAAAATGCAACTATTATACCTGTACCTTACGAGCATGTCGTTCTATTTGAATATTCGCCAAATTGCACGTCCATAACGTAGAATTAAAAACGCTGTACTTTGAAATATAGGAGCCTACTAAATAATCACATTTAACTAATCTTTCGTCAGTTGGACATTGTATTATAATATTTTCTTCGTTCGCTACTATTGAATTTGACGTATATTATTTAGCTGAACACGGACGCTATTCACGCATCGCCAACGAATTTCATCTTTACTTGTATTTTTCGAAGCTAAGGCCATAAATAAAAAAAAAAAAAAATGTTATTTATCTAGTATAATAAATAATAATAATACAATTAGGATCTCGATTAATAACGACTACTAACTCAATAACTCATAACCTGTAGGTACGTCATTTTCAAAGAAACTTAACTTTTATATTGATGTGGAAACCCCTTCATAATAGTCGACTATACGAAATAATACAGATAACGAACCTTGATAGCAAGATGAATATAGCATTATCGGTATACATTATTATTTGAGTACCAGAGTACCTACTACGACGACAAACATATAATAATAATATTGTGCGTTTTTCTTTCTTGCCGTAAAGTATAAACCAATAAGTAGGAGTGTTTAAAATATTAATATAAATTTGTGAATAATTTGATTAAAAACCATTGCCAACTTAATTTTAAAATGCCTAAAATATTATATAAATAAAAACCAATACATTTCTCACTTCGCTCAGAATTTAAACGTTAAATCGCGTAAACAATTTTTTTTGAAATTTTTGAAAAATAATTATGAAATTAGAATTTTGTACTGGTTACTGTGAGAAAACAAATCGCAATTAAATATATTGATTTTCCACGGTACTAAGAACGACACGGGACTTTTGGGACATGCTGTATATTATTTTTTTATTTAGCGTTTGAAAATCGTTATTCTAGTTATCATCACAACAATGTAACGCACGAGACGGTATTTGATTATAAATACAGAGTCGCGTCGTCGCGACAAACGGGGCGCGAGGAGCTCCGCGGGCTGGCGATCTCTGACGTTTCGTCGCGCGCCGGACGCGTCCATTGTGTTTCGCGTACCCCGAGGGGTGCTAGTCACGCGCCGCGGTGCGGTGTGGTTACGGGGGCGGCGACGGAGGTTATTGATTGGCGGACGACTTTCGTCTGCGCGCGAGTATACCGCGGTCGCAGTGTGCCGACGGCCGATCCGCCGTAACCACTACCCAGGTATATATAATAATATTATAACCGGGCGCATGACAGTGGAGAGCACCAGTACGAGTAGTGCGACGGGTCGCGACACGCCGCCCGGTTGTTCAAAAGTTTACGGCGAAACGTTCGCGTGTTTCGCGAGACTATATAGATAGGTAATAGGTACCTACACCAAATATTATACTTTCGGGCTACTGATTGATTTCGTTTCGGCGGGGGGGGGGAAGCGGGCGAAGATAAAAACCGATAAATTAAAAAAAAAAAAAAAAAGGAAAAAAACTACCCGTATACTTTCGACGTAATGAATAGCTGCTGCGAATGGTCGGAAGCGTTCAAATGCGTCACGAGAAAATCGAACGTCGTCGTCGCCGCCGCAGCCGCTAACCGCTATTATACCGAACTGCAGGTAAATAAAATTATAATAAAATATCTTTAATAATTATTAAAATTAATTTCTTGTCGGTTACTTGCATCGCGCCATCCGTTTTCTCGTTGTCGACAAATTACAATTTTTTTTTTTTTCCTGACAAATTAGTTTAGGTACCCTACGCGTATTTTATTCGCCCGAAAACAACACGTTATCATTATTATTATAATAAAATGTGGCGAGCGATTTACGTGTTTTCACGGTGTAACATATTGTATTATCAAAAAAATATCATAGTGTCATAAATATTTTCCAGTTAAAACGCGCTCAATCCAAAGATGCCAGCCGGAAAAGTGCAATTTGTCGTTGTTCACAAGTCAAGTGAGTCGTGTTGCCTATATATAAATAATATTATATACGTACCTACGTCATAATATATAACGTATAATAATAATTATTAAAATTATAATGACGTTATTTTCGCTCTGAGATCAAAAATCGATAATCATACACCGGCATATTGAGACAATTTTGTGGTTCGCCCCGGTTCGCCAGTGATTATTGACTCCCTGTGATATTTGACCGGGGGGGGGGGGAATTTCACTAGTGTTTATCGACCCCGTGATATTTTATTCTCTTGCGAAATTTCTCCTGGGTAGATTTTCGGTGTGGAGTGAATATCTTTCTATCATGCATATAATATATCTATATACTATATTAATAAATCAATATCCGTTTTATTTCATGAAATGTAAAAATATATTTTTAATAATTAAGAAATGTATAAAAAAAAATATATAGGTATTACAAGGTATACAAGGTGTTTCACTACATGTTCACTCCATTTTTCTGGTTAAATTTTGCATATTTTCTATTTCTGATTTTTGACATTTTTAATTGTAGTTAAAGCCCATATTTTGAATATTTAGATTTTTCACAACATTTAAAGACTCTCATGTGTCGATTCCAATTTTAGTTTTTTAAACGAGAACCTATATTGAAAAATCCGTTAACAGACGGAGTATTATTTTAAATAAATGTTGGGGTCAAAACTTTTGATTTCCGTCAACCCGTTGACAAGATATATATTTCACTTTTAAGTATTAGGTAAGGGGAGAGATCACTAATAAAACGCCGCCATCACAAATGATACTTTACTATTACTCTCCCCCTATCAAAACTTTAAAGTGGAATATCTCGTTAACGGGTTGACGGAAATCGAAAATTTTGACCCCAACATTTATTTAAAGTAATACTCCGTCTGTTTGGAACTTTCAATATAGGTTCTCATTCAAAAAACCATAAAAGTCGTTTCCACAGGATACTTTTTAAATGCTGTGAAAAATCTAAGTATTCGAAAATATCGTGTTTAACTACACTAAAAAATTCCAAAAATCAGAATTTGAATATATGCAAAAAAATAAACCAAAAAAATGGGATGAGCACGCCTAGTGAATCACTCTGTTTATATAATTGGTAATTCGTAAATACGAGTGGGTATTCTGGATATAATCTAAAACAAGTGTAGAAGATTAAGGGAAACCAGGAGTGCGGAACACAATAACGTTTTTTTTTTAATGACAAATATTAGCAAAGTCCTAGGAAAAAATGTCAGACCATAAATTTATTTTCCTAGCGATACGGCTTTGATAGAAGAGAATACTCGAATAAAAGATCGATCGATACATTTTTATAGGGCACATAAATTTCAAATATTGATTACTACAATTTGTATAATAATAAATAGGTAACCTAACTTACATAATTAACAATATTTACCGAATGTAATACCTATCATAGGCGTACGCATATGGGGTGCAGGGTGTGTAATTGCATTCCCAACGAGTTGTCATATTTTTTTTATTTTTTTTTTTTTTTAATATTATAGATCATTTAGGCGGTTTGTACCAATATCAAACTCCTTCATTCCTTTCTATTATATGCATGGTTTAAGCAGTGCTCGAATTGATAAAATATAAGAAAAGGGACACAAAAAAAAATATTTGCGTTCCTTGTAATTATTAAATCAACCCAACCCGCGGGGGGTTTAGCCCTCCACACCTCCCACACTAATTTTCAAACATAATTCAGTAATTCATAATTTCCAAAAATAAACACTACCTACTGCAAGCTAACTTTTGTTTACATAGTAGTTTAGTACCTACTATAGTAGATATTATTTATTTTGGATTCTAATATGATGGTTACTACTATGATTCTATTATGATGATGTGTTTGTTCTTTTTCTGTATGTGAACAACTTTTCTACCAGAAATCTTGCTCTAATTATCAAGTTTATTATCTTTATTATAATTTATAATCGTAGAGGTCAGAAATTACATGAAATTGAATACATCCATGAATTGGTATAGTCTCATATATACAGATCTTTCCAGACATGGTACCTTTTATCTTGCACTACGTCCATTGCATTCCACTTCAAACAAATAGTAAAGGCGTGCTTACATTTCTGATAAATTAGTTGAGGAACTCCGCCCCCCTGCGTCCCCCCTCAATTCAAGTACTGGGTTTAAGTCTTGACAATTATTGCCGACTTTAACAGTAAGTTTTTAACATTTGTAAATCAAAATAATGAATATCTGTATGAATAGGATTTTTTTTTATTATAAGCTAAATAAACTTAATTTTAATATTAAAGAATTTTAGTGGCTTATTATTTATTAGGTATTAATATGTTATAGTTTGATGGTTTGCACCCTCCTGTGAAAATATTTTGCGTACGCCTATGATACCTATTATTATCGTATATTCGTTTTTACCATCATAATCCTTCAAGATTCTTTAATTATCGTAAAAATTTGAACTTAAAATGTTTATGCAAAATAAATACTACATTACACCCAATTTTTTTTTATAAACATTAAATAAAACTTGTGACGATCATATTGTTAAATTTACAAACATTTTTGAATTACTAAAACGATTTTATCCATATAAAATCAAATAAAAACTATATTTTAATACTCTATTATTATAACTCAATACTTCAACAGAATGTATTTTTTATTACGAGCTTCACTGAGCATCACGGTAAAAATAGTACCATCGTATAAAAAAGGAGTTATTTTGATTGATTTTTGTCTCTGCAAATACTTTGCTATTATAATATAGTCAAATTAGTAAAATGTAATAAAGTAATTTCTCGAAAGCTGAATTTTGGTAAACAATTAGTCCATACTTTATTGATAAATTTACTCAAAGTCCTGAACCCCTTGTGGAGCCCATCATCTCTCAAAAGAAGGGTTTAACTTGCCCGCCATTTTCACTTATATCCGATACATATTTTAAGGAATATACGTTTAAAAAAATTTGAAAAATTACACGTTTACAACGATAAACTTTTCAACCACAAAGTATAACTTATGATGACCATCGTATAAAATATTCATACATTTCTGTTAAGTTTAACAATTTTATCCACACTAAATAAAAATTACAAAATATAAATACGGTGTATAAGTATAAAAGAAAAATGTAAGTTTTCTGTCTAAATTTCAAGTCTGTATGAATATTTTGAATTACTGAATTACAACAAGAAAACAAAATTTAAAATAATAAAAGCATTATTTTCGTAAATTTTCCCTTTTCCCTCAGTTTTTCTAAATTATTATGATAATTGCTTGGAAAATAAAAATAAACCTTCTTAAAGAACTAAATAAATCAAATTCTCTTTCAGAAAAGATCTTACACTTTAGCAAGATTTTTTAGTTAAAAAAAAATTATAATTAACCTCATTGCAAAAATAATACATTCCTCGTTCAGCTCATTTATCTACTACAATACTAACCAAATCTCGGGCGGATTAAATAGTTATCAATACATGTTTAAAATATAAATTAGGTGAAGATGCAATTTATCCAAGCTCTGAACTTAACAATCACGGCCCGACCATTAAAGGGTGGAGGTCTTCCAAAAATTGCGAATATCCACAACAACTGGTGCTCAAGCTTTACGAAACCACTGTGATTCATCAAATCCAAATACTCGCTCATCAATATTTAATTCGTAAGTGTTAATATAACTATAAGATAAATATTGCAGTGTAATTATTTGAATTTCATTTTATACAAATCATATTGATCAACAAAAATGTATCAAGTTGTACATAGAGAAAATTATTATATACCTAAAATAAATGTCCTTCGTTTTTTTTGAAATTGAAATTGAAAATTTGTTTTTTACTTTTAAAAATATTTCTCAATAATTTGTACGATTAATTATAACATTATAAATTACAGAGTTTTTTTGATTTTTTTAGTAAATAACTCTTTTCCCTGTTCAAACGATTATGATAAGGTAATAAAGGCACTATTTATTCAATAAATCAAATTTAATTCCCAAAACGACATATTCTATTCAAAATTTGCAATATAAGCGAGATAAATATTTTATATAAAAAAGAAAAGTCATCTGTATAATATTATTATTTAAAGCCAGCAAAATTGAAATATGGATTGGACCAGAAGAACATACGGACACAGATAATTTAACTAATCTAAATTACGAATATTTGGGATATATTACACTGAACGATAATGACGGAGGTTTAGTTAAGAGCAGAGAACTTAAAACTATTACACTGCCGTTGGCCAGTGCGACTAGTTATGTTAAATTGATTTTGTATGAAAACCACAAGAATTCCTTAAATAGGTCTAATCAGGTTTGTTTATAATTTATATTAATATCTAATATATTTTGTTTAAAACTATACTTGTCTGTATATTATGTTGTAACAAGTAATTTATTTTTGTCGTTTTAAGGTGAGTCTGATCGGTATACAAGTGACTGGTGAAAAACATCATACAGACCACCAGGAAAATGTATCCCATCATAGTTCGATATATGATGACTTGGCATTTGAAATGTATGTGGACAAAGGTATTGCAGAAATCATCCGAATGTTAGAAAATAGAAAAATTACAGCTGTCGAAGGTAATTATTTGTATAGTCACTAATGGCATTGGTGCACATTCAGTCTAAAACTTGGGAGTGCTAAAATTATTTACGATAAGGTATCACATGGGGGATTTTGCCCACCACACCCCCCCAACCTATTCGACAATTCGAAATAAAACTATATAGTATTACTTAAACATTAAATAAACAAAATTGAAATAATGAATCTTCCATTTCCCAATAAATAACCAACACGAGATAGGTACCTTCTTAAAAATATGAAAATAATTAACATAAACTTACATAATATAATATAATATTAATTATTAATATATTATGTATAATATAAATTAATATGAATACTATTTGAATATAACCTCAAAATCTAGAGGTGCTAATTTTAGATTTGGAGGTACTAATAAGCACCCCCTGGTACCCACGTATGTTTGCCAATGACTAATAGGTGTTTTGTACACAAACATTGGGTTAAAGTATTTATATGTGTGTACTACAGATGAGCGATTTGAATATGCCAGAAAATTAAAATGTGCCATGACAGAGTTAAGGTCAGCTGGAGAAAAATTAGGAAAATTAGAACTGTCCAAAACACAAGCCATACAAATCGAAGACTATGGTAAAGCAAAAAAGAAAAAAACACAAATGGAAGAATATCGAACTCAGGTGTTGTTGGAAAATCGGATAGATGATCTTTTGGAAAAAAATGGGGTAAGCCAGTTTAATGTAATGAGATTATTATTTAATATTTATTTTAAAAATCACGCCGATATTTTTGTTTTTACATCATTTTGAGATAAATATATTTTTCAAACCTCTTTAGAATATTGTATATATCTACCTGCTATCTATGATTTTTAAATCGTTCATTTTAACATTTTAAAATGCACACAAAATATAATTTCAAATAACCATAAATATATTAGCGTATTATTAAAATAACACAGACAAACTTGGAACTATAGAAGTTGTTTTAATTTTACATTTGGTTTTTCTGCAAATTATGTTCGTGTTTAAAAAAGAAAAATATACCAAAATGTTTTGTGATAAAAAAAAGTATAATATAATTACAATACTCATTTATATTTTGCAATCTATATACATGTTTAAAATACACCTAGTTCAAAAAATTTATAAGTTATTGAAACTTGTCGTATGTGTGTGTATGTGAAAAGCCATTAGAAATCAATGACGAGGAACCTGAAGATTTTGTTGACAAAACACCGGGGTCCGTCGACGAAACCGTTAAATACGCCAGGTCCTTGTCTCCGATAGTTTCGCCCAAAGAGGTTTCGGTCAAGCCGTGTCAACAAGAAATTCAACCGGAAAAAACCGAAACCGAAGTACCCGACGAACCGGACGTTTACCATAGTCCAGTATCACCACTCCATTATCCCGAAAATAATTCTAGAGAAAGGTCAAAGGGCATTAAAAAAATATTAATACACTATATAAACATAATAATAATTCACGTTATTAATGTAGATAATATTTTTTTGTACAGATCACCAAAGTTACAGCATACGATTGTGACGAAAGCGATTTCGTTAAAAAGGCCCAAACCAATCCGTCCAAAATCTAATAAAAATAGTTACGAAGCGTACGACGAACAAGCTATTCCGGCCCAAAGATTGTAAGGGTTTTTTTGTTTTATATACTTAAATTGTATACATTAGCGGTCCCAATCATGCTAACCCACTTTTTATTGACTATTTAAAAGCAGAATTTTTAAAAAATCGTTTCAAAAACTGAAATTAATAAAATAAACTAATCTAGTAGAATGCTACAGAAATTTATGCTACGCTACGAGTTTAAATATACAATTTTAAATTACTTTTTTGTTTAATTATCTCGGTAGTTAAAAAAAAAATGTTTTTTACTAATTTTTTTAATTTTTTTATACATATTATCTACTTTTGTAATTGCGTAATCAAATTTTATTCTTCCACTGATTTTTAAATAATTTTGGCTTTAATTTTATTACTTAACTCATATGTGTTCGCTTTTATTATTTTATATACTATAGTCACGTTGATTGTCGCTAGACATGGGACAATAAATATTCACGAATGTAGTTCTAAAAAGATTAAAAAGTTCTAATATAAAAATGTTTAGGTTTTTTTGGTCAATTTCGTTAAAAAAATATTTTTACTACCAAATTTTTCAAAAATATGTTTTAAGTGATTATTTTAGCACTTAAAAAGCTATTAATCTCTTTAATCGCGTTTTTGTTGTTTTTAGTTGATATAAATCCAGAACCCTAATTATTATAGACATATATCCATGTGACATGCAATAGTTTTTAACATTATAATCATATTATGTTTCAGTTGTCAAACGCAAACTACTAATTTACAGGACTCTTCAACGTTGCCTTCAGCCAGTGGTGTCGGAGCATCGAAATTGAACGAAAGAGATAAAAAGCAGGCTTCCATTCCAATCGCTGTATTCGGGCTTCCGATGGTAGGTAATAGGTATGCGCAAGCAGTTTCTCCTATAAAAACTCCCTAAACCCTTTTTTTTATAAAAATATAGGCAGAACGTATTATAATGTTTCCACTTGATTTGAAAATTCGTAATTGCTGTAAAAATGTTTGCAACCAAACCTAACCTAAAGTAAAAATTTGCTTCGCTAAATGTAACTACTTAATGTGAACATAGTAGATGTAACCCCAAAATTTTAAAATCTTGACAAGATTGATAACATTTTAATTATAAACTATTAATATTATAAAAAAATAATAATAATAATAAAAATGATATACATTGTATGTTACGGGTAAAAACCGAAATCGAACAAAACGCGATGTGTGCATGATACTTAAGCAAAACGTCATATTTTGGCTTTTGCCTGGACAAACCTAGTAGTGACTAATCTCATTTGAATAAAAATGTAACGTCCATAAATTTAAATTTTTCACAGAATGTAATATTACATATTATTAAGTATTCACCCATCGCCCCCTCCCTTAACACCACTGAGTATAATATACTTAATCTATTATATTATGCGAGTATTTTTTTAAAATTAATATTTTTACTACTATGATAAAAATGTACGCGTATTAAACCATCGTATTGTGATTGTATTATTTCAGGTGAAGCACTTTTTTTCGAAACAATATTCGGACAAAGTAGAAGGATTGAAACTGATGGAAGCTTCGATGAAGAATTTCATGTTTGACGGCATAGACGTCCGACACTCGCCGAATAAAATGACCCGAGCGGCCGTCCAATTGTTACACCGAACGCTCAGGGACAAAGTGTTTGCCGTCTATAATTTATCAGCCGAAATCATACGGTTTTTGTTTTCCGAATTCGTCCCCGGAAGGTAAGTTTTCGTATATTCTATGATGAATAGAATTTTGAATTTCAAATGACGTTTAATTTAAGGTTATAATACCTATTACGTCTAGAACAAATAAATATAAATTATTTTTATTTTTGTCGGATCTATATAAAACTTTTTGAAGGTGTCATTGCTTCACTAAGTTCTCCAAATATAACAATTAAAATACTAAACTTGAGGAATAATATATTTATTAGTTATCTAGAATTATAGTTTTCAGTTTGTATAGATCTAGTTAATTTTATCGAGCATATATCTGGGTAGTGGCGCACCCAAATTTCATTTTTTTTTTTTTGGGGTGGAGGGAGGGATTTTAGGTACATTTTAATTAAATTTCTGGACCAGATTTTCGGGATAATAAATTACTTAATATACGAATAACACGACTTACAAGTATTCAAAATTGCAAAAAAAATTATGCAACTTACATATTATATTACGTAGAATTCATCAAGATCTCAAATTCTATTAAACTTATTGGGGGGAGAGGGAGGTTTTAATTTATGAAATCCCCCTCCCAGGTACCGTCACTTCTGATCCCGGAGATGTTTTTACACTTAGTATTATTACGTCACTCTATTGGTTATTACTGCGTTTGTGTGTCCATGTATACAGAGTGACAACAGGTGAAGCTTCACGAAGTATTGAAACGCTATTGCCGGAATTGTTAGCAAAAGCTGGAGACACGACACCTCGTATTCACAACATCGCCACGCATACGATATTGAGCGTGGCCGAAGTTCCCGACATAAGGTGAGTGGTAAGACGTATATGTCACATTGTATGTTATTTATATGAAGCATAAGACACAAAATCAACTTGCTTGTGTAATATTCTACACTTTATATAGTGGTATACACAATACAAAATTTCGATTTACTAGAGGTTGAGGCCTTTACTGCTCGTGCCTGGTGCCTATGCCCTATATACTATTTCTATACATTTTTCACTCGATGATAAAAAGTTGAAGAAATTTTGGTTTTCAATTAAAATATAGAAAGCTTCATGATACTAATGCAGTAGGTATATTATGATATTGAACAAAAATAAATTTTACTTATATAATCGTGCATCACTTAAATTACACTCGTTCGTATATGTGAAAAACACGCATTAATATCATTCTCTTGTTTTGGGCGTTTGATATGCGTTCAACAGTTACGCCATCATATCAAATGATAGCTGATGTTGCTGACATGTACAAGTGCCTATAGAATTCGTTCATAAAGTATTGTAAAGAAACTAATGACGTTTGTAATTCATAATACATAAGGGTGCGCATGAGGAAGACAAGGAGGCAAACTCCTTCTCTGCAAGAATTTATGTCAAAGTGTTTTAAAAAAAATATATTACATTTGAATTTTTCAAAACATTAAACTGTAACGTTCCTCTGATTTTGTGCATTGCTACAAAAATATATGAAAGGCGCTTTAGGGGATTTAGCTCCAAACAACTCAGCCAAGCTCTCCAAATCTAATCCTCAACCAATAATTACTAAGTAAACATAATCAATTTTATGGGAGCTTCCGCACACCCCTCCCTCCCAAAAAAAAAAATTAATATTATTTGGAATGTTTGTGTAGAGTTTTATTTCAAAGATCGTTTGATTTTGGCAGAGGACCTGCGTGCGCTTATGATTTAATATATTTGATTTTTCCTCAGAAAACTCAACATTATACCGACTCACCTGACGCGTTTGCTGACCGGCAACATACATCCCAGGTTGATACTGAGCCGTTTAGAAATGGTCGAACAACTGATCATCAGCCAAGGCGTGTCGTCCGACAAAAATAGGTGTTTAAAAATCGTTGCGCTTGTATTAATTCGATTTTAGGCATTCCTTTAATAAAAAAAAAAAAGGCTAAATTAATTTGTTTTCTTTAAAACTCAGCGGAATGACCTGTCGTACTTTATGTGAATTTGGTATGTCGGCTATTCATCACCCGACCGAAGCTGTGCGCAAAGCCGCCGAACGGATTTTAATACACGTTTACAAAGTAAACCCTAGGTTTGTGCGGAAACAATTGCCGCCCGACGATGAGATCACCCGGAGAAACATTATGTACAGACAGCTGATGCAAGAGTTCGAACGCGTCGATCAAGAAGTGGGTACCAAAAAAACGTCAAAATAAAATATATACCTACCAGACGCATATAAATATAGATCGCGATATATTATCGGAACCAAAACAATAATGGTATCCTATATCAACGATAGTGGGGGATAACGAAAACATTTGCTCTCTCTTTAAAACCTTAGCTAAACATGTACCAATTAATATATGACGTATTTGGTTATAGTATAACCCTACGTTCCTACACTATACTTGAACTATTCTATGTAGGTACAGATTGAAAATAGGCGAACAGATCTTCGTTTAGAATGTCAAATATAGGTACTTAAAGGCTAATAATGTAATAATTATTAAAATATAAAAAAGTAAAAAGTTTAATAAATAATTTTGGACAATAATCGAATGTCCCATCAAGATATATTGTTGTTTCACTTTTACATAAGAAATCAATATTTGTGTGGCAAGAAAAAATAATTATATTTTTATCAGAATTATTTGACTAATAAATGGTTCACTTTTTTTAATTTTAATATCCATAGTCAATAGCATTGTGTGAATTTCATTTAATGTAAAACAATAATTTTTGGATTTTTAAAAATAGTAGTATTGGACAGTTAAAATTGTCTTTTATACCACTATGAATTAATGAAATAGGCACTTGACAATCGAATACATAGATACTTATTTTATTGAAAATTACATATCTTTATTTTGGTGTAAATTATAAACTCAAATTTTGGGCCTGGTCCGGGTTAACAATTTTATTTTTAGTCCTGGTCCGGTCCGTTTTTAAAAAAAAAGTCCAAACCTGACCCGAAAATAATGTTAATAACTTTTTAAAAAGTCAGATCCAGTCCAAAATAATTTATGTTGAAAAAGCCCGGCCCGGCTCTTCATAAAATACCATGACTTTTAAGAAGCTGGTATGTTTCTAAGTCCTTGGCCAGGTTCTTGGGCCCTTACAAGTCTTTAGTAGGTACCTATTAAATTAGTTTAGTAATAAAATAATATAATGTGTACCAATTATCAAATTTTGTTTTAAATATTTGTTTTCATTTTAAATTACCATACAGTAATAATTCACACATAATATAAACTCATATAAATAAAATGTTAAATTGTATAATAAACATATTATACAATGAATTAAATTATTTTATTTAGGATTCACTTTGTCTGAGCAGAACCACATCACCCGTATCTAACATTTTAATACATTATAATTAAATATTAAATTTTTCTTACTCAAAATGTACATGCAATCAATGCACATGTTATTGCAGGTGATAAAATTACTAGTCAAACTTGTTTATTGACTTAGTTGGGTTGTTTTTTTATTTTTATTTTGTTGTGTGACGTGTGATATACCTACAGATAAACTTAAGTAAAAATAAAACAAGCGAGTTTAAAAAAAAATTGATTACAAAATTAAATAGATACATTTATATACAAAGTGAATGGGCTCAGAGAAAGGGTTAATAATGCTCCATAAACATCGCAACATTTCTAACCAAAAAAAAAACTGTTTAGAGACAAGATGAATTAGATAATGCTGGTCCGACGACACAGTGCAAGTTAGTGCGATCCACCAGTGAGAACACATCTTACCATAATAATGATAGTGCCCATGACATTACAAGCAATGTTCATAATAAATTAAGTTCCAGCACTTCGGCAAGTATCACCGACGTCTACGAAAACGGACAAAACAATATTAGTGCACCAAAGTTAAAGTGAGTGACCTAATACCCTGCTTATATTATTTTTTATCACTAAACTTCTTCACAGCCACTTATATAGCCTTTTATTGTAGGTAGGTATCTATCTAGCTGTACAGGGATTGATAGAAATTGTAACTAACCAAGTATCATGCTTCATTTTTAAATACCTCTTCAATATAATATAAATATATAAAAAAAAAATCAAAATTAGTTTTTGTCAATTTTTAAATTCAATAGGAAACTAGTGACTATCTATACCTATGAATATCTATTGTGTTCAAAAATATAAATTTTCAAAAAACAAAAATGTATGTAAAAAAAAGAATAATTATGAAAATTCATTCTTTGTTTTTTTTTCACCATCACTAAAAACTATGGATAACCATAAATTTCATTAAAAAAAATTTAATCCGACAAGATAGTTATAATTACGTTGCATGTATTAAAATGCTTAGGTTTTTTATTCTAGTCCTAAAATAATTGAAATTATAGTTTTATCAAGTAATTTTACTTTGTATGTATTTGTATTTATAGTCGTTGTACATTTTGCAAAGAAGAATCTAATTTTTCCGAAGAAGAACTGAATATTCATTATTGGAAATATTGTCCATTGTTGATGCGGTGTGAACAATGTTCTGAAGTTATAGAAATTATGGGACTTCGCCATCACCTTATAAGTATTTGCTATAATATACAAATAATTATTAATATTGATTAAATATTGTAGGTTAACTGACATTTTTCAAAATTTTTAGAAGACTGTGACTTCAGAGATAAATATAAAACGTGCGATTTGTGTTTAGAAGTAGTTGAAATTGAATTTCTCGAACACCACATTTTAGGACCTACATGTAAAAGTGAGTACAACAAAAACCCAATACATTCTTAACTATTTAATAAGGTTAAAATTGTTTGGGTTTACTAATCACACGTGAACTTTACATGACTTATATATCTAATAAGTAATATAGCACAAATATTTTTGTACTTCGAATAGTACTCAGGTTTCAATGATTGTGTGTATTAATTTTGGCACCAAAATATATACGAAAAATTACAGTAAATGTCTGTAGTTTTTTAAAAAAAATTGAATTCACCATATGATCTTAATTTTAAAATCAAAATTGTTTCGTTTAACATTTAATTAAATTTCTCATGTTTATTTTTATGTCAAAGTTTATACCATTGACAAGGCTCAAATCTTACATTTAAAAAGAATAAAAACACATTTTTGCTAAATTGCCTATGAAATAGACAAAAAAAGCAACACATATTCCCTTAGGTAATTAAAACTAGAATAATTAGGTAGTCTAGACAGTTTTTGATTTGCAATTATTTCATACACATTTGGTTTACTAACAGCTGTTTAGTATTGTAGTTGAACAGTTCAATATTAATGTTTTATTAAATTATTTTTTTTTTTTAGAAAGAAATGCCATCACTGATATCTGTCCTTTGTGTTTGGACACAATAGGCAATGAACTTCAAGATTGGAATAAACATTTAGTAATTCCTTCAGCTTGTAAAAATCATCCACGAAAAAATTACCTTAAACGTAATTAATGAGAATATTCAGCAAGTACTACATAACATATATGTATATAATAGGGATGGGCCGATACCAGTTTTTACCAATATCCAATGTTTGAAATCAAAAACCGCGAGTAATATTGAATTAATAGGAAATCCAATTTATTAATATATTTTTCATAATCCAAAGACATAATAATAGAAATTATTCTTCAAAAATATTAGTTGTAAAAAAAAAAACCAATATCATATCAAGCATTAGTTTATGTATCAGCCCATTCCTAATATTATGTAATATTTTAACATTTCTTTATGATAAAACATAATTTTATTTTAAATCATTAGATTTTAAACAAATAAGTTCAATTACTTCAATGCCAAAATTTATTTAACAGTCTTCGTGTTTGCCAATAATTTTGAATTTTTAATAATAATAATCATGTTTTTTTAGAAAATGACTGATTATTATTCAGCATATAGTTTTTAATATTATGGTGTAAATTGCATAACTGATGTTATAGCAGATTTATTTTTGTATTTTTCATTTTTTTTAATTACAAACTTATTTATATTAACGTATACTGAAGTCAGTTGATGATTGTTTTATTTAGTTTTATGGTCTAAAAGTTTTGCCGTTTATATCGTATAAAACAATTATTAATTTAACAAAATTGTATTATTTATTATTAAAACTGAAAAATAGAAGATTAAAATGAGATTTTTTGCAAATAAAAATAATACAATGAATATATGCTGTTAAAAAAATTGTTATTTTCAAAATTAAGTAGCATTTGAAGTTATAATATAAAATTATCATAATGTTGAATTTTATAAAGAACTTATTGCACTGAATTACTGATTTTTCGTTTGTAATATGAATTAATAACAAACATCCTCAACTATACTCAGATATTTACAATTATTAAAACAAAAATAGTTGTACCAATTTAAAACATCCAAAGTATGCATTCAATTTCTTTATAATGTAGTAAATCACCATGGGTGATGAGCACTGTTGTAGGTGAAAAGTTAGGAAAATATAATTTATAATTGTACACAACGCTAAACCATTGCTAACGAAAAACGATTTGGAGCAATCTCTATTATACATATACATACATTTTCCTATTGTTATAACTACTTGGAAAATCAAAAATTGCTTCCCTGAAATACCAGCCAGATAAAATTAACTTTCAGAAAAGAAACTACACTTTTTTCGCTATGCTCTGAATCTAAAATTCAAAATTGTATGTCCTTTAATAAATTTATATGGTGACAAAAGAGATATCAAAAAACAAAAACAAATGTATATAAACTTTGTTGTATTTTATTAAATCTATTATAAAGTAGTTGATTATTTGTATTCGTATGCTTAATATCTATCATTTATCAAATAATTTGGCAATTTAGTTTGTCTGTTAAAATTACTTTCTTTTTTTAATCAATAGTTTGCAATAGTATTCACTATATACCAATAAAATTGTTTAATGGGAGAAAATTGTTCAGTCTTGAAGGTGCATTTTCTTTTTAAGTATATAATTAGTAATATAATAGCAATATATTGTGCAAGTTTTTATTCACATTTGATGAGTTCAACATCAAAAATTAAAGTAGAATTTGGTGGAATGACACCAGGATGTCCCAAAGCGCCATATGCATAGTCGGGTGTACATGTCAGTTTAGCACGAGAGCCAACACTCATCTAGAGAAATAAAACAAATAGAAAATTAAATTTTATGTAAATATTGAATATATTAATATATTTCAATGTTAGTGAAATCCATCATGGGCAAATATATTACTATTGTATTCTTACCTGGGCAACTCCTTCATCCCAGCCTTTGATAACTTCTCCTTTTCCAATCTTGAACTTAAAGGGCTTATTACGGTCACGAGACGAGTCAAATTTCTTGCCACCAACCAATGTACCTATAAATATATATAATATTTGTTTAATGTGTAAATATTTGAATGATAGAAGTAATACATATATTATTATTAATTATATATGTTACAGTTAATGTCATTATATTTATACTTTTTAGATATAAAAACCGATTTTGTGCTGTTGGTTTTAAGGTAAGAACATTGTAGGTTTTTGTACGTCAGTTTTTTCTCGATGTTTTAATTTTTAAGTGAGTTACAAACATGTGAAATATTGCAATTAAAAATTAAAATATCAAGAAAAAACTTATGTAAAAACACAAATAATATGTTTACCCTTAAGTAAGTTAATAAGCCAATACACTTTAAGATTAAAACCAATAGCACAAAATGGGCTAATGTGTAATTATAACGACATTAACCGATTTAAGAACATTCACTGTAACATACATATTTATGAATAATATACATAAATTCCAATCCAAACAATTAAGATTACACTATCATAAAATAAAATGTTATCTTACATTTCAAGAACTTAGTTACATTTTTTATGACAGGCAAATTTCTATCAAATACTCATATTGATATATACAATATATTAAACACCATTTAATATGGATTTAGTACAAATAAAACTGAATACATTTAAAATGTTAACTGTAAACAATAGATGAATTCTATGATTTGACTAGCTTAATGAGAACATTCAATACATTAAACAATAAATTGACATTCCTCAGTATTGAATAATAGTATTATATTAATAAAAAAATCTATGGTCTAATGTATCTAAAACAATTGCTCAGCCATTTTGATGAGTTACATAATTCATCAGTAGGCTATCTATCAAATTTAATACCACAGTTTAAATGTATCAAGTAAATGGTAAACAGACAGTTGGTCCCTGGTTTTTAGAAATTATAATCCAAACTTAGGTATAATATATTTTTTATAATTTAAAAATATAATGTCTGAACATTATTAAAAAAATAAGTGTTATAATATGTATTAATAGTGAAACAATTTTTTTATTTAATGGCATTATACAATTTATAGAAAGTAAATAGAAATTAGCAGGAAAACGATAATCCTCGATATTAAGTTAACCGTGTTTTTTATGCTATCACTAATAATGGATATTAAATTTGGTATTACTTACCTGTGTAATGCACGGTGACGGTTTGGCCTTTCTTCGGGAATGTTGAACCTGCAAAATATAATTGAATTGTATATTACTAATGTGTTCATTAAAAACAACAGAGGAACGCAGCCATCGCGACACATCCGAAGTTAACCTCTACAATAATAATCACGTCATTATAAGTACATAGACCCGGCATTCACGGCCGGTCTGAATATTCAAAACAACATAGACTTACCGTCTCCTTCGGCTAAGAATGTAACATCGACGCCCATTGTTTTGTTCGAACTGACAAAAATTATAAATAACAAGAAAAGCGGCAAAGCGTGAAAACAATGAGAAGGCAAAAATGGTTGAACGGACAGAACGAGACGTACGACGAAGCGTCGATTATCGGCGTATGGGAGTCGGAAAGACGATCATGAAAAGTAGCAGGAAATACAGTGATACCACTGCACATTACCGAATGTGAACTATTTTTTCCAGATATCCGTTTACACTGTAACGAGAAATCCGCGGGTATTGCGTCTTTTATTTGAAAAACAAATATTTGAAACTGCTTTTCTAAAAAAACTGAAAATTAAGGTATTTTACACGCTTCTACCATGCTTTTCAATCCATTCCAGTCCATTGCGTCATCCAAACGCTTTGATTCGTCGGTATCTAAATTATTCTTCTTCACCCTATCCAACCATCGCTGGCGAGGTTTTCTCTTTGGTCATTTTTTGTTGGGATCCTGATTAAAATGTTCACTGGCTCGTCAAACATGACCAATCCATTCAAATCGTTTCACTTTCAGGAAAGACCGGGTATTTGGCTTGTTGTATAACCTTTCTATATCATTATTTTTCGTAAATTTTGGGTAAAACTTTCCTTTCAAAGGTGAGCAGTTTCTCTTCATCTCCTTTTGTTGTGGACCATGTATTACATGGATACATTGTTATCGGGCACAGAAAGAAAGTGTACAGTTTATATTTTGTCACTTTGAATCTAAAACTGAGCATTTTATTCATAACAAATTAGTCTTTGTTTGCACTACTAATTCTTGGCTGGATCTCATTATGCATGCCATTACTCGTGTTTGTGTATTGTGTTTACTGTTTACCCCTAAGTATATAAACTTGTCCACCTGTTTAAAGACATAACGGTCCACGTTTAGTGCTGCTTTATTTTCTACATGTCTAGTCATGTCTAGTTATTAAGTATACCTACCTACCTATCTAAGTACTTGATTTTGTTCTTATTGATAACAAGGTTCATTATTTTATTTGCTCTCTAATAATTATAATTCTAGTTCATAAATTCATAACCAACAGACTACTGTTAATAACACTAATAATTAATTAATAACCTAACACATAAACCCATTTACAGAAGTCATTTATGGGGATGTTTGGGTTCTAAATCCCCCCTCTATTAGGTACGCCCCTGCTCCTCGTAAATAAATTCTTATATTACACCATATATTATATAATATTAACAAAAAATAAAATAAGAAGTTATGAAATATTCAAGTATGCAGGTGTTTTGCCGAGGAGACAAAGATGACTTAAATAAAATGAAAGTAGTAATCCAGATCATTACATGTTTTAAGTTCAAATTTTGAAGAAAATCGTAAAAATAACGGAATTTCAAAACATATTTAACCGATCTTTGCTCAGAATTCTATTTCACCAGTAATTATTTATTAATAAATTATACTTTATGATTTATGTAGTCTACTTTTTCTGAGTGGCACACCTGTTTTTTTTTAAAATTTATATTAGAATTGCAAATATTACCGGAAATACGTTTTGTTTAATATTATATAAGCAAAAAATCGTTAAACAAAAATTGTTCTCGTGTAGCCAGTAATATAGGCAAGCACTACTTAGATAGTAGTTACCTTACCTGTTATACAATTATTTTAAATTAGATATATTTGTTACCTAATTTGAATATAATACCTATACTATTATTATAATTATAATAAGACATTTAATATTTGGACTGTAGAAGGGCATTTAAATTAAAAAAATTACTAAACTTGTACATAATGGGTGTCCACTATCAACTAAAAACAACAAATAATTATAATTTACTAAGTTAAATTTACAATATTTATACATAATATCAATTATTAATTTTTTAATATCTATTACCAAAATTAGTCTTGAGAGCATAACCTTGTGGCTTTTAATATAATTGTAAGTATAGTTATTAATTAGGTAGGGTGGTAGTTACCTAAATTATAAAACCTTCATGGTCGAATGTTCTGTTCGACTGGTTTGTGTGAGAACAATACAGATATTATATGTAAACGAGACCTGCAGCATGCCGAAGTAGGTTTTTTGAGGCTATTGTCTCATGATTAAAATGGGCGGATGGGTTGGTGACCAAATATGTTGAATGTTGATTAAGATTGACTAGTTTAGTAATTAGAGATGCATTTAGTATTTTTTATTATATTATTAATATGATGGACTAAACTCGTATTACGTATATATTCATATGTAGTCAATATAACTAAAAATAGTTCTTGCAGTAATCATTTGTAGGGCAATTATAAAAATTCATTTTTTTAGTGGGTGAGCTCTAATTTTTTTGTTTTACCTAAAGTATGAAGAATGTTCAGCAAGCTACTGAACGAGACGATGCATCATGATGGACAACAATCAGTGGCGGCCTGGCTAGATATGAGGCTAGTCGGCAATTTTTTTACTTGAGGCTATAATTAACGGCATTTTCATATTATGAAATAGGACAGGGCATATAACACAGGGGTGAGTAGGTTAGACGAAGGTTCCCAAGCCTACATTAATTATTCATTTAAAGGGAAAAGGTAACTGAATTAGTAAATTGAAATTATTGAACTAAATATTATATGATACTACTTTATATTTTGTAATTACTAATTATTAATAAAAAGAACAATTTAAATTAATAAATATTAAAGAATCTGGCCCCTCCCCCTCTTCATCTGGGGCTACAAAATTCTCTTTATTTCGGTTAAAGTGGCCAAGCCAAGCCAAGCCAAGTGATTAATAATATAATATATTATAACGTCATAGTATAGTATTTCTATATCACGTTCAAATGGCATCAACATAAATTTATGATTAATTTTTCATTAAAGTGTGATGATCTTAATCGAGTTTTAATTTTTTGTCATAAATGAAAAGTTTCTTTCATTAGTTACTTAAAAGGGCATAAGTTACTTGTGTGAATACTAAAGTAATTAAGTTACCAGCTTATATGTGTCAAATAATTCATTATAATCAGATGTACGGGTCACTAATGTGTTTATGAATGTATTGTGCATCTATGTGTGCATTTCATGTAGGTATACGTGAAATGCACAATTTACATTTCATCTTAACCACTGAACATTTCAGTTCATTTTCTGTACTTTTGTCACTAATTGTTTCATTTTCAAATATATTTTCATGGCTCAATTTAATACATGAAGAGGAGAAATTTACTTTAGTGACAAAGATTTGCTGCTGCTCAAGGGCGTTTTTTTGTCATTAATTTTTAGAACCTTATATTCCGACACATATTCAGACCAAAAATAAAGAATGACTCCATTGGCTGGTGGGAAACATACATGGCTGAAATCTAAGCATGGGAGAAATTATCGCAGCATATATAGGTTCCGGATCACCACCAAAATCAGGTAATATACAATATACATTCACAAAAGTGTAAAGAAAAATTTAAACATACCTAATTAAAGAATTATTGTTTGTTCTACAGGTTTTTATCAATACGTAATTTTGATGTATAAACAATCGTAAAAATTGATATTTAACGAGTCACATGTAAATAATAAGTAATGCTATTTTATTTTAGATTCTGAGTGTAAATATATTAGTTTTATAATGATATTTATTTTTAATTTTTTCCTGTGAACAACTTTTTTACCAGAAATTTCGCTCTGATTTTTAAGCGTAGCAATTTTCTGAAAGAAAATTTTGTCATAGTGGTACTTCGAGGAAGTAATTATTTGATTCTCCCTGGAGTTTTCACAATAAATGGGAAAAATGGGAAAATTTACGAAAAGTGTTATTTTTAAAACATGTATAACCAAACTACGCTAAACATCGTTTTTCGTTACTAATATCGTTTCATTCAGAAAAATATAAAACATCCCCCTCCCACCTTCCAAACTTCTCACCCACAGCAGTGAACCACCCATTGTGCGAAGTATGGCTGTACTTTTAGAAAAAACGGACAAATTTACTGTTGTTTTTATTTTAAATTTCGTTTTTTTGTTGTAACTCAATTTAAAATATTCATAGAGACTTGAAATTTGATCGGAAAACTTGTATTTGTCTTTGCCAGACGTAAATTACGCAGAGTTTCTACGTAATTTTCATTTGGTAGGTAGGTTATATTGGCTCATACTGAGCTGTATGAGGATGAATTATAATCGTATTATTATATTAATATTTATCATTGAATCATTATTATTTAAAATAATTAAATACTTAGCATTTTTTGTTGTGGTTGATAAAACGAGAATCGGTCATATAAATTGTATTTGATATTAAATTGTTTTTTTAATTGTCGAGCACTTATATCTTATATTAGATATATAAAACTTAATTAAAATTGTATCAAAATTGACCGCTACACGTTTGCGATTGAAAAATATAAAAACGATAATTGATAACTGTTATTAAATTAGTATTTTTGTTAACATTGCAATTTCATCATAATTTCATTCAATAATACTCATGGGAAGCATAAGCGGAGTTTTAGGGAGTTAGAGAGGAAATAACCCCTCAAAAATCAACTAAAGCCTTCCTTAAAATTATTGATACTTTCCTGCGTAATATGTATAAGTATTTTATTTTATATAATAATAATCCAATCTTAATATGCTACGTATTGGGATATTAGTACTAAACTAACTCCTTCTTTCTCTCCCAAAAGTTATCAAATCTCAGAGTATTGAAGGAAAAATAAAAATGACAGATAAGAAAAAAAGTCAAGAGGAGATACGTGTCTTCCACCTCCACCTTATTTTTACGTCAATTGAATGAAAAAATGACTGTGTAACTTACGGAATTATTTTATATTTTCAGAATGAAAATTTCAATTTTATTTTTTGCATAAATTATATTTGAAACTAATAAGTGTCGGAGTAATTATAAATATCAATGTATAATATTATACCTATGTAAATGTCAAAAAAAAAAAAATAATAATAATTCACATAATTATTGTAAAATTATTTTGACCTTCTTACTTTACTACTACTATAGCAATAGTACATACTAGTATAATATATAATGATATTTTTCTCATATTTAAAACTGTAGGGAGTAAATGATTTTATCTCCATATGTCGATTGTTCGTTAGAGTGAGCCAGACAGTTCAAACGTTCGGACATAAAATACATTAGTATTTAGTCGGTTTAAGAAAAAAACATGTGGAAATTAACTACACTGTGTCTGGTAGTTACCCACCTAATCTTTATTGTTTTATTTTATATAATGTTTATTACAAATTTAAAATAAATCTGATCTAATGTGTTATAATATAGATGTGTGTATGCGTCGCACTCAGTGATGCATACTGGTTTTGCAGTACTTCTAATCATGTTGTTCGAGCTATGGAAAACGAAGGTATCGAAAAGGTCGTGGCAAATGCACTACCGAGCATAAAATTATCGGTAATAATAATACAAAGAAAAAAATCATTGAAAAACGATATTGAGCAAAGTTCGAAACAATTTATGATGAATTTTATCAGATTTTCCCGTTTTCTACGTATTTCCATAATTTATTACTAAAAATATTACAAGGAAAACCAATACGCTCAGAATTTAAACATCGATAAATTATTTTAATCTTATGAAAAAATAAATTAAATTATAAATCATATATTATAACAGGTAAAATATCCCGAAAGTGGTTTTGAAGTGGATTTAGGTAACGAATTGAAACCCAAAGATTTGAATAATATACCAGAAGTCCATTGGGATGAAGCTAATGAAAAAAAGAACTACACGTTGATTTTTACCGGTAAGTTAAAGGAAATATAAAAAATTCTAAATTCCGAGTGTACCTATTCTACCAAAATGTTCGTATCACAAACAATAATTGAAAAATGTACGTAGTAATAATTTCTGTTATTTTCGATTTTCTTTTTTTGTTGAAAATATAAAATCCCGAAATTTTTATCGAATACTTATACTAGCCATTTTTGAAGTGATGGACAAACGACGTTTGAAAAAAATGATTTTGCTATAATATTTATCTATTAAAAATGGTCAAGTTTTTTTAGTTTTTATTCGACTTTAAATAGAAAAAATTATTTTAGCTTTTCAAAAATGCTTGAAAGTTCATTATAAGCTTTTCTTACGACACTATCAGTATGTATCAACAGTTTTTATTTAGAATTTATTTTTATATGTATCAAGTTCAAACGAAAATAATAACAGCATTTTGTGTACTATTTCACTATTTATATGAATTAAAATTTTACAAAAAGTTAACCATAATTTGAATCTATAGTGGTGAACTAAAGTTAAATAAATTTTTTTTTTAAAAATGTTTGAAAAATTCATTATTTGTTAAAAATTGTAAAATTGGCATTTCAAAAAAAAAACCGAATTTCATCCAGAATCGTTTTTCGTTACCAATGAGTTGCGTGCAGATATAAATTAACCTACTCTACAGAATATATAGTCTATATATATAGTCTTTCCAAAATTTCACCTACAACAGTGCAGGCATACCAGTACCTACTGTTTATTTGCGAAGTTTTCGAAACTTTTAAATTAAAATTCTTATACCTACATTATTAATTTAAATATTAATATTTCTGGAGGTGGAAAAGATGATATCTGTTATACTATATCAGTGATGTAGCCAGCATTTTATAATAGGAATTAGAAAGATTTGACTTGCACAAGAAAAAATATTTAGAAGGGTATTTTTATCAATTTGTATTATGTATTTTAACGTATACATAAAAAAAAAATCGATTAAAAAACTTAACAATGAAATGAGAATTATTTGTTAGTCCTATATATAAAATAGTCACTCCTGTGATAATGGCATAGGATTCTTCTAGGAAAATTTTCAACAAAAGCATCCAGTAATTATAATATTTTATAATTTTCATTAGATATAGTAATATGTTTTATTTTTGTTTTATATTAGTCATGGCAGACCATACTAAATGTATAAATGCTAAAATATAGCTAAATACATTAGGTAAATATTTTGTATTATAGTATAAGTACTACTTCTTAAACACGTTTTAATAGGTTTGGTATCGACAACTTTTTTTCAGGAGTGAAACAAATAATCGTAAAATATTATACAAAACATATAAATACTGCCAATGTGACCCTGGGGCCCCAAAGGTCCCTGACTAAGCCTCTGTACCTATTAATATAGTTATATTATAGTTCTATAATATATAACGCACATATTTAAAGCCATAATATTATTATACAAAATAATGACCAGAGCGGGGTCGTATTTATTTTACTATGATGTATTATACTATGTACGTATATTATTTACTATGATATTTAAAAAAAACATCATTTATTATTCGTATTTTGAGGAAAAAATAAGCTTTTTTTTATTTTTCCTTATTTAAATAAGTCCTAATTTTTGATAAAATTCGCTTTGAACAAGGATAATTGCAAAAAAACCTATTTCTACCTATTGTGCGAAATATGTCCAACTATTATAAATTATATTTTATCATTCTTCGCAGACCCCGATGTTCCAAGTCGTACGAACCCCATAAATAAAGAATTTCTCCATTGGTTGGTGGTAAACATACCAGGTAATCGTGTGAAGGATGGAAAAGTAATTGCAGATTATGTAGGACCTGCACCGCCGAAGGGAACAGGTAACGAAATTGAATGACAGAAATTCCACCGTCATAATAGATGGATTTGAAAAATGCACAAATTATACATTTTTCAGGACTCCATCGATACGTATTTTTAGTGTTTGAACAAGAGGATGGAATGTATAATTTTCCCAAATTCAACTTCATAGACAATAGGTAATTATGGCATTACGATTGATTTATATCTTATTCTTATATACCTATAACCGTGATTTGCCTATAACATTTTATTGATTTATCCTGGCATTCAAATATAAAATCCCGTCATGTATAACGAGCATACAACTAGTACTATTATAATAATATTATACAAAAGCGCTAAATAAATATTAACGGAGGAGCTGGGGTCAGATAAAAATGAATGCACATTAGGTCGTTTTACAAGCACACCAAATTGTTTTAGACTATAGAATTATGACATTTTATAGTTACAAATCGTAAGCTGACAGGGATTAGTATTACACATATGTAACAATCTATAGTAAACAATGTACAAAATACTAACAAATATTTACATTATTTCTAATATTTTACTTTTAGAAATACAAATATTAGATGTTTAATTTGCAATGAAAGTTGATAATTTGATTTATACTGAGGTCAAGAGTGTACACAGAAAAGGAGATGAGGAGTTTAACCCTCCTCATTCCCGAAATTGTAAAAACTCATCATATATTAGTTCTATAGTTAAAAATATTTAAATTTTTTTACTTATTAACTTCTAACGAAAAATCTTTTCTGTGCTTGATTGCAGTTATACTTCATTTATACAAAATTAGGTAAAAAAAGTGCAACATGTTTTAATTTGTAGACGTTTTTCCGTGTACTTAATTTACCTATATTAATAAATCATATTTTGTTAAATATTTTAATTTTAATTTTTAACAATATATTTTTTAGAACTGCTGTGGGCCGACCATTATTTTCAACGAATCTATTTTTAATGGACAACAATTTAATAATAATACCGCTAGCTGGGAATTTTTTTAAGGCCCAATATGATGATTCTGTTCCTGTTACGCATAAACAAATTGGATTACAACCGTAAAATTAAAAATGCAAATATTTAAATTGTCTCATATAATATTTTATTATTACAAAATATCTAAGTATCAAGTATAACATAAAAATAATTTTATTTACAAAAGTATTCTTTTTTCTTCATATAAGAACCAATATAATTTTGTATTTGTATGGTTTAATTATACGAGTGCTGTTTACACAGCAAATGTCTCATCTCTATAAGTATTACCTACAATTTAAATCACATTTACGATACATTTTTATTTATACAAATTTGTATAAATATTGTTACCAACTAATGTATTTCGTACACTAATCGTGCATGTTAAAATGTTGTAAGCATTGTTTAGAATTATAATTATTTAAAATGTTTTTATCTCTTGACAATGTTCAATGTTTTTAAATCTGGAATTTTTTTTTTACTTAATGGCGGTTCAATGATTTTGTCATGGGAGAGGGGATAGGGATAGTTTTTAAAAACTATTATTATTTACATAATCTTTTTTCGTAACTTTAAAAATATAATATAATACACAGGGTGATTTTTTTAAACACACTCGCCCCATTTTAATGGTTAAATTATGTATAAATTCAAGTTCTGATTTTTTGAAATTTTAAGTGCAATGAACAACAATATTTTCACTTACTTAAATTTTTCATAACATTTAAGGAGTGACGATATCAACTTTGGTTTTTAAAATTAGAACCTACATGTTTTAAAGCAAATTATCAATTAGATGATTTTTTTTGAAAATGTTGATATATTGTATTCATAATTTGAACGAAAACTTTATGAGTTATTCTGTTTTTAATACTAAGGATAATATCTTTTTATAGATATTGGATATCAACTGTTTCATGTATATAGATAATTTCTTATATTAAATCGCGTAGTAATTATACTTTAGTATTTAAAGTAGAAAAACTCAGGCATTTTTGTTCAAATTTGTATTATAATACGTCAACATTTTCAGAAAAATTATCTGATTAACAATTTATATTAAACCATGTAGGTTTTCATTTGAAAAACCCAAATTTAATACTGTCACAGGATACTTCTTAAGTATTGTCAAAAATCGAAGTATTCTAAAATATTGTTTTTCACTACACTTAAAAATTTCAAATACCAGAATTTGAACTTCGGCATAATTTAACCACAAAAATGGCATGAACACTGAACAATAAGTATGCTTAAAAAATTACCGTGTATATTATTATAAATATTTAAGACAAATTAGGTAATGTAGAGGATATATCCCTCTTACTCCCCTCCCCCCCGTTTGATCACTCCTGTTACACTTCCAATGGTCTGTATATAGGTATCTACAACATACAACAAATTATAAACAAACAAATGGTTTATGGTTTATGATTAATGGTATGGGTTATACAATAAATTATGCGGATGATCATCACAGCCCACGAAAGTTGTGAACATACGCAATAAAGTTTTATTAGTAAAAATGTTAGACACTTATTTAATATTTGACAAATTCATATTAAACAGTACATAAACAATCAAATTTTTTTTTTTTTTTTAACGTCACTTTTTTCAATTTTAACCCTATGTTTTTCTCATTTACAATAAAATATTTTATTATATTATATATCTTTGTTTGAAGTAAAAATTATTCTTCACTTTTTACCTTAAAGACCACAAAGCTAATACTTAACTTCAAATTATGGTGAACAGAATTCTCATTCCTAATGGTGATTTTTCTAGATACCTGGGGCTGAAACTCTATAGAACTTTGATCTTTAAACAGCACTTAGAAGCACTTAAAGATAAACCGAAAACACGGAATAATATAATTTCTAAACTGACAGGAACAAGTTGGGGATACCACTTGTTAAATGCCACTAAACTGACATCTTTAAAATAGCGTAAACAACACCTTTATGACCTGGCCAACGAATATTGGGCAATAATATTGAGAAGTTTGGGTGAAATGAATATTGAACAAAATATTGACATAATTTTATTGACTCAATATTCTTGATCGTGTAGGGGCCACTTTAAATATTATGCACGTATGACCAATATATGTATGTATACATGAGAATGCCACTGTCTAGAATACTAGATAAGAAAACGACAATCAATACAACAAATGGTACAATAGCGATAATTGTCTGATTATTATAAAATCTCGATTGAAATACAGACGTTTATAATAATATAAATATTAAAGAATTTTCCAACCCTATTGGCTTAAACCCTCAACCAGCGTCTGTGGCCCAGAACCACATTGTCCGAGGCCCACAAGTGGGCCGTGGCCCATGGGTTGGGAACCGTTGGTATAGTGTACATACACATGGTCAAGAAGTACGCATTAAAAGAAAATCGATATTCAGGTGAAACATACAATGAAGATACAAGTACTGTATAAAGTACACAAGCTCAGTTACCAGTCTTAGCACACATAATACCGACTAACAAGAAAACAAGCAACAACCGGTTTCTTATTGCTTAAGATAAAAGAAAACCCTAACTTTCAGGGTCACGTAGGTATTTTCAATCACCCAGCTAAAAGACTGGAATCAAGAAAGCAGCTATGGAAATCTTTTGATATCGAATTGTGATACTGAACATGGTAAATAAGTTGTCAAAGTAGTGGATCGAAACCAATGTTAATAACTCAGTACTAATCAAAGATCTTACTCAGAAAATCCCAGGTTTTGAACATCCACGTACGATTTGTACAGCAACTAACAGAATTTGAACTGTTTTGGAATATGTTTTCTAGAACATTTAAAAAACAAAATGCTCCTCAATTCTATATTTGTGTTATTTTTTTTCACCCTTATTTTTAGAGGTAAAGCAACTACCTAATTTTGATTTACAAATAGCAACCTACATTTAAAAAGTCCATAAATTGATTGAGTATTAGTCAAAATAAATTTCAGTGTTGAAATTTTTTATTTCCGTCGATCCGTTATACAAGATATTCCACTTTTAAGTTTGGGTTAGAGGAGAGTAGAAGAGTATCATTAGTGAGTAGTGGTATGGCGCGCGACGTGTTCAAAGCAAATTCCGGAAGAAGTTAATACTTTCCGAGATAATGAGTATACCTACTTAAATGTATCACCTGGTATATAAAAATAAAATAAATAAATGAATCAATGCGTCGCCTGGAGTATTATGATAAGTGTATTATACGACCGGTTTTGAATTAAAAATTCATCATCAGATATATCACAGTAAAAATGTAATACGCGATTGAATATAAAAAATTAAATGAAGGAATACATAAAAAAAATTTACAAATTGGTCGTTTTAAATATAATGTAGAAATAATTGATTTTAATAAGAGAGATTATTGAAAATTAGTTTTTATTAGACAAAGATATGTTAAGAAATATAAATTATTTGGTTATTATCTATTATCTAAAACCTATTGATATAAGATATTATTTTTAAAATAGGTTCGAACATTTAAAATATTATTACAATAATTTTTCTTTACTTCATTGTATATATGTTATTCTTCTTAAACTGAATTGACGCAAATGTTATTTTTTGTAGGTATTTAATATTTCTAAGTCAATATTAATATCAAAACTCATATTATGGTTATTTTCTAAAACATGTTTAGCAAAATTTGAATTAAGGGCCTATAGAATATTGAATTAAAAAATTATACTTTTTGAGAATAGGGGTGAATAATAACTAATTTTAAATAATCTCCACTATTAAAATAAATTATTTCTATATTCTATGTTAAACGACCAATTTGTAAATTTTTTTTTTCTATGTATTCCTTCATTTTTTTTTTATATATATTCAGTTGCGTTTTATTTTTTGACTGTGATTTAACCATTTTAATAATTTTGTTTTTACTTTATTATTTTATTATTTAATATTAAGAATTAAAGGGAATGAGTTTCGTTATAAAATTATTACTAATTAATAATACATTTTTTTATTCATAGTCTTTAATTTAAATAAAATAATTAAACTTATTTGTGATTCTTGGGTATTTAATCGGTATGTTGTTTTTTTTTATAGCTAATCATGATCTGAACTTTTCTACCAGCAATTTTTCTCCGATTTACAATAATAGCTCTTTTTCTGAAAGGAAATCTAACTTTGAGAAGGTCATTTTTCGATTTTTTCAACAGTTTTCCCAGAAAATGTGAAAAAATAGGGAAAAAATGGGAAAATCGGTACATTAAACAAATAATATTAAAGAAAATATATAATGCCTAGTTAATTATTTTACCATAATATAACATATATATTGTTGAAAAAGCATCACTATTAACTGAATTCCGTTTAGAATCGTTGTTTCGTTAGCAATAGTTTATCATTGCTTATAGGTATGCATTAGATTACTTGTGGCTGCCCTCAACTCCATTATCCTAAGACAACTTTTTATAATTTAATGTACAAATTGTAATTTTCAGTTTTTATTTATAAGTTATCCAATGAAATTTTAATTATAATATTATTCATAGGAAACATAGACGGAATTTTATGCTAAGGTTGAATCAATCCTTTGAAAATTAATCAAAACCCCTATACAGTTATTGATATTTTCCCATGTTATACATATCGGTATTTTTATATTATATAATATATTATCCCAGTATTAATATAATACGTATTGGGATATTAGTACGGTTCTAGTATTCCTCTCCCAAGAAGGTATCAAATCTCCGCCTATGATAGATAAAAGCAGAACAACAGTAACAACTATTCTATTTTATTTTGAGTTGTTGTATTTTCCATACCTAAATTACGTTTGAAATTAATTAGCATTAAAGTAATTATCGATCTATCATAGAACATATTATAATACTCTGTAAAGCTTTTAAAAAAATAATAATAGTTCATATAATCGATGTAAAATTAATTTGACCTTTCAAATAGTAGTACAAGTAATAGTTCATAATAATAACTTATATATATATATATGATATTTCTCTATTTATATGACTGAAGTGATTAAATAATTGTAAATACATTAATCACTTGTTCGTCTGACAGTTCTATCGCTCAGGCATATATTATATTAATATATATTTAGTCGTTTTATGAAAACAAAACATGTGGAAATTAACTGCACTTGGTCTGGTAGGTACCTATATATTCTGTTCTTTTTTTCTATAAAATTTATTAAAATAATTCTGAATTAAATCTGTGTAATAATATAGATATGCGTATTCGTCGCAATCGGCGATGCATACTGGTTCTGTAAAACTACTAATAATATTGTTCGAGCTTTTGAAAAATATAACTTTGGAAAGAACATTTCAAATGGACTGCCGTGCAAAAAACTACTGGTAATAACAGTACAAAAACAATATCTTTGAAAAACGTTTTTGACCAAAGTTTGGTTAAACATTTTTTGAAATCCTACGAATCTTGACTACAGATAATAGAATTTTGTATAAACCCATAAGAATAACTAATAACATTTCCAAAGACTTTTGTAAAGTTAAACAAATTTTATCCACATTAAACCATAAAAAAAATTTAAAACACACATTCCATAAAGCTATTCCTATCTACATTCCTATCTCCTATATATTAGCTATCTACGAATATTTTTAACCGAATTACAAAAAAAAAAACAAGAAAAGTAGTAAGTAACTAGAAAATAATCTCGTACTATAGTAAAACTGATACAACCTTCGCAACACTCAGAATCTAAAATAAAAATACCATTATTCGATTTTTTACAATTATTCAAAGAACAACAAGGTAAATCAAAAACTGGCTTATCTAATGTAGCACCTACTGTACTATACTACCTAGACAACATTTTCTTTTAGAAATTATACTACACTATGTTTATTTACCATTTCTATTTCAAATAATTTGTTAATAGACAAAATAATCTAAAAAAGCATAAATCATAAACCTAATCTCTCATAATCTGAATATAAATAGATTAATTTGATCTAAAATGAAAAAGAAAAAACGCATAACTTAAGTATTGCAACAGGTGACTTATTTCGAATGTAGTGTGGAAGTAAAAATGGGCAATGTACTCAAATCCTTAGAGGTCGAAGATGCACCGTCGGTACATTGGGAATGGGCTGATGAAGACAAGAACTATACGTTGATTTTCACCGGTAAGTTAATGGAAATTTGTATTGTTTTAAATTCTGAGAGTCTTCTGCCAGAATTCTTGCATACAAATGTTTAATCAAATTTAGCTCAGAATCATTTTTGGTAGGCAAAAATTTATCATTGTATATATTAATAAATACAGTGTGTCTTAACGTGTTCGACGAATTTTTCTAGCATTGTTAATTTTAAAATTGTTTCGATTTTTTTTTCATACGGTGTTTCTACAACTTTTCTACCAGAAATCTTGCTCCGATTTTCTTGTACAGTATTTTTTTTGAAAGACACTTTATCTTTATGGTACTTTAGGGTGGTTATTTTCGAAGTGGTTTACATAATAATAGGGAAAAAATGTAGAAAAACACGAAAATGTACGTATATGTATAAAAGAAACTTCGCTCCAAATCATTTTTTGTAGGCAAATGTTTTTATTGTTGTATATAAATTAAATTTCCCTCTATATCCCACCTTCCCAACTTTTATTCTTCAACAGTAGCCCTCCTATCATGTGAAGTATATCCGTCGTTTTTATATTCAAATTGACTATTTCAAGCCAAAAACCATACCCATTGTGTGAAATATGTCTAGCTATTATAATTTATAATTCATGATTTTTACACACAACGCAGACGCTGATTACCAGAATCATAAAAACTCCAAACACGAAGAATTTATCCTATGGATGGTGGTAAACATACCAGGTAACCATGTCAATTATGGCGAAGAAATAGTAGAATATATACCTCCTAAACCAAAGAATAAAACTGGTAAAGAAATTCAAGATAGAAATGTTAATAATAATATAATATAAAAAATATGGACAACTCATAAGTTTTGTATTTTCCAGAACTTCATCGGTGCATATTTTTGGTGTTTGAACAAGAGGATGGAAAGTATGACTTCGACGATGTGATACACATAAAAAAAAAGTAAGTAACAATATTACAATAAACATACAATGTCAATGTCATATACAAGAGTATCATAAGCGTGCGCAGGCATTGTTCGCAGGTGATCCATTCCTCTACTTATCCCCCCCTTTCTTTACAAAGAGATCCATCTAAAGATACGTACTATACAGGCGCGGAGGGATGAGATTAGTTGTTATCGATTATATCTCCCCCATTGACTTAAAAATACAAAAAAGAATATGAGTGATCTAATATCGAAGTGCATATATTTCAGCCAAGTTACGAGGAAAAGTTTGGTTAGAAATTGGTTTTTATTTTAGAATTCGATTTTTAAATCACCAATTCACATAGTCGAGTTATCTAGAGATGGTGACAACGATTTATTCAAGATTTTTATTTGTTACATTCCCTCCCATTGAAAATTCCTGGGCACGTCACTGAAACTATATAACTAAATAGATGCCAAACTCTATATTCTACAGTGTATACGTTTTGGAAGACAAGTAGCCAATAGATTAGGCAATTTTTATAATCTGTAATTAATATTATTGCGATAATGTGAAGATAAATTCAAAAACGCAGTTTTATATCCATGTATTTCATAATTAATGAGCAAAACAAAATATAGGTTTCCTACAGATACTGCATGTGTATACGAAAAATAATGTTAAAATAAATATTTACCTACAATAACTTTGTGTGTACAAAATTATAAAGGAAAGGTGTAGTTAACTATTGTAACAGTCGTGTAAAGAGGATTGTGGGAGCGTATCTCACATGGGCCTTTGATGTGTCTATAATTTTAGCACCCCTATTTACCCACCTACAACAGTGGCCGCACTTGCTCCCAATATTAGCTTTTATTTACTCATTGATAAATTTTTCTAGCATGGCACTGCACATAGCACATCAAATCATTTTCAATATTTTGAAATTTTGATTATTTACATTTTATGTTGGCAGGAATTAATATTATAAAAACTTGTCTCTATGTATCTATGCTATACTATATCTTATAGTGAACAATTTGAAAAAAAATATCTTTAATTCTATCGTTAAAATTTTTTAATTTTTTTTACTTATGAGCCTACCCCCAAAACTACTCTAGGAATTTTTTTTTTGTACTTCATTTCATTTATACATTATACAGGTAGGTTAGTATACAAGGTGTAACTAATATTTAAGTTATTAATAGTTTGTTAATGTTCTTATTTGTATTAATGTAGTTATCATATTATGATAAAAATTAAATTTTAATTTATAAAAATATATATTTTTAGTAACATTGATGCCCGGAGAAATTTTTCAACCAATAAATTTGTATTGCAGAACAATTTAATATTAGTACCAACAGGTGGTAATTTCTTTTTAGCCAAATATTCTGCTCCAGATGCACACAAAAACTGTTGAGCAAAAGTGGCTCATTAATATTTATAACATTTTAAGTAAGTTTTCTTATTATCTCATGAAATTAATATTGGCTATGCATCTTCTTATTAAGATTTATTAATATTATTATGCAAAAATATTAGTAATTATAAAATACCAATTATTTTATTTCCATAAATATTATTTTTTCTTTAAACCAATTCAATTCTATATTTGTACGGTTTATTTAATATCACAATTCATACGAATGCTATTCTATACTACATATATTTTATCAATATATTACAAGTGTTTATAATATTAAAAAGGAAATACAGTCGACTCTCGATAATTCGAAGTTGGTGGGATTCATAAAAAATTTCGAATTACCGAGAGTTCGAGTTGTTCCGAGTAGTTAGAAATATGGAGAGAGCAAAAAAAATAATTTTTGTTTTTTTTATTATTATATAATAATAAATAATAAATAATATAATTTTTTATTATAATTATTCTATATTTCAGCATATTAGGGAGGGGGGGGGGGTATTACAATATTTATATTGGCTTTCGACAAGTTAAAATACGATAAGAGAGAAAATTAAGAAATAAAATACTTACGATAAAGTACTTAGAGTACTTCTCGTAAGAGAATAATTGTATAGTTAAGTATTGAAAATAATAATAAAATAACGAAAAGATTATAAAAAAATTAATTTGGCGAATATACTTTAAATTGCCGAGTGTTGAACTGATTTAACTTCAAACTGTCACGTGTTAATGACCAGTTTTCCTAACATTAAATTTCGAATTAGCGAGGGTAATTAAATTAATGAGTTTTTATTCGAATTGCCGCGAAATTTTCTAAAGAACGAACATTAACTTCAAATTAGCGAAAGCTTCGAATTATCAAGGATTTTAATTATCGAGAGTGGATAATTACCTATGATGTCTATTGTCTAATACATAAAACTATTTTCTTGTTATAATTAATTGCAATTTGGATTTATAAGATTTAAATAGTATAATTTACTAATAAATTCATGTGTTGATATACTTTTATACTACCATTATGACACTGTCCTCAAATCATTCTCAATCCCAATTTTCTTTTTGATCTTTCTTTCCCCCTATTTTCTCTTGAGTTTATTTTTGTTATAATTCTTACTGCTTTTCTCACCCATCATCTCAGTCTTTATTCTCTCATTTTGTCTACTTTCAAAGCAATGTCAAACCTTTCTCTTTCGTATTCATTCCTTAGCCTATCTTTTTTCGTCACTCCACTCATACACCTTAGCATTCTCATCTCTGGTAAACTCATTCTCTGTTCTACTTTATCCAGATTTTCTCCAATCAAAGTTATATCATCTGAAAATATCATGCATCATGGTACTTCCTCTCACCTGTTGTCCACAAGTATATCCAAGATGGGACAATCCGCCTAAGTCTAATTTAGAACTCCTCATAACAGTTTGACAGAATTTTACACCAGTTGTCAACCTGAAATCTGACACAATTCCATGTATCATCTCTTTCAACAAAGAGAGATACCGTGGTAGTATTTTATTTCCTTCACACACGGAGAATGGTATTGTCAACTACAACTTGTCCCTATTACATGTAAAAAGTGAATTTCTCCACCTTACAGAAATAATACCATTTACCTACTGGAATCACCCACCTGGACTTTCCACCAGTAAGAAAACGAGGTCCCAAGTTTGCTAAACCTGTAACATCATATGTCTCACACCCCGAGGTTATTAATTCAATTTTAAATAATTTGTTGTACTTAAGGTAAGTAGTTTTACAGAATTAAATGTTTTACAAAATTCCTGAGAAAAACACCTAGTATTAAGATAAGTAACAAACGCTAATTCAAATTGGGTAGATACTAATGTAACATAATATAATTGTTAAGTTTTGAGGGTTTCTAAAATCTCGGGTTTGTTAATGACATAAAACTATATACTTTTATTATTTCACTGGGTGCAACGCTGATAACGTCCGGAACAATTTCATGTTCATTCATAGCTGTAGTGATGGATTGACTAAAACAACTTAACAACTGACAAGTCAAAACACTGAATGCAATACTCCAACTATAAAACACTTAAACATATCACTAAATTAGGTACATTGAATATACGTACCCAATTCAACAGGTAGGTACCTAGTAATGGCTGATTTTACCGATGATACTTACTATTACCTACTGTTACCAACAAGTTGTTGAACTTTTTAATAATAACACTGATTTGAGAAATATTGAGCCTCAGACATGGTGGACTGTGATAAGGATAAATGATGATAGTTTTTTTTTTATATCATAAAAAATAAAACATATTTTCCTACCCTCCCATAGAGTACATGCATACATATTTTATGTTATACTATATGTGTTAGTGCCTGTCAAGAGTCATTTAATTAAAAAATAATATTTGGCGGTCTTTTAGATTTAGACAACTGTACAATTTTAAATACTTATTTTACAATAAAAAGGAGGGGGTGATTTGTTTTTAACAATCTGAGGCAACCATAATTTTCTTTCTATTTTTCTTTATTGCAATTTTTTTTGTATGTAGACTTAATTGATTTAAAACAATAAATATAATTATAATGCTTATATAACATGTAAATAAACATTAAACCAATATAATAATGCTTAAATTAAATTGAGCATTAGAGCAATTCAATGAGTGTATTTTTACTCAACGAAAGACTTTGTAGGTATACATAAAGATAAATAATGATCAAAAAATGTAGGAACAACAACAACAAAAACAGGTAACAAGTTAAGAGAGGAATTTTTTAATAATAATAATAATGTTCATAGAATTAACTTATGCTATTTTTACAAACTAAAATAGGTATGTTATTGGCCTGGCCAATAACATATATAATATACATGTCATTACATATCATAACTTATTCAATTTTTTTTTTCCAAAATATCTGTTTTTAATGCTTAATCTATTGGTATAATAAAAACTTACCTATCATAATTATGTTTAAAGTTATTGTATATAAACCTTAAAAAATTGAATTTTTGGAATTAATTCAAAATGTGGTCAAAAATAGACACTTTTTTATAATTATTATTTTTAGTTATTGATATTTTGATAACATATTTTATTGAAGTTAGAATAAGTCTATCTGACTTAGTTTTAGAGTTACAAACGTACAAACACGCCGTATTTCACTGTACTCACTCAGACAATTTTAATCGAAAATAACCCTCGATTTGTTATGCAAAACCACATCGGGTATGTAACAGGGTAAAGTAAAAAATCATAGATGGGTAGGTTTATATAAAATAACTATAGAAGTAAGTATAATAGTTAAGTTTTTATTATAGCAATGGATTAAGCATTAAAAAACACATTTTAGAGAAAAAACATTTTTTTTAAAATGCTAAATTCTAACGAAAAAATACGCGAAACGGAAAACCCGAACTTCATGAAATTTTCCCCCATAACTTCCAATCGAAATTTATCGGACTTTTTTTTTTTAGATTCTTAATAAACAGGCAAAAAAACACATTTTGAAAAAAAATCGTAAAAATCCTTTTTGTTTAATTTTTAATCAAGCTGGTTAATAGGGAAGTCATGTTTTAATTTTCTAACCAATTTTCATAATAATTGGGAACAATCGGAAAAAATCTTAAGAAATACAGGAAAGTTTATGATGTTTAAAGTTTCGATATTTTTGGTTTTTTATAAATTGATTAACAATTATCATAGAGAGCTGAAATTTTCACAAAATACTTAAATGAGCCTTTTTTAGACATAGTAAAATTCTTAAAATATTTTGTAATTGCGAGTTTTTTACTTAGATTTTTGTTGATAAAATTAATTAAATAAATGCTTGAAGATTTATCACGAGGTTCATTATAAGTTGTACTTAGTAGTAAAAAAAAGTTGAGCATATTGTAATAATTTTTTTTATAAGCGTTTTAAGATCATAATTTGATAAAAATTTTAAGTATTATGGCATTTTTAGATTTTGAGTGGAGCGAAGAAGTTTATGTATTTTACACAGATGTTTATTTTTTTTTTTTTTTATCTGTGCGTATTTTTTCTACCGGGAGACTTGCTCCGATTTTTAAGTGTAGTACGTTTTCTGAAAGAAAATTGGTGTGGAGAGGTACTTTACGGAGGTCATTTTTCGATTTTCCCTGGAGTTTTCTCATCAAATTTGAAAAACCGAAAAAAAACGGTAAATATTGAAAATATATTATATTATAGAACGTCGATATAATACGGATTATTAGGACGTCTTTTTTATTTTTATTTTTTTCAATTTTTAACGATACGTTTTGCTAGTCTTTTATATACATTATAGTCTGATACATATTCTACAAGTATTTATAGGAATTAGATTCTATTTTAAAAGCAATTTGTCTATAGAATTTCGTTAAAAAAATAAATAATAAATAATTATGTATAAAATATACACATAGATATTTTTTAAGTGACAGTGATAGTTATTATATGCGTCGAGATAGATACCTAAAGATTAAATTTGTATTCAATGTTCTTATTAATTATTAATTTGTAATATTACTACACAAAGATAATAAATAAAACACTACATACATGACGATTATTTTATCATTCAACACTCATTGTTTCAAAAAAAAATTGACTATTTAATTTTTTTTTTTTTTCTGATAATTCGAGAAACAAGTAACGTTAAAACGTAACATTACAATTATTTTTCGTCATCATTACATTTAGAGATTAAACGATTACCTACTTTTGCTTTTCAAATTTCAACGCATATTTAAAAAAAAAAGAAAATGTCATACATAGAGTTTGAATAAATTTGATGTTGAAATTTTTGATTTCTGTCAACCCGTTGACGAGATATTCCACTTTTGGGAAGGGGAGATTAGTGAAGCACTATTCAAACGCTACAATCCGTGCGGCTTCACAAATTGATTTAGACTAATACTAAATTTATTTATTGAATTTTTAATATAAGTTACTATTTGAAAATCAAAAGAACGAAATCGTTTCACCCCCAAAAATAAGAATAACAAAAATGAATAATAATGTAACAAATTAAAGATGCTTGATTTTGTAACTGTAAAAAAAGATTGTTTGAAAAATGACAATATTTTTCATTTTCGATGTTAACAATTATTCCACTCTAATAACACTTATAAACATGTAGAAATGATTTCATAGCAATCGTCAATAATTACTTCGTCAAATTACTCAGCGCTCTGAAGAAAGTACATTATGTCACTGACGTATTTGAATGGGCGGGACGATGAGTGGAACATTTCTCTCCTTGGCATTTATTAGCTGTGGTTTTTAACCTAACTTTGTAGACGCATCATACAACATATACGATTCTGTAAAGGCATTAAAACAAATGAAAAATTATATTAATCTATGTGAAATTAATTTGACCTTTCTAATTGTTGCACAAGTAATAATACATAATAAGTAAAACTATCATATTATAATAGTAATATGTATATGTATACGTCATAAGGGTAGATAATGATATTTTTCATACATTTAAAACTATAGTGAGTTTTAGGTCCATTTGTCACTCACTCGTCCGACAGTTCAAACGCTCGGACTTATTTATATTTAATCGTTTAAAGAACAACCATGTGGAAATTAACAATGCTATGTGTGGTAGGTAAATTAATTTTAAAATAACATTTGTTAAAACAATTCTAAACTAAAGCTGCGTTATTTAGTTTTGCGTATGTGATGTCGCGCTGGGAGACAAAGCTTACATGTTTTCCAAACTTTCTAATAAAATCGTTAAGGCTATGGATAAAGAAGATATTCAAATAGACATTTTTCCAGAACTGCCGAGTAAATTTTTGAAGGTAATAATAATATTGGACACCAAAAAATAAAAACAATTTGCGGTTTCCGAATTTGGTCTCAAATTCGTAAAATCTCACTCTTGTTTTTGAGGTAATTAAAAGTTATTAGTAAAAAAAAAATAGATTTTAATTTTTTTCTTTTAAATATGAATTAATTGTGTTGTTAAAGAGTTGTGCACAGTTCGGGACCAATATATCAAGTTAAACCTATTTTTTCGGGCCCCTATTTGATAAATATTTATTAAAAAACTACACTTTTCATTATAAGTTTTTTTTAGTTTAATTCACAGTTACAAATTTACAACATTTAAACTGTTATAAGAACTTTTGAAATGTCATTGTTATGTATTCTGTGTTACATAACTGCTGTAAATAAAAAAAAAAATACGGACGCAATTCGCACAATGAATGAGCCACTGTTTTAGGTAAGAAGTTGGGAAGGTAGGATATAGAGGGGAATCGGATATATATCTGTATGCAACAATTAATCATTACTATCGATTCTAAACGGAGTTCGGTTATACATATTTAAAAGTCCATAATATTTACGATTTTCGTCAAAATTTGATATTCAAATTCTTATTAAAAAAAAAATCTAGAAAAGGCAATTATAATTTTTTTTGTCCAGATTATAAGTCCATCGAATCGATACAAATATTTTTAACTGAATTACAACAAATAACAAAATTGAAAAATAATAAAAGCATTATTTTCGTAATTTTTCTGTTTTTTTACGTTTTATCCTGGTTTTTCCCAAATATTATGTACATTATGAACCACTTGGAAAATCAAAAACTTCCCAAAAGTACAATCTGGACAAAATTCCTTTTTAGAAATGGTGCCACGTGTATATATCTGAGCAAAATTTCTGGTAAAATTTGTATACAAAGGATAAAAAAAAATAAACATATTAGTAAAACCAATATATTTTTCGCTACACTCAGAATCTAAAATGTACGGACATACTTTACACGATTGGTGAGCCACTGTTTTAGGTGAGAAGTTGGGTACGTAGAGGGGAAATTTAATTTATATCTGTACGCAACGATTAACCATTTCTAACGAAAAATAATTCTGAGTGGAGTTCGGTTAATAGTGTTGTTTTACCAACAATATATAATGTAATATATTATGATAAAATAATTACATATGCATTATATATTTTCTTTAATAATATTTGTTAAATATTAAACCTATTTTTCCGCTTTTCCCATGTGTATTCCTGATTTTTTTTTATTGTGAAAAAGATGAAAACATCATTTCAAAAAAGTGTTATATTTGAAAATCGGAGTAAAATCACAGGTAGAAAAATTGTTCATGGACAAAAAAATAAAATAAACATCATTTTAAAACCAATACATTCTTTTTGCGCTCAAAATCTAAAACAAAGTTGATAATAATTAAATCATTATAGTGGTATATTTCCCGTTCTTTATACGTTTTTTCGCGGTTTTGGTCAATTAATAATAAAACTACTGGGAAAATCATAAAATACTTCGTGATCAACTAGATCCAAGATTCAATAAAAAAGGTCACTTGGTATTTTTTAATTAAAACTATTATTTCTGGTAGAAAACATAGTTTGTAAAAATTAAAAACAATGATATCCCGGGAACTGGGGGACGGCATATACCACTAAATAAAATATTATAGACCGATTTGCAAAACAAAAAACATATTATTACATGAAATCAATTTTTAAATTTAACAAACTATTTTTTTTATGATGACTATTTTTAAGGATTGTATTTGATGTGAAAAATATTTCACCCCCCCCAGGAATTTATCAAGGATTGCCACTGCACCATAGTAAATTCAATAGGTACATTCCTCGTTGTGCTTAGAATCTAAAAATCAAACAATTATTTCGATCTTAAATGCAAGTGAAAAAAAAAAAAAAACGAAAATAAATATTATGTATTGTAACAGGTGTATTATAATAGTGGTGCCCGAGTGAATCTGGGCAATGAACTGACACCCACACAGGTTAAAGATACACCGATGGTCTATTGGGAAACCGACTTTTTTCAACAGAAGTATTACACATTGATATTTTCTGGTAAGCTAGAGGGAATGTTTATAATTTTAGATTCTGAGCATATTCTATAAGATATCTTGCTTCGATAAAATAATACATCCAGTAAGATTTTTTATAGACAATTTTGTTTAGTTGATATGTTGTGGAGGTAATTTTTTCACTTGTGGTAAGTATTCTAAATAACTGGTAAATCTCTCAATAATGGTTTCTGTTATTTTCGAATTTTTAAATAACCGGTTCAGTTAATATCTTCGAAGCTGTGATTTTCCACCTAAATCGCAGTGGCCTGCTCATGGTGTAAAAAATGTCTGGCTATTATAATTTATGATTATTATACGTAACGCAGATCCCGATATTCCGAATCGTGAAAACGCTACAGATGGAGAATTTCTCCATTGGTTGGTCGTAAACATAAGAGGTACCATGGTGCCTGAAGCGGATGAACTCTTCGAATATGTACCTCCTGCACCGATACCGGGATCAGGTAATGATATTCAAGACAGAAATATTAATCATAATATAACAAACGGTATACCCGAGTACGGAAAACTTACAAATTGTATATTATTTAGGACTTCATCGATGCGTATTTATGGTGTTCGAACAAGAGAATGGCGAATTTGATTTAACCAATGTGAAGGGCACAGACAATAGGTAACGATATTATGATAGGATATTATTATAATAATCAGAGCCGGCCTTAAGGTGCAGCTTCCATTCTAGGGGAAATAAATGATTTAAAATCTTTTTTAGCAAATTTATTGGAATTAAGTTTCATCAAAATTATTAGACTTACCAAAATCACATAAAAAAAGACGTCTTAGGATAATGGGGACGGGTGTAGCCACTATTATAGGTAATTTAATATATATGGTATATTTGTTAACAATGATTAACCATTGTTAACGAAAAACGATTCTGAGCTAAGTTCAGTTGATAGTGATGCTTTGTCAATAATATATATATATATATATATCATATTATGGTAAAATAATTAAAAAGGCATTATATATTATCTTTAATAATATTTGTTTAATGTACCGATTTTCTCGTTTTTCCTCCGTTTTTTTTCTGTGCATAACTTTCTACCAGAAATTTTGGTCTAACTTTTAATAATAGTAGTGTTTCTACAAGGAAATTTCACTAGCAAGGTATTTTAAAGAGGTCATTTTTTTAATTTTTCTAAGAGTTTTCCCAGCAAGTATGAAAAACCGGAATAAAACATGAAGAAAATGGAGAAAATGTAGGAAAACTGGGAAAATCGTTACACCGTTAAACAAATATTATTAAAGAAAATATATAAAGCCTATTTATTTATTTTACTACAAAATGACATATATATTATTGAGAAAGCATCACTATTATCACAAATTATCTATTACAGTGGCTGCACCCGTCCCCATTATTCTAGGACTTCTTTTTTTCTTCTTCAATGTTATACATTTTAGATGATAATAACAAAATAATAACGATGGTCTGATCTAATTGATTGCGAATAGAGTATATACCTTAGATCATATACTATGGATAGAGCAACTGCATGATAAACATGTACTACGAGTTGAAGACATAATTTAATTAAATCTCATTAATGAGTGCTAAGTGTCTATTGCGCATGCGTATCAGAACGTTACGTTTTTATCGTATAATCATTATATCATCATGCAAAGATGGTAGGTACGAGATGGTAGGTACATCACACGTGATTACGTGAATACGACCAATTGCGCGTAATATAAATTTTGGGCATGCGCATTTGCCCCGCATCCCCTTAATTATGTTTGCTTCAAATATTTAGTCAATTGCACTATCCATAGTATATGATCTGAGGTATAGAAGGCCCACAGTTAGTAAACATAGTTTATCACTACTTTTCGTTAAATTCGGTCTTTTCAATTCGACCAAGGTTTAAACTCCGATTAAAGTTTAAACAACTATTGTGAAATTTGTCCTAAGAGTCCTTTAATTTTTTTAAATCATACAATTAACATTATAATTCTCTTTTTTTATTATATTACGTTTTTACAGTAAATTATTATAACTATTGCAAATTACTCATATAATAATCAATAATATAATGTATCATAACAAATTTATCGTAGAAATATTGTGTATTAAATTATTCCTATATTCTACAGAAAGTTTAATTTTCTTGTTTTATACCTATTTCACCAATTCATCTGTTACATAGTAGTTTAAGTTTAAAGCTATATTTTTTTCAATAGATATTATTGCCAATGAAGTTAGTCTTTCTTCAGTCATCGATGTCCTTAAATATGAATTTTATCAGTTTTAATCTAGAAAAAGATAGTTTAGCACTGGCTACAGTTATTAGAATAGTTAGTAATATTCTATATAATATAGTAGCATTAGGAAATTGATTCTGAAGATCTTTTATAAATTGCAATATTTTGATTGACTTGAATTTCTCCTAGCATTATTATCCGAATTCTCTAGAATTATATTATAGAATACTAAGAGAAATGAAATAGCCAGATCAAATAGGTATAATCGTATAAACAGGATACAAATAGCATATGTATACTGTCCTTTAGTAAAAATATAATTATAGATAGGTAGGTACTATATCGCAGCATAGGCAATAAAACGTTATTTACTAGTTGTGAAAGTAAACATTTGTAGGTATAATTAACTCTAGTACGAAACTAGGAGGAAAATCCGAATTGAGTACTAATAAATTAATATTCATTCAACGTGTAGTTCTACAATATTTTGTAAAATACCTATTATATTATAACGTAATGTTTAATTTCATTAACGCCAAAATTTCCATACAATTGCACCAGGCGCTGGGCAGAGGCCGGGACAGGTTTTAATACTAATAATATACAAGCCCCCGTATTAATGGGGGAGGGAGTCAAATAAATAGTAATGCAAAAACACACATCGTAATAAAACTAATAGATCCCCCTCACTATACTCCAAATCAAAAGTGCATTATAATTTTGATGAAAATAAAATCCTAATAGTATTGAATAATATTTTTTCTAAACAGAAAATGCAAAACGAATATTTATAATATTTCCAATAATTTTGGATTTTTAGAATTACATGGTACATATTATATACCATTCATAAAAAAGAACTATGTACAAAGTACAACAGATTTCTAAGTATTATCTAAATGTAGATATTTTTACATGTAATTATATGTTTTGTATTAATGTATCAAATTTTGATAAATATTTAAAAATTAATTAATCAAAATAATATTGTTGTAAAAATATATTATATTTTTAGAACTATTGAAGGCCGAGAATTATTTTCAACCAATAATTTTGTAATACAGAACGATTTAATAATGTTACCGTTAGCTGGTAATTTCTTTATGGCCCAATATGATGATTATGTTCCATCGATATACGAACGATTTGGAATAGAAATGCCAACTCACGGTTATTGGCGTTTCTCGGCTAATGGGATGAGACTGATTCCTGATTATTCATAGCTTTACGAACAAGTTTTCTTATTGTCTTGTATAATAAAAGCTGTTTTATATAATCCTACAAGACTAAGAAGTTGTATTATTACAAAATACTTAAGTACCTTTATAATATACAACAAAAATGATTATATTATTTCCAAAAACATTTTTCTTTCTTTATACTAACTTGACTTTTTATTTATATAATTTATTTTAACCCACGATCTACAAGTGTTATTTAATATAAATATCTCTATTTTAAAAGTCTGTAAGATATTAAAACATTAATATTATGATGTATAGTACTTAAAACTGATATGAAAAAGTATATAATAACTAGGACTCGGATATAAAAAAATATTAAAATCATCAAAAAATGCTCTAAAAAAAGTTAAAAATGCTCTAAAAAATTACATATATATATATATATGTAATTTTGTATATATATATATATATATATATATATAAAAAAACAGAAAATTTAAAAATTTGACTTGTGAATTAGTAACGATAGTATAGAATGAGAGGTTTTATTTGGCTAATTGACTGAAAAAACAGAAAAATATGGGTAATATTTTTAATTAATTAAAATTAAATTATTAAGTTTTATCCATGGTCTTATTATGAACAAATATTATAATATTATATCATACTTGTATATTGTAAAAATATGTAATAAAACGATAAAAATTACCGAAAATACTCTAAAATTGAAAAACATTGAAGAATGTAAAAAAAAAGCAAAATAAAAGTTTCAACTTTGTAGTCTCTGAAAAAATCACTCAAAAAATATGCATTTTGCATTGAAATCCGGGCCTTAATAATAATAATACAATATTGCAGGGTTTACAGTATTTATGTGATGTGTAGGTAAATTGTGTATAACTTCATATCTCTTGTGAGTCTTGTGGGTCATTTAAACTCCAGAAGACTAGTTTTTCCCTTTTAATCGTTTGTATTATTTATTTAAAATTATATTATAAACGAATAAATGTTTGGTTTATGGAAACAAAGTCGAATAAGTACAAGATACCTTGTATAATAGGTTCCTACACAAGACAATTGACGCTTTCGAGTTGCATGAACGGCAGGTTTATTATTATTGATTTAGTGGAAAAGATGTGAAATATCACATCTCACGGGTTTTGCGAACATACTTAATGAGTTATAGTAATATAAATGGTATATATATTTAAGTGTTTTTTTTTTTTTTAAAGCACTTGCAAGCCATTAAGGCTATTTTGCCACTTCCACTAGTTTTCTTAAAAAATCCCCGATCATCGGCATCTTTAATTCTTGTCGTTTCTAGATTTTCCAAATCTTCGTTTACTCTATCAAACCAACGCTAATGGGTACAAAATACAGTAATAAATAATTTCCCCCTACAAAATTTTTGAAACCCAGCGCCCATCAGCGAAATTTCTCTAAAAATAAACATATTTTTATCTACGAGTAAAACATACAATATAATTATGTAAATAAAGATTAAATATCAATGTCAAATTTTTAACTTAAATTTATAATCCGTTTTCTAAAATTCGTTCAGTAAAGTATCAACACATAAATTATTTGTTATATCCCTTTCAATTTTACTTTTTTATTACCGTTATTTGTATTGCTTATATAATATAGGTAAGTATTTTACTTACAGTAAGGCACATTACTTAATATTGGAACCGGCTTGGAAAATATAGAGGCCTTGTGCAGTCATTTTGCGGGGTCTCAATAAGTTTTATTTTTTATTTTTTACCTTGTAATACTAAGCATAAGTAAATCTTCATTTAAGATTTTTAAAGATTCTTTTATGCATCTTTCTTAGTTCATTCATTTTAATTTGTAATTTCTTAAATAATCATTTAAAATCAATATTTAGCTATGATTGCGACTAGACACGGGGCCTTTAAAAGCGCCGGGTTTTATGCGAGTGCACAATCTTCAAGCCGGTCCTGCATAATATTATAATATGTAAAAGAACAAAAATTGTTAATGAGGTTACCTTTAGGTTATCTAAAGATTATTAGTAAGTAACTTAAATTCTTACGAAATTATTTCACATGCTTGATTATTTTATATTCATATGATATTATTCCGTTATTAAATGGATTTATTTCATCACCACCTATCTACAATTGATAATAATAATTACATACGCTTTGACTCATGATATTATTCAACAGTAGAACCATTTAAAAGTTGGGTACTCGCTAAATGAAATTATAGTCACAAAACACTATTAAAAACTCCACTCCAAATAACATTTCATGGCCAACCGTCAATCATCGTAATCGTAGGAAATTCCATTCAGTGTCTTCAAAGAAAGTACAGGTGTATAGGGGATTTGTTAAAATAAAATTATTTTTATAATATTGTTTACTGCATAGAGTTAAATTGTATGTTCTGTATATTCGTATTCGAATAAAACAGCGGTCTATTTAGGTATTTGTCAAGTAGGCATATATAATCCCCCTCTGTTGCAGTAGCATTGCGTAAATAAAATGTATGAGGAGACTTAACTTTTGTGTAACTATATTGACTATTGAGTACTTATTAATTATATACACAATTTAATTATGCACAATTTTGATTCCATAATTATTGATTTCAATATAATATCAGAAACGCGGGAAATGTACAAAGCACCGGCACCGCACAATTTACAAAACAAATTACGTATCGCCGGATAACTGAGACTGGACTTTCTGACTCCATATAAAAACCATTGTTGCAATGATTCCCCCCGAACTTTGTTTTTACTTCTTATCAATTAAAATTGAGATTGTCGTTCAGTCGTATCATCCGTTTTACGACCGTAATATTTGCTATCGCGTCATGACGTCGTCCGTCGGTAACACCAATTTCAAAAATAGCTCAGAAAAAATAAAATAATTTAAATATATATATATATATATAATACGTAATATAGAAAATATAATTGACAAAAATAGGTTTACACATCAATTATACAAATAATTGAAAATATTTTTTTCAACAAATTAAAACTTTTAGTCACGGTCTCGAGGTGGTGAGGCCCATCATTATCCCCGAAATATATTTTTCTAATACTTACGTTTAAAAAATATAATTATTTTACTAGGTAATAAATTATAAAATAAAAAAATTCCCAATTTTATATCAAGAAAAATTACTAAATGATAATAACTACGATAATAACTACTCGTATTAAATTGATATTCTATAATAACTGATAACAATATGATGAAGTTTTTAAATTAAAATGAGAATTGTGAACTAAATTGTATGTGTGATTAAACACAAGGACTGACGACTAGTGTTCCATGAAGGAATGAATATAGGTGTTTATAAAGGTTAGGTTAAGTTAGGTTAAGTAATCGGGTCATTCTGCAGTGTGTAAAACATTAATTTGTTATTGAGTAAAATCCTTGAGGCTTTGCAAAAAATTTATGAAAATGGTGAAATAAAAATAAAAGCCACAATATTATGAAGACAGGTACGGCCGCTGTTGTAGTTGCGTAGTTGGGAAGGTGAGATAAATACAGTTATTTAATTTATATCGGTAACTAATCATTTCTAACGAAAAACGATTCGGAGCGAAATTCGTTTGTACATGTTTTGAAAGGCCGTTATATTTACGGTTTTCGACAAAATTTGATTTTAAAATTCTTCTAAAAAAAACTACATTACACTCAATTTTTTTTTGTTTATCATTAAGTACGATTTATAATAAACATCTTGTTAAATGTTTAAGCATTTCTGTTTTGTCTAACAATTGTATACACATATTAGCAACCAAATAAAAATTATGGGAAAATTCGTAAAATTAAAATGTCTATAAATAACTCAAATGTTTTGAAAATTTGATCACGTCTAAAAGCAAATATACGTTTTCTATCAAAATTTCAATTCTTTACGAATATTTTTAACTAAATTACATTAAAAAACAACATTTAAATAATAATATAATTATTTTCATACATTTTCCCGTATTTTCTACGTATTTTTCGGTTTTGCTTAATTATTTTAAAAAGTACAAAAAAAAAGGTTTCGTGTTATTTGTCTATAGATTTACTATAGACCCCGATTTTTCGAGTGCACGCGTGTCCGAAGACAAAGATTTTCGCCAATGGATGGTAATAAATATACCCGGCAACAATGTGACCGAGGGCGAAGAAATCGTTGAATATGTAGGTGCCTTACTGGCGCCAGGGTCAGGTAACGAAATGCGAATATCTAATACCTAATATCATAGACAGTAATAGGTACAGTATACGGAAAACTTACAACTCGTGTGTGTTATCATCGTTTTATTTTTTTAATGTACGAACAACCGAGAATACTAAATAGCAAACGGATGCCGATTATAAACAACGTGTAAGTATTACCAATAACCATCATAATATCATAAATAACCTACCTACAAAAATACATATTATTATGTATTAACGAGGGAAGGTGAAAGTAATCAAGTAGGTATATCTACCTACATCAGGTCGTTTCACAAGCGACTTGTATTTGAATATTTTATTTATACATCTACTGACCGCTATAATAGACAACACAGAAATATTCGTAGGATACCTAATTTAGATGAAATGAAATATCGTAACAGAGCTCATCAAATTTAATAATATTTAGGTATTATATAAAAAAAAAAAAAAAAAACAAAAAAAATTTAAATTTCCAATATTTCACTTCCAAAATTGAAAATATTAGGACGGATCTATGTTCAGTTTGCAATAAATGGATACAATTTTACTTATTTGCTAAACATGTTTTAGAAAATAACCATGATATAAGTTTTGATATTAATACAGACTTAGAAATATTAAATATCTACCCAAAATAACATTAACATTAATTCAGTTTTAGAAGAATTACTAATACACAATGAAATAAAAAAAATAATTTTAATAATAGTTTATAATAAACTTATGTATTCTACCTTTCTCACTTCTCACCTACAACAGTGGTCGCTTCCATCCCCAGTATTAGCTCTTTTTTTAAAATTTTTTTTATATGTATTTATATATACTTATGACTTATTGCATTACATTTTATCATAATATATTATATTGATGTTTTTTTTTTTTTTAATTAGATGATAATAAATAATATTTAAATTGAAAATATACAATTTTTCAATATTTTTGTCCATGAACAACATTTTTTTTCTAATTATTATGGGTTGTTGTAGAAAAAAGTCATCAGTTGTCATAATGACCTGGAACTTCATTAAGCCTTGCGTTCTGTCCCGAGTTCCTAGGTTTATAAAAACTTCTTATATTAAAAATGTTAAAAATAAATGTCAAATTTTACAAAATTAGAGAAAATTTAGAAAACGGCACTTTTAACTCAGTATCTATGAATATTAAAGTTTGACGTTAGTAATTAGAATAATTAGGTAGGAAGGTACCCAATAGAATAATGAATAATTATAAATTTCAGATAGGTTTATATAAAATAAATAGGTATACAAATATATTATAATATATACAAAAATACAGTGGTAAGTAGTAGGTAAGTATTATTAGTTCAGTAGTACTATATATTTGTATTCTACATTTTTAGAACTATTGCACATCGGATCAGTTTTAACACTAAACTATTTGTACAAAATCACAAGTTTGGTGACCCAGTGGCTGGTAATTTCTTTTATGCCAAATACGATGATTATGTTCCAGTGATGCACAAACAATTTAAAACGACTATATAATTGACATTTTAGGAAGTTTTCTTATTATTCTGTATAAGGATAATGCATATTATTACAAACTATTGAAGTAGGTACAATAAAAATGATTTTATTTCAACAATTTTTTTTCTTTCTTCATACCACTTTATTGTGTTCTAAATTGTATAGTTTACACCATTAATGTAATTATTCCATACAAATATTGAATCTCTATACTCTATATTAATAGAGTTAAAAATCTAGTATAATAGCATGTCTAGTAAAACTATGATACAAATAACAATTTAGATTTATTAAAATATTTAATCGAATGAATATATCATTACGTGTTAATAAATGTACGAGTATTAGAATTATTGTAAATCAATTAGAATGCTATTGAGACACAACCGCAGTAAGTAATTTGCAAGATTTGATGTTTGTTTTTCAATTAGAAAAATAATAATTATTTACTCTTATTCTAGTTAATATCTACAGGCATATTTATTTACATTTCATTAGAATAAGAAAGTTATTACAATTACTTTTTAATGTTTGTGAATATGTATATTAAGCATTTTCAATTGATGTTTTTTTAATAGGTAAAAGTAAAATAGGTAAAAATAAATAAGTAAAAAATTAGGTAACTAATGGTACATAATGTGTACAATATCTAATAGTTGAGTCGCTACAATTTTTTTTTAACATAAAGGTAAGTGTTTAAAAAAAAAAAAAAAAACAAAAAAATGATATAATTGCCGTTACTTTGTTCATTATAGAGAGCATCTTTCAGGACTATGCACTACTATAAAAATGTAAAGCAATATTTTAATGCTAAATTAGATATATATATATTAGGTATACCTTCTTAAGATTTTAAGTACTATTAAAATTATACCTACTAAAAATGTATGTTGTTAATTCCTATGGTTTTAGTTGAGACAAGTCGTTAAAATATTATTATGATACACGTATAATAGAAAATTAATTTACAATCAGATGCTCATGAGCATCAATAATCTTGGTTTAGTAATTTGAAACCATTGAAGTTTAAGATCCAACACATGAAATACAGCACATTATTAACTCATTATTGTAACTCATAATTTAATTAATGACAGAAAAAACTTCTACTTGTATCATGCATTACTTGTTACTATTGCTAAATATTAATTTGGTATGGCGTAAGTTTTATTGTGTTTTGTTGAAATATCTACAAACAAAAGGGTGCAATTTAGAAGACAAAAATAGAGGATTTTAAAATAAGTCAGTTGATGGACTATGAGGCTGTCAAAATATCTTGTTTGTGATGAAAACATTAAAAATAATATGATCTCAAACATTAAACATCATTTTTATCCAAACACAGATCCTTTGGTAAAATACACCCAATTGGAAATCAATGTAAATATTAAAGTAAATAAATGTATAAATAAAAAATGTATACAAAAAATAAAAATGAATAAATGTGTCATAATACCTGTAGTATTAAGATAAGTGTAATACACAGTCGGTTTCAAATTAAAAATTCATCAGGTATATCACAGTCAAAATGTGAAATGTGACTAAATATAAAAAATTAAATTTATACATTGAAAAAAATTACACAAATTGATCGTTTTTCATAGAAATAATTTATTTTAATAGATTATTTAAAATAGGTTATTATTAGTATACTGATCTGTGATTATTATCATTGAACTATAATGACATAAGGTTATTATTTACTATCTAAAATGTATTGATATAAGATATTATTTTTAATATCGGTTAGTACATTTAAACTATCATTAAAATTATGTTTCTTTATTTCTTTTGTGGATGTGTAATTCTTCTAAAACAGAATTGATGCAAATGTTATTTTGAGTAGGTATTTAATATTTTTAAATCTGTATTAATATCAACTTATATTATGGTTATTTTCTAAAACATGTTTACCGAAATAAATAATATTCATCTCGTGTTGATAATTGTGTTTATTCAATGGAATACGTTCAAGACTATAATTAAACTTGAATTAAAAAATTATATTTTTTGAGAATAATGGTGATTAGAATCACGTGGTTCAGTTTATTCCTGTAAAAACTAAGATTAAATTTATTGTTTACTATAGAAACTGTAAGATTCAAGAAATTTAAATTATTATTTATTTGCATTTCGATTGTAAATTGAATGTTTTTTATTATATTTAGTTAGTTTAGATAGTTAACTAAATTTTCTTTAAATAGTTACTAACCATTTTAATAATTTTGTTTTTACTTTATTATGTTATTATGAAAATATCACTATAATTAGGTTGATAGAACATTTCAATCGCTAATCAAATGGTTTGGTTTATGACAACTTATGACGTCTGAAAAAAGGTTAATCAAACCCATAAGGCTCATTGAATATTGTGGTTTGTAACTTTTTAAAAAAGGCTCTTTTCTAATACAACCCTATTTACAATAATTTACAATTATAGTATAAAATTAAATTAAATAATTCATTTTTTAGAAGAATAAACAAATTAATATATCTATATTACCTATTATATATAAATAAATTTACTACTTATAAAATCTTAGATAAAACTGTATACAAATCAAAACACAAAATAGATATTACTACTAAGCTCTACAAATACTAAAACTGAAAATCAGTTGTAACTGTTTACGGTTTTTTTTTCACTTATTTAGAAGGTATAATAATGCGACGTCAAAACAGTTAGGAACATCTGTTAACAAAATCATCTAAAACTTGATAAAAAAATTGCCAGCAATAAGATTTCCCGAATTATATTTAACTGTAAATTTAAAAATAGAAAACTGTCACAATTTTTGATAGATCTAGGAATATATTTAGACTCAAGAAGTCTATTTAAGATTAATAAAGAACTAGTAAAATAATGTGGTTTGTTGAAAGTAAATTTTGAAGGTTGTTTGTAGGCTAATAACGATAATAACATAATGGTAAAGTCCAATAATAGTTTTAATAACATTTTAATACAAAATTTAATTTTTAATACCTGTGCCAAATGGTTGTCCCAACTAAATATGTTCTGAAAGTATTTAACCTTTGCTTGATCTTAACCAGAAATTTTTTCATTTAGCTAATGGTAATTTCCATTGCATAATATGGTGTTTCACAAAAATACCACTAGCACACTGCTTTGATATGCATTTGGTCTTAAATATTCAACTGTTGTAAAATTAATACTATAACACGCATTGGTCCCTGAAATGGAAAGTAAGGGAGCTGTCGATATTTATACCTAATCCTATACACTTAGTCAGAGAAGTTGGTTGGTTATTCCTACTGTACTAGCTGGCCTTTTGGATAGACATAATTATAGGTTTCTAGGTTATATTTTACAAATTAAAGATACTCAAGACCTGTATTTGTTAGTTAATACAATTAAATACAGTTTAAAGACGATAAAACTTATACCAATTATAACTAATAAATATTAGAATAACACAAATACACTAGACCAGAGAAACCCTTATCTCCTAAAATGGTAATGTGAATACCAGATGAAGCAAACTCTGAGTAATGTGAAGATTGATATTAGAGATAAATTGTATTTATAATAACAATATTAGATCTATACAAGCATTAATATTATTATAATCCAGCTGTTGTTGGGACTTGACTAATTCATTATACACATAGGAATGTACGTATTCCACGCTCCAGTATAATGCTAAGCAGAGCAAAATATGAAATAATATCCAAGAAGTACTGTGATGAGTCAATGGAATTAAACCATATTGTTACAATAAAAAATTATAATGTTGTTTTAACTGCTTATTTGGACATAAATAAATGTTATATTTTATGTAGGGGTATACATGAGGTAAAATAATGTGCACATTTCTTACTACTATATTTTATTTTAAACAGTATTGGACCAGGAAACTGGGAAATCTCCTAGTAATCAAATTTTAATGAAAATCCATTGAAGTCAATTTTAATTTTAGTTATTATAAAAAACTATTACATGTATTTTTTTTTATTCATAAATAAACTTAAAGAATAAATAGAATATGATAATAAAAAATACATAATTTCACAAATGCATATAATTATGTTTATTTTACCAAATCCCAAATCATTTGAAAAACTAAATTAAATTTATTAATTATAAATAATAATAGAAAATAAAAAAAAATATTGTTGTTAATATTATTGTTTCAATCTTTAGTAATATAACTAATATTTGATTAAGAGCATATTCATATAAATGATTACATTTACTTAATCACCAAGTTGCTTATAAAGAATTGGTACGTAATCATCATATTCAGCTTGATAGAAATTACCAGCAACAGGATTTCCCAAATTGTATTTAGCCGCAAATTTAGAGATTGAAAATTTTGCACGATTCTCATCAGACCTAAAGAAAAGTATACATATATTATTGATGCTTGCATATATTATAAACTTATTTTATATTTATACACAACCTGTTGGTCAAACGTTTTTCACTGAAAGTCAACTTTGAAGGTTGTTTATATGCTAAGAATACATAACGATGGAGTCCTATTAACAATATTAATATACATGTATTAATTTATTATTTTAGTTTTTTGTAATATATTAATTATTTACCTGATTTAGGTGGTGGTCCAGAACCTACATATTCAGAAAGTGTTTCGCCCTTACTAATATCTTTACCAGGGATGTTTCCAACAAGCCAATGATGCCATTCTCTAAATGTATGTTCTTTACGGTTTGGAGCATCAGGATCTATACAAGAAGTGTCGTCAATTAATTAATAAATAATTTGATTGTATTTAGAAATTTGTTTACAGATAAGATAAAATGTTATCTTATCTGTTGCATGATGTAACACAATAGTTAAAATATAAAAACACAAAATAAGTTATACTGTATTATAATAAAAACTAAATTATTGAACAAATAGATAAGTATAATACCTGTCATACAGAGAGTATAATAACTGTCTGAATCAGCAGGCCAGTTTACTGTTGGTATATCTTTTACTTGAGTAGGTGTGAGTACATTACCAAAATCAACACTAACTCCGCTTGGGTAAGATACCTAGGAAATAAAAATTAAAAATGTAATCTCTAAAGTAATATGCTTTAATGATTTTATTATATAATTTTTAATGAACACAGAAATAATATGTTATGTAAGATGAACATTATTCAAATGCCCTGAACTGTGTTATCGCAGAAATGATGCTTCACTACTCTCCCACTACTTTTACCTTCATCCCAACCATTTGAGGCTGTCCAATTCTCTTCCCTTGGAAATTTAAAAACATTTTCAAACTAAAATTACATTTATTTATGAAACTTATCAATATTGATTGCTATTTAAAAATCAAGTGGATTATGGTGTCACCAACAAAAATTGGGATGGTAATAAATAACGATAGAGCAACATTTCGGGACTACTTGTATCATAAATTGTCGAACAAAAAAATCCTAAAAAGGTAATACTTTTAGAAACAATTAACGTTTTATTAAGGATTGTTACAATGTAATGTTAAGTAAATGACGAATCTAGTGACTAGCAATTTAAATAGGAGAACATTATTGTTGAACCAAGGAATCTATCAAAAACCTTGGGTGTGTTATAATATAATGTGTCAAAGATTGAAAAACGTTTTACTTCAATTTTATCACCGGGCGCAACAGCAATGACATCAGGTACTACTTCGTGTTCGTTCATGGCAGCCATCGATTTGGACGAGTACGTCGAAGCAGCGTGCACCGCATATAACTGTGGAACGATTAAATGTTTTACTTGAGTCGTTAATCGTGCGCAATTAATGACGGATTTTATTAATAACGCCATGTAGATATTCTGTTCGAAGGAGTTGATAATAATAATATAACAATAAAATAAATTGTGTAATGATAATATAACGATTACATACTTTCTTCGAATTTATTAATTTATCGCAGTTCGAAGAGTTTAAGGACCAGGATTAGTGTACAGCGAACAATGGACTATACAGAAGACAATTACTAAATAATAAAACGAAACGCCGGGTCGGACAATCGTCAACAGGCAATCAGCTGATTAGCTGAGGCCTAACGATGACCAGATAACGTCATGACCATAATATACATTGCCAACCTTAGATAAAGTGTATTAGTTGCCAACCTATTTGTATTATAGAATAATATAAAATACGCGTGAATAATGTGACGTCATCTCAAAGCAATAATTTGTCATAATATTATGTGATAAAGATTCTCATCAATAATGATAGGATCTAAACATATAAAAATCTACACATAAAATATGTTTTGTAAATTCAACACTTTAAGTACTCGGATATTAATTTAATTACTGAAAATATCATTTGAGTAAGTTTTATTTATTAATAGTCAAGTTTTAGTTTGTAAATACTCGTATTTTAATAGAACACGAGCATTTAAATTAATGTACGGACCTATTTAATGGGTTTGTTTAATTGTTTGGATACAAATGTTCAAACTATTATTGATAAGAAAAAAATGACGTATTATTCATGCGTATTTTATCTGGCGGGTGGCGGGTGCATTAGAAATGACGTTTATTTATTTTCCAAGGGATTTCTATAATACTTGAAAAAACCGGAAAAAAACAGTAAATGTGTACGGCCACGCCACGGTGTTACCGATATCATTGTTTCGAATTAGTACAAACTATGTTTTCTATTAGAAATATTGCTTTAATAAAAAAATACCAAGTGACCTTTTTTGTTGGATCTTGGATCTACTTGATCATGGAGTATTTTTTGATTTTCCCAGTAGTTCTTTCATTAACTGACCAAAATCCCAGAAAAAACGTAGAAAGAACGGAAAAATATACGAATATAATGATTTAATGAATACAAAATTTGTTTTAGATTCTGAACGGAGCGGGGAATGTATTGTTTTTACAACGGTGTTTGTTTATTTATTTTTTTGGTCTGTGAACAAACATTTATTAAATATTTTGTTTTATTAGTATACATTAATACTGTACAGTATTATACATTTTAGATATAAACAATAGTTCTATTGTGTTTAAATGTTCTTTTATCTGAAATTTTGAAATCAATAATATTATTAACAACAAAATATACAGTCCATGTGCAAAAACATATTAT